GAACACTGCACATACTGTAGAACACTGCACATACTGTAGCCCACTGCACATACTGTAGAACACTGCACATACTGTAGCCCACTGCACATACTGTAGAACACTGCACATACTGTAGCCCACTGCACATACTGTAGAATACTGCACATACTGTAGAACACTGCACATACTGTAGCCCACTGCACATACTGTAGAATACTGCACATACTGTAGAATACTGCACATACTGTAGCCCACTGCACATACTGTAGCCCACTGCACATACTGTAGCCCACTGGACATACTGTAGAACACTGCACATACTGTAGCACTGCACATACTGTAGCCCACTGCACATACTGTATAGCCACTGCACATACTGTAGCCCACTGCACATACTGTAGCCCACTGCACATACTGTAGCCCACTGCACATACTGTAGAACACTGCACATACTGTAGAACACTGCACATACTGTAGCCCACTGCACATACTGTAGCCCACTGCACATACTGTAGAACACTGCACATACTGTAGTCCACTTTGGCCGTTCACACTGAAGTCACATGTTAAAGATCAGATATGTATCAGTTTCAGGAGCACAGATCCAAGTGTCCTGGTCACATTTGAAAAAATCGGATCTGTGTGGTTCAGACTGACATTAAAAGATCAGATACAGGAACATAGAGACAAAAAATCGGATTTGGGTCACTTCAGGTGCAGACTGAACACAGCCTTTGTTGTGGATAAATTGTTCATGTTAGAATGTTTCTCCTTTGTGGAGTTTGTTGGTTGAAGATTTGGTGATGGGGCAGATTTATGAATATTTACAGACACATTTTGACACAGAAAAACGTTAACCTGGAGTTACGTTTACCTACATCGTGGCACTTTCACCTGTTGTGAAAAAGGTCTATTCCCCCTCCGCCTCCGCTCCTCCATTAAACAGTAAAATGCATTTTAATAAAATAAAACTCATTACACAATTAAAAGAAGTAAATATTTTTCCTCCCACGAGCTGAGGATGTTCAACAGGATTCTCTCACATGAACAACAGCACCTCATGAACATCTACTGTTGTTTTAGCTCAGTTTTAAGTATATAAAACTCAAGGAAAAAAAAAAAAGATTTAAAGGTGCATTGTGTGACATTAAAAAGCTCTACTTCACATTTATTCAATCACAGGTGGTTTTATCGCTCAAAAATACAGAGAAAAACAAATAGACATTGTGACTGTGAGCGGGTTCACCTCTCCACAGATCTGACCTGGAACGTGGTCTGGTTTGGTCTCCGTGAAGATGGAAAGGTTTAATGCCAGACTGTGGGACATGAAGCACTGACGAAGCCTTTACATGACACATTTTCTCTTAAAAAAAAAACTCAGATTAAAGTTCTAGAGCCTCAATCCATGTTTCATTTGTTCATTTGTTTTTCAAAATAAAACCAAAAATAAGAAAACGGAAAAAAACAACAATTTTCTTCATTATTTGTCTCCAAAACCAAAATGAAAAAACAGTTAATGATTTGTTTTTTTCAGTTTTCGATTTTGTTTAAATGAAAATTGTAAAAAATCAATAACGACTGAACCATTGTAAGTGCTGGTCTGGTCCCGGCCTTAGTCCCCGTCTCAGTCTCATTTTCCCGTTTATGTGACTTAAACTGCGATGCCGGACTGAACCGGGACTGAACCAGGACTGAACCAGAACTAAACCAGGTCTACAACAGATCCGGGACTAGACCAGGACCAGACCGCAACTGAGACCTGGACTGAGACTAGGACCACACAGAGACCAGTCTGGGGGCCGGGGCCGGGGCCGGAAATGAGACCATGACTAAACCAGGTCTAAACAAGGACTGAACCAGGACTAAACCAGGTCCTGGTCTCAGTCATGGTCTCACTCCTGGTTCAGTCCGTTACCTGTTTTTTCCCAACTCAAAACATGCTCCAGGTCTCCATGAACAGCTGATAGTCAAGGTCAGTTAAATACAGTCAATCATGAACCTGTCCAGGGCACTGGTGCTAGTGGCTAGACCAGGGGTGGGCAAACTACGGCCCGGGGGCCATATGTGGCCCTTTAAACCTTTTAATCCGGCCCCGCCGAACTTGAATAAATTATAATAATAAACCTTGTTGATGTTTTATTTTTCCTGCATTTCCGGCGTTTCCCAGTAGATGGCGCACTATATATACATTGAGGTGCGGTGTATTATGTTGGCCGCAATGCTTTATGGGAAAGTGTTCTTACAGGAGTTATTCGGACCATGAGTGAAGTAGTTGATGCTTAAGATATAAGACTGCACTGCTTCCACTTTAAGTTGGTAAAAATCAAACACAGGAAATTCATACTCTCAATGTTGTAATTATCAATGTGTAAAACATCATGGAGTCTGTTTTACTGCACTCGCAGGTGTGTATGTGTGACTGTGTGGTGCGAGTTTTCAATGAAACTATTTAACAGTCAGGTTTGAAAATGTGAAGCTCATGATATTCATTCATCTGTGGTGTGCAGTGGAACAGGTCAATACACTTTTGTGTTCTGAGTCTTTCATGGAACTATTGAAGCACGTAGTGCACGTCCAAAGTCCTACATAAGCGTGACTATGATGTAATGAAGTCGAGCTCTTAACATGTTATGTCTTGTCTTCTGTCCGGCCCTTCAGTCAGATTTTAGGAGCTTATGTGGCCCGCGAGCCAAATAGTTGAAAAGCTCTATATAAATGGGGACTTACTTTTCCATTTAAACATAAAATCGAAAAACTAAAAATCAAATCACTATCCATTTTTTCATTTTGGTTTTGTAAACAAATAATGAAGAAAACTGTTGCTTTTTTTTCCATTTTCTTACATTTAGTTTTATTTTGAAAAACGAATGACACATGGATTAGTCTCAGACAGAGCAGGGCTTCTAGTTAGCGTCACCAGTCCAAAAACACAGCCAGTGTCTGAGGACAAACTGATCTTTTATTGTTTTTACTGAATCTATTTTCTAATTTAAAAAACACATTTGTAGCTGCTGAGTGACGCTGGTGTTTTTATCGGTGGCAAAAGACAAAACAGAATCTGATTTATTTAAAAAATATTTTAATGCACCATTAATAAAGGGTCCAACGCATTAATACAAGAGAAATAACATTAAAATAAACATCAAAGGAAAAACATTACAAAATGAACGGGGGGACGTATGTACAGAGAAAAAAAAACACGTATTTACAAAGAGTTTCTACAATATTTACAAGTCCAACATTTTAATTTTTATTTATTTTTCCGTTTTTGTGAAATACTTTTGCTGAACAGGGAACAAAAGGTTAAAATGTTAAAATGGTGCCGTGGACAGGAGACCCACAAACGCAAGAGTTCAGCTCATTTTCTGGAACAGTTAAAACACAAAAACACAACATAAAAAAAATAAAATAAAACACAAAAAGAGGAGGAAATGTGTTAAAGGTCAAAAACCACACGAACCTGACTCCCGTGAGCTTTAAATCATGTTCTGATGTCGTTATTGTGGTTTGTTTCATTCGCACGTTCGAGTAAATCTTTATTATTATTCGTCTGTTTACATCTTCAAACGCTCTGATCCACCTTGTGATGTCATGAAGTTGTAGTATCCCGAATTTTGGACTTCCAATCGTCGCGCAATTTGTGCTGGGAAAGATCCTCCGAAAAAGTGAGCATCAAACCGCCGAGGGATGCGTCTATTGTCAACGTCGATCTTTTCAAGTCTTTTTGAACCATATCGCTTTTGTTTCTGGTTCTGATATTGTCTTTTTTTGTTTCTGTTTTGGGATTCGGACATCGTTAATTGTGCGGTTGTTGGATCCTAACAGCGGAAAACGGCTCGAGAAATTGGCTTCGGAAGTTCGCGAACTCCGTAACTGCAAACTTGAATCAGATGTGTGTGACTGCAGACTCCCCCACGCCTCGTACGTCGTGCTACTAAACCAGAACGAAACCAGGACTAAAACAGGATTTAGCCAGGACTTAACCTGAAGATTCTGTCCCGCGCAGACGTCTACTGTAAACCTCTGTTCAAACTGTTTCTCTTCCCAACGGAATTGAAAAATAGTGAAAGGTGAAGGTGATGGGCAGGATTGATCCACAGGAAGAACCAAAAAGGAAACATTTGTCTGACTAAGAAATCATCCCGAGTTTACAGAGAACATTTTGTCTGTGGAAGCAAAATCCCGTAGCAGAAGACAAACAGACTGAGCTGCACTTTCTTGTTCTTGTGGTTTTACAGCAACATCACGTCTTGGTCTCTTTGCAGTGGAAGGTGTTTCTTGGTGAACAGTTGGAGCCTTTCACTTTGGCGTTGACTTTTTAAATTCGTAACCGAGTTTGAGCGAGGGATCGGGGTTTTGTTTTGTTGGCAATGTTCCAGCAGACCAGAGGGACACTTCTGATTACTGAACTGAATTCTTTGGAGGTAATTGGGAAATTTGCCACAGTCATTAAATAAATAAGTCCCGCAAAAATATTATTCCTCTGTTGATCCATTTGGTTAAAAATATTGATTTGTTTTGTAAGATAAAATCAATATTGTTGGACCGGCTCTTTTCACGTTTACGTCATAAACCGGGAAGATGTTTGGAAACATGCGATGGCGACTTTGCAGTGTGGAGCGACGACAAAGCAAAACCCCGATCCCTCGTTCAACCTCGGTTACGAATTTAAAAAGTCAAAGTGAAAGTGAAAGGCTCCAACTGTTCACCAAGAAACACCTTCCACTGCAAAGACCAAGACGTGATGTTGCTGTAAAACCACAAGAACAAGAAAGTGCAGCTCAGTCTGTTTGTCTTCTGCTCCTCTACATTAACAAACAGGATTTTGTTTTGTTGTCGCTCCACATACAAAATGTTCTCTGTAAACTCGGGATGATTTAGTCAGACAAATGTTTCCTTTTTGGTTCTTCCTGTGGATCAATCCTGCCCATCACCTTCACCTTTCACTATTTTTCAATTCCGTTGGGAAGAGAAACAGTTTGAAGTTTGATTTGACACGGAGGTTTGAGTCACACACATCTGATTCACTTTTGCATTTATGAAGTTCACAAACAAATTTCTCGAGTCGTTTTCCGCTGTTAGGATCCAACAACCACAACAATTACCATGTCCGAATCCCAAAACTAAAATATGACAATATCAGAACCAGAAACAAAAGTGATATGGTTCAAAAGACTTGAAAAGATCGACTTTGTCAATAGACACGTCCCTCGGCGGTTTGACGCTCACTTTTTCGGAGGATCCTTCCCAGTGTGAATTGCGCGACGATTTGAAGTCCAAAATTCGTGATGTATGTGTTCTAGTGAAGGTGTGTGGAGTTTAAAAACACACTGGAGCGCTTCCTGTATCACCACATGACATCACAAATTGGGACAGAGTTTTTTTCCGTTTGTGGTGAGGAAACGACATTAGAACAGATCAGAGATAAATCAGTGATATTGGCCTTTAAATAATTGAACAAAAGAGGGGTTTTTTTTCTCAGTTTGACTCTCGGGCGACTTGTCGACAGATTTATTTCTACGCGGAGCACAGTTTTCATTTTTCCAAATTATAAAAATATAATCTTCTCTTTAAAATTTCCCCAAAAAATAACTGAAGTATCCAGGGAACACAGGAGGGAGGGAGGGCATCTGGCTTAATCCACCGGACTGCAGATGAGTCACGTGACCGCTGCGAGAATTATATTTATTATATTTGGATTTTTTTGAAGTTTTGAAAAGTTTCAGTTTTTACATTTTGACGGGACGAACTGCAGAACCCGAAAACTGCAAATCCCAAACAAATATCTAAACAAATTACATTCAAATTATGAATCTTGATTTGAGATTCAATATATTTTTATATATTTTACATGTTTACACATTTAGAGAATTATAATTTTTTTTTAAAAAATTATAATTCAAGTCAGTCGAGGAGATTTTCTGCAGTGCTCAGATCCTTTAACATTCTTATTAGTAAAATAATTATAATTATTTTCTCTGTTTTTTTTGTTTTTTTTTTTTCGCTGAAAAGTCGAAAGTTCAAGTTTCCCAAAGAAAAACTCAGAGGAAAAACGAAACGGAGACGGAGCTCAAAGAAAAGGATTTAACTTTGAAACTCAGCGGCCATTTTGAAAATCTGTTTACAGAACGAGACCCGAGCAGAGACCGGACCACGGACCGGACCACGGACCGGAACACGGACCGGACCACGGACCGGACCACGGACCGGACCACGGACCGGACCACGGACCGGACCACGGACGGGAACACGGACCGGACACGGACCGGACCACGGACCGGAACACGGACCGGAACACGGACCGGACCAGATCAGAATACGGACTGGACTGGACCAAACTACAGACCAGAATACGAACCAAACCAGTATATGGACAAAACCGGACTAGACCAGAATATGGACCAGACGGGTGTACAGACCGGACCAGTATACAGCCCGGACTGGACAAGAATGGACCAGAATATGTACTAGACCGGACTGGATCAGAATATGAACTGGACCGGACTGGTATACAGACTGGACCAGTATACGGACCAGACTGGACCAGACTATGGACCAGACTAGACCAGACTAGACCAGACTAGACCAGACTAGACCAGAACGGACGAGAATGGACGAGAACGGATGAGAATATGGACCAGACCAGTTTATAGACCTTACAGGACCTGTATACAGACCAGACTGGACCAGAACTCGTACAGGACTGAACCAAAATCCAGACCGGACTGGACTGGTCTGGACCAGAATACAGACCAAACTGGACTGGACCAGAATATGGATCGGACCGGACCAGTCTACAGACTTTACAGGACCTGTATACAGACCAGACTGGACCAGAACATGTACTGGACCAGAATCCGGACCGGACCAGCCTGGACATGTATACGAACCAGAGACACTTCTGTTCAGATACGGTGTGAAAAACAACTCCAACATGAGTTAAAATATCTTCAAGTACAGAAATAAGAAATGTTTGGTTTGGATCCGTTTCTTGCGTCTCGATTCAAGTGAATAAACTTTGTAAAACGGACGACTGCAACAACGAGCGGCAGGTTTCAGAACGAGAACGAAACTTCACTTGGAGTCAAAACTAATTTCATCGTGCCTTAAAATCCATGAGTCGTGTAAAACAAATCGGCATCGGGTATCGGTTCCGTGGTATCGGTTCAGCCGATATCCCGGTAGTGGCTTAAATAAGACTTAAATCGGTTAAATTTACAGATGGGACAAGACACGATTTGCAAAAGACGATTCGAGAAACGAGATTGGGTTGAGAATGAGAAGATTTTCACAGTTCAGTTTCCAATTCCGGCCTCACGTTTTAGTTTTTATTTGATTTAACATGTTCCTTTTCCGTTCTAGCGACGATTTTTGGAACCTTAAGAGTGGAAACTCACAAACACGTGATTGTTTTTTTGTCCAAACCAAATGGAAACGCTTTGGGAAAAAAGATAATTTTTCTCATGTCAGTCTCGTCCGATCCTTCGTTGACACCGGATATCGACAGAACTAAACCCAAAAAGTCGGAATTCGTATCGGAACTGAAAAAGTCGGATTCAAAACGACCTAAATCAAAATTAAAGTCAGACATTTGTGGAGTTTTTTCTTTGAGCGAACGCGAATCTTCAACAAAAACAATCTCGGGTCTTCACCCTGAGCGACCATTTCCAACTTCCACAAACCCTTTTATTATTATTTTTTCCACGTTTTTTTTTTTTTTTTTCTTACGTTGGAGGTTTAAATTCATTCCGTCTCTGAGTTTGTTAAAGGGATTTTGGGCTGTGACGTGAAACAGGGACAGAAACAAAAAAAACAAAACAAAAAAAAAACAAAGAGACAACATTTAACGCGCTGAAAACAGAAAAGCTCCAAAACAATCGTCTCAAACTCGTGTAAAAATAAACTCCAAATTGTCCATTACATTTTAAAAGCGTTTTTAAAAACCCTGAAATTTTGAAATCTGTGCGGTTTTTTTTTTGTTTTGTTTTTTTTGTCTTTTTTTTTTTTTTTGAAGGAAAAGGACGTGAACAGGACGTGAATGACCCAAATGACCTGAATTTTAACGTAATTTGCGAGTTTTTTTTGTTTAAAGAGGGGGTACTTGACATAACTCTTAACTTTTAATGCTTTGAAAATGTTATATTCACTGAAAACGACGCATTTTGGAATTTTCGAAGCTCCGGGTCGCTCCTCCCCCTCTGCTAAATCAAAATAAGGACCCGGGGGAGATCGCTAGATTACTCAAACATGCGTGAATGGCTCCAAAACCACCTCAGGATGGTTTTTGGCGAGAAAACGTTTGGGGGGGAAAAGCTAAAAAAAAATAAATAAAAAAATGCATTTCGTGTAACACCCCCTCTTTAAAACGGCTCAAATCAGGTTGGTTTCCGTTTGAACCGTCTCGATTTTGTCGTTTCAGGACGTTTAAACCAGAAAATGGCGTCGGGTTTCGAGTTTCGGTGCGTGAAAGTGCTTTTGGTGCGTTTGGGATCCTGGTCTCGAGCTGGTGAAGGAGGAGAGCGCCGCAGAAAACACTACAGAGAGAAAACCACTTCAACTCAGACATTCGAGTAGTTTTGATTAAATAAAACTTACTTGGTCTAGATTAGCTGTGTTTCTTTTTTTTTTTTTTTTTTTTCAGTGTCATTCAGGGCGACAGAAGCTACAGATAAGGACGTTTTGAATCTGTGTCGTTCGTTTATTTGTTTTTCAAAATAAAATCAAAAATAAGAAAACGGAAAAAAAAAACAACAACAATTTTCTTCATTATTTGTCTCCAAAACTGATTAAATTTTTCTGTTTTTGATTTCACGTTTAAAATGAAAAATGGAAAAAATTGAATAACGGACTAAACCAGGACTAAACCAGGACTAAACCAGGTCTAAACCAGGTCTAAACTGGTCTCAGTCCTGGTCTGGTCTTGGTCTCAGTTCCAGTCTCAATCCCGATCTAATCCTCCTTTAATCCTGATCTGATCCTGGTCTTGGTCCCAGTCTTGCTCTTGGTCCCGCTCTCGGTCCTAAACCTGGACTGAACCAGGACTGGGTGATCTGGACTGAGACTGGGACTGGGACCAGCCCGGGACTGAGACCAGGACTGAGACCAGGACTGAGACCAGGACTGAGACCAGGGCTCAGACCGGTTAAATCTTGGTTTAATCCTGGAAGACCTGGTTTAGACCTGGTTTAGACCTGGTTCAGTCTGTTATCATTTTTTTTCCATTTTTCATTTAAACACAAAATCGAAATCTGAAAAAACAAATCATTATCTGTTTTTTTCATTTTGGTTTTGGAAACAAATAATGAAGAAAAATGTTGTTTTCTTTTTCGATTTCTTATTTTTGGTTTTATTTCGAAAAACGAATGAATGAACCAACACACAGATTGTTTTGTTTCGTCGTCTACTGATCAAATCGAGAATTCTGAGTTGAAGCGTCTTAAACCCTGGAATTGTTTTTGTTTTTTTCTGCAGTGCGGCGGCGTCTTGTCTGAGCGTTTCCTTGTCGGCTCTCGTGGCCAGACCTGCCTCGGTGATGGTTCCTCAGTGGGTTCCTCAGTGGGTTCCTCGGCCTCAGTTGAGCGTTCCTCTGCAGTTCTCGGTGCCGCACAGACAGGGGATCTTGTTCTCCTCCAGGGGGAACTTATAATCGTAGGTGATTTCTTCGTTGACGGCGATCGGCTGCTTCGAGTAGATCACGATCTTCTTCTGAGACTCGATGGTGATGACTTTGGCGTAACAGTTGGGCTGCAGACACGGAAACATGTTAAATGTTTTTATTTTATACATATAGACACACATTAGGGAGCATCATTTGCCCCCAAAAAAATCAATCTGTTCCAGTCTGTATCAGTTTTTTACACTTGGTAAATTAAAGTTCCGTGAGAAATTTCATGAAATTCTTTAGACGTTTCCTGGGTCCACCAAACCTCTGAAGTTTAGTGTCTGCAGAAGCTTTAAATCTGAACTGAAATCAGTTTATTTCTTTAATAACATCAAAAACAATACATTTAGCCCAATAGTATCAATGGAAGTTGAATATAAACAGTGTTGGGAAGGTGACTTTTAAAATGTAATCCCCTACAGATTACAGATTACATAACCCAAAATGTAGTTTGTAACGTAATCCATTAAATTACTTAAAGTGAGTAATGTAATCTGATTACTTTGGATTACTGGATTTGCTGTAGAGAAACAAAGACGAGGAAATCTTCACATTAGATATTTTGTCTGATAAAAGAAAATAAAAAGCCCAGATTTTACTGAACCAAATTAAAAATATTATTGATAGAAGAAGAAACACATCCACACAGCAGGATTTAATCCTGTTTAAAAGTTTTAGTCCTGTTTAGTCCTGGTTTACTGGTTTAGTCCTGGTTTAGTCCTGTTTAGTCCTGGTTTAGTCCTGTTTAGTTTAGTCCTGGTTTAGTCCTGTTTAGTCTGGTTTAGTCCTTAGTCCTGTTTAGTCTGTTTAGTCCTGGTTTAGTCCTGGTTTAGTTTAACCTGGTTTAGTCCTGGTTTAGACCTGGTTTTAGTCCTGTTTACCTGTTTAGTCCTGGTTAGTCCTGGTTTAGTCCTGGTTTAGTTTAGTCCTGGTTTAGTCCTGGTTTAGTCTGGTTTAGTCTGGTTTTAGTCCTGGTTTAGTCCTGGTTTAGTCTTGGTTTAGTCTGGTTTAGTCCTGGTTAGTCCTGGTTTTAGTCCTGGTTTAGTCCTGGTTTAGTCCTGTTTAGTCCTGTTTAGTCTTGGTTTAGTCCTGGTTTAGTCCTGTTTAGTTGTTGTTTAAACCTGGTTTAGTCCTGGTTTAGACCTGGTTTTAGTCCTGGTTTTAGTTTTAGTCCTGGTTTTATCCTGGTTTAGTCCTGGTTTATCCCAAAATGTGAAAACAGGAAAATCCCTCTGTGTAATCCATTTATTTCAACAAAGTAACTGTAATCCAATTACCACTCACTGAAACAGTAACTGTAACTGAATACAGTTACTCATCATTTGTACTCTGATTACGTAACTCTGGTACATGTAATCTGTTACTCCCAAACACTGAATATAAATATGGACTTTGTGGATCATTTGGTTCCAGTTTTATGTCTCGATCATCATTAGTTTATGAGATACGGCAAAATTATTTTTAAAGTTATTTGAGAAAAACAGATTTTTCTGCCAGAGCTTTATGGACGCCGTGAGGATGGAACTTAAGTCTTGGTGGCCTCAGTAGATTTTATTCAATTGCGCAAATATTCCACAGATTTTCTTTTAATTGGTTTTGTCACATTTTAAAATTCAACTTGTACCCAACAAGTTGAATTTCTGACATTGGGGCAAATGATGCACCTTAACAAACATGTATGATAATCTCCCTCGTGGATCAATAAAGTTTTGTCTGATGCAGCAGTGGGCAATTCTTTTTTCCATGGGGCCACATGAGAAACAGAAAATATTGTGGAGGCCAAAATAATAAATTTTGCATAATATTAATTGTATTTCTTTATAAAAGAATAAAATAAATAAATAAAATTTAAAAAAGCAGTAAACAGCATCGTTCTGACGAGCTGTTCATACTGGTAAAGGTTTATGTTATGACTAAGCAATAAAAAGTCAGGTTGTCTTACAAAAATGTCATTAAAAAGGGTCATTCCACCTCAATTCAAATTCCAATTCCAATTCAAAAGCTATTGAAAATTTCATTGGTGTCATTGAGGTTCAAAAATAAATGTCAGATTTGGATTCCTTATCATTTCCCCTTTCCAGAGACACTTTGGTTTTTGATATTGGACCAGTAGGTGTTGAGTAAATGCAATTCGAATTTCAGCGACTAACCAAAAAAGTGAAAAAATGAAAGTGTGGTATCTCGGAAACTGTTGGTCTGATCAAAGTAAAATTTGAAATTTTGGCTTTTCTGGCTATGGTTTACATCAAAATTTCATCAAAATTTGACCAAGTAGAGTATAACTCACTGGGTGAACTAAGGTGGACTGACCCAAAAAGAAAAAACAAAAAACAGCTCTAAAATAAAAACAATGCAGCTTTAGTCCAGGTATGAGGTCAAATTATAAACTATGTTTATTCTGTAATCTTTATTCTGTGTCTAAATGAGTTTAAACGGGTGAAGCAAAGGATCGTGTGTGTCCCGGGAGCTGGACAAAGCTCAGGTCTGGTCTCATGTCTTTGTCTCTACACACACTCTAAACATAAAGTAAACAGATTATTATAATAATATTATACTGACGGTGCAGCAGTGGTTGATGAAGCGGGCCAGGTTTCCGCACTTGGTGGCGTCGATGATGGTGTCGTGGTCGACTCTGAACAGGTAACTGCTGCCGATGCCCTGCTGTGCGTAACGCTTCTCCCTGTTATCAGCCACCATCTGAAACACACAAGTAAACACATCGATATAACACTATTACACACTATAAACTATAGTAACGCTTCTCCCTGTTATCAGCCACCATCTGAAACACACAAGTAAACACATCGATATAACACTATTACACACTATAAACTATAGTAACGCTTCTCCCTGTTATCAGCCACCATCTGAAACACACAAGTAAACACATCGATATAACACTATTACACACTATAAACTATAGTAACGCTTCTCCCTGTTATCAGCCACCATCTGAAACACACACATGCACATCAGCAGTGTTGGAAGTAACGTGTTATAAAAGTAAAGAGCTACTGTACTGTGTTGCTTTTTACTGTAATGCAGTGATGTGGATTTACAGGGAAAAAACTAATATTCTACTGTGTATAAATGTGAGTAAAGCATGTTACAATGCATTTTTAACCTGAATTGAAGTGGTGGGTTTTTTGTTTTTTAGACCTGGTTTAGACCTGGTTTAGACCTGGTTTAGACCTGGTTTAGACCTGGTTTAGACCTGGTTTAGACCTGGTTTCCATGACTTTACGTCATCTACATGTGTAGAATCGATCAGACTTTTAGTGTAAATCTGAAACGTTAACTCTTTCCACTCACTTTATGGTTTGGGATTTATGGTTAGTTTTTAACATTCTAAATCTTGTCAGTGCATTTATTGTCGTCTCTTTTTTTAAAAAAAGGTGCAGAAATAATCAGAAAAGACTCATGAGAACTTAGCAGAAGACTGGAGCTGCGAGAAAGATACACTAAAATTCAATGACTTTTCCAAAACTTTCATTGAATTTATAAATTTCTATGACTGTGGGAACCCTGTTCTCTGTTCTATTGCTATTGCTATACCGTATTTTCTGCACTATAGGACGCTCTGGATTATAAGGTGCACTGTCATTGAATGGTGTATTTTAAACTTTTTCACATATAAACCACACCGGACTATAAGGAGCATTAAACGAAAAACAACAGTTAGATAAGTCAGTAAAACTTTATTTAACGCGTGCAAAAAAAAAAAAAACTGTCTGAGACGCTAAATTGTTCATGTATTCTCAATAAGTCATAATTGTTCAAACAGTTGGGCGATTACGTCGTCCAGCATGTCCACATCCCTCTGTCATTATCCAAGTGTGTCTCTTGACAGGTGCATTTTGATATTAAAAGGTCTGTTTTACTCCTGATGCTCCTGACTACAGGAGCCGTAACGCTGCAAGTGGAGCGGCTTTGTACTTTACTAAAGTCGTACTAAGACACAACAATAAATTCATATATACGGCGCTCTGGATTATAAGGCGCGCACTCGTTTTTGATCAAATTAAAGGCTTTTAAGTGTGCCCTACATGCCGGAAAATACGGTAACTTGCCTTTTAAGATGAAATGTCGGTTCCTGGTCTCTGATTTTATAAAATAAATTTCATGCAAAAAAAAACAAAACACGACTTTATATATGTTTTTTTCTTGTTCATTATGCATTTTTTTGGCAGAAGCGACTAATATTCCGGAAAATACAGTATTCTGAAAGTTACGATATTCCCTTTTGGATAACATGAGCACTTTCAGGCCTCGCCATGGCAACACAGAGTCAATTATTTTCCACAGGAACCGTACACACTCAAATGTTTTTTACAGTTTAACCCCTGATGTTTCACCTGCCGGCTCCTCTGTCACCTGTCCGTTTTACCTGTCGGAGCTCTCACCTGTCGGATGTTCTGCCCCACGTACTCGATGACCATCTCGTCGGCGGCGATGGGCTCCATGGCGAACAGGCCCCACTCGTGGATCCTGGAGCGGCCGAACCGGAGCTTCTTCTTCCTGAACTTGAGCTGGTTGAGTTTGAGCAGGTCCGAGTCCATCGTGGCCGGAGTCCCGATCACCGTCAGCAGGCGGCGCTGTTCCGAGCGTCTCTCGGACAGAACGCGATTCGTTCCCTGAGAAGAAAAAACAAAAAACGTATCATGAGACGTCAGAACAGCATCAGCGGAAAACATCACAGACATGACTAAACCAGGACTAAACCAGGACTAAACCAGGACTAAACAGAGTCTAAACAAGGGCTAAACTGAGTCTAAATATGAACTAAACCAGGACCAAACCAGGACTAAACCAGGTCTAAACTCAGTCTAAAGAAGGTCTAAACCAAGACTAAACCAGGACTAAACTCATGGTGAATAATCAGGACCGTCTGAAAGCGTAAGGTACTGAGGAGTAACATAAAAATGAACAAACTAATTGAGTCTTTGTGGTTTTTCAGAGAGTAAACCTCAGACCCCGGCCCCTTTAATGCCCCGTGTACTCTCTCGGGTCAATCGGGTCTGTCGGGTCTCTCAGGTCTCTCACCGTGGTGTCCGTGTTCTCCACCTCCCTGATGACCTGCTCGGGCAGGTCCAGGTCCAGGTACACGTCCTTCTCCGTGCGGCTGATGGCGTAGTAGCCCTCGCTGCGGGCGCATCCCGTCACGTGCTCCCGGAGCGTACTGTCCGGAGACTTCTTCTTTCTCCGCGGTGTCGGGAGGTTCGTCAGTGCACAGAAGGTCAAGGACAAAACGGCCCACAGCTCGCACACAAACACGCACGCATGCGAACACACACATATACACACAAACACACATACACACAAACACACATACACACAAATGTGACGCAGATTTTTACAACAGAGTCCCCATAAGTGAGGTTTTGATCTTACAACATTATAATGATGTTAACCATAAATGTTTTCCACACAAAAACATAATTTTGTGCAAATCAAACTTATTTTTAAAATGCTTAGAAAGTGTTTGGCCTTCCAGTGTCCACCAGAAATAAACCAGCACTAAACTCAGTCTAAACAAGGGCTAAACCAGGACTAAACTCAGTTTAAACAAGGGCTAAACCAGGACAAAACTCAGTTTAAACAAGGGCTAAACATGGGCTAAACCAGGACTAAACCTGGACCAGAATGAGTATAAACATGGGCTAAACCAGGTCTAATCTCAGTCTACACCAGGTCTAAACCCAGGACTAATCCCAATCTAAACAAGGGCTAAACCAGGACTAAACCAGGACTAAACATGGACTAAACCAAGACTAATCCTTAAACTAATCTCAGTCTAAACAAGGGCTAAACCTGGACTAAATTCAGTTTAAACAAGGGCTAAACCAGGACTAAACTGAGTCTAGACAAGGACTAAGATGAGTCTAGACCAGGGCTTAACCAGGACTCATCCCAGGACTCATCCCAGTCTAAACAAGGGCTAAACCAGGATTAAACCAGGACTGAACCAGGATTGAACCAGGACTCATCCCAGTCTAAACCAGGGCTAATACCAAAACTAATCCCAGGACTCATCCCAGTCTAAACAAGGGCTAAACCAGGACTAATCCCAGTAATAACAGTAACATAAGGAATAGTTTTGTTTTGTCGCCTGCTGATCAAAATTTCTCACATCGTAAACTGTGAAACTCCAAACAACATTAGAACAGAGATGGCAGAATAATAAAACCGTCGTGGTGCTCCTCTATCGACGAGAGCGTGAAAAGGATATCTGTGTGTCCGACCCAGTGCGTGTCGTTGAGCCAGTCGGAGCCGTGGTCGTCCTGCAGCAGCTTCTCGTAGGTTTTCCGGAGCAGCCCCAGATCTTCTCCGTCCAGACCCGAGTTCCAGATGTCGTAGAGGATCGTCATCTGCTCGAACTCGCTGCGGTTCTCGAACTTGACGGGGGCGGGGACGGGGGCGGCGGGCAGGTCCATGGGTTTGGAGACGCCGGCGTCCTGGAGGAACAGTCTCTCGCTCTTCCTCACCTCCTCTCCTCCTCCTCCTCGCCTCACCTGCTCCTCGCCCGAGTCGGAAGAACTGCTCAACTCCCCGGACTCGAGCTCCTCCACGTCCACGTCCTCCTCCAGGTCCGAGTCCTGAAAGAGACCAAGGAGATTTAGAACTCGATAAATTAAATTAAAGCTGAATGATTTATCGTTTTGGACTGAAAATCTTTATTTTTTTTCAGTGCTCCTAACTGACTCAGGTTTTGTTTCGTAAACTATTTCACACATGTTTGCATCATCAACAATCCGTGTGTCATTCGTTCATTTGTTTTTCAAAATAAAACCAAAAATAAGAAAATGAAAAAAAAAAAACTTTTCTTCATTATTTGTCTCCAAAACCAAAATGAAAAACCAGATAATGATTCGTTTCGATTTTGTATTTAAATGAAAAATGGAAAAAAAAACGGACTGAACCAGGACTGAACCAGGACTGAAATGGTCTCAGCCCTGATCACCCGACAGTCTATGCGGGCACACCTCCGGACCCGTCCTGACACTCAGAACTGTTTTAGTCCTGTTTAAGTTTTGTTTTAGTTCTGTTTTAGTCCTGGTTCAGTTCTGTTTTAGGCCTGGTTTAGAAATGTTTTAGACCCGTTTTAGACCCGTTTTAGTCCCAGTTCAGTCGTGGTTCAGTCGTGGTTTAGTCCAGTTTTAGTCCAGTTTTAGTCCTGATTCAGTCCCATTTTAGACCCGTTTTAGACCTGGTTCAGTCCCAGTTCAGTCCCGGTTTAGTCCTGGTTCAGTCCCAATTTAGTCCCTGATTCAGTCCTGGCGGTGCAAAAGTCCGGCATCACAGTTAAAGTCATGAAAACGGGAAACGGCCGTTATCAGTTTTTCCCATTTTTCATTTAAACACAAAATCGAAAACTAAAAAAACAAATCATTATCTAGAAAATCGTTGTTTGTTCGTTTTCTTATTTTTGGTTTTATTTTGAAAAACCAGTGAATGAACGACACACGGACTCTCCAGGTCTGTAAACCGCCTCTCACCTCTGACTTCCTCTTGCGCTGCTTTTTGCTCTGTGGCTCTTTGCGTTTCTTCGTGTGCTCTACGTTTTCCTTGTCTCTCCGCCTCTTCCTGTTCCTCTCCTTCTCCAGCTCGAAGCCGCTCTTCCGTCCTTTCTTCTTGGACTGCGCGTGCCCGGCCTCCTCCGCCAGCGCCGCGTAGTCCGCCCCGTCCCTCTCCGCTTCCTCGATCACCTCTTCCGGCGCCTCCAACACGCCCGAGATCGCGTTCAGGTCCGCCGGCAGCAGCACCGACGACTCCTGCTTGGACGCCCTCCGCAGGTAGGGGGCGGTGTGCGGCGGTTTGCAGTAGCTGTGCTCGATGAAAACCAGGACGCCCTCCGGGGACATGGTGACCGCCAGCGCCTCGGGGCAGTACGGATCCTCCATTTTGTGCTCTTCCGCTTCGTCGGATGTTTCGGTCTCCTCGGAATCCCCCGCGTCCGGGTCCATTTTCAGCGCCACGTCGGCCAGAACGGACAAATCGGCGGTGGGCGTCGCGGCGAGCTGGAGCAGGCTGGAGGCGCCTCGTAGCCGGCTCTCGTCCTCGTCCTCCTCCCTGAAAGACTGCAGGTTGGACTGACTGGTGGTGCGTTGTCTTCCCTTCCCGCGTTTGCTACTGGGCGGCAGAGGAGCCGGGACTTCTTCGTAGGCGATTTTGCACATAGAAGCGTGATCCAGAGGTAAGTTTTGGACAGTTCGACAGACCATGATCGGCGGAGGAGTGACGATCGGCGATTTCGGCGAGTCCTTCCCGCGTTTGTTCGGGGATTTCGCTGGAGGCGGCGAGACCGGGAGACCTTTTTTGTAGTCGTCGTGCTCGTGCGCCGGGGGCAGGATGAGCGCGTTCCCTGATCCAGGTTTGGACGCGAAAGGTAACAGCTGGATTCCGTGTGCGGGTTTTCCGGAGGCAGCGGCGGAGGATGCGGGGTGGCGGCGGCGGAGGAGGGAGTGTCCAGGGAGCGGGCGGGCGAAGGCGGGCACGGCTCGGGCACGGACGGGGACAGGGGCACGGCGGGTTTGGGCTCGTAGTCGTCCGTGGAGAATGAGACGTTTTTCCGGCGTTTTTTGAGCGGCGGGACCAGGATGACGGGAGAGGAGGGGCGGGGGAAGGGCGGAGAGGGCGGGCGTTTGGAGGCGGAGTCTGGGGCTGCGCTGGGCGGCTCCGGTTTGATCGGTCTGGCTTCACCTGGGAAAGAGAAACAGGATTAAAACATTTCAAACAGGCAGAAAGAAAGAGCTGGGTCCGGTCAAGTGTTAACGGAGGGAAACAGGGGCAGATTTTTGACATTCAAATGTCTCTTATTCAGAAACTAGAGGAACTATTGAAATAAGTAAAGTATCAGAATGTAGGAAAGAGTTACACTCCAACAGGGTCAAGTTAAACCTGTGATATTCTTTCAAATTGTTGACAAAAATTTTTAAAACTCATGTCGGTAATGGAGGGAATGAAATATGCAGCACTTTTTGGTTCAATAAATCCAAACAGTGATAACTCTTGGTTCTCACTTACATATCCTTAACAAACTGGTTTGAATATTTGCTTCATATAGTTTTCTACCATATGGTACAAGATTAGGTTGAAAAACCTCTGACTTTTTGAGTAATGACATTTTTATTAAGAAAGGTCATGGTAACGGAGGGAAAATTGTACAAACAAGTAGAAGGTGCAGGATTTTACATCATTTGTCACTTTTTTCTTCTGAATACTTTAATATTACTTCAAAATGAAAGAAACTATTTCTATAAAATATGTCAGTCCTTCCAAGAACATTTTTATCATTTTAAATACATATATATATTTTTTAATCATCAGTCCCTTCATCAACAGTTCAAAGATGGAATAACTCAAGATGTGATGAAATACATCCATTTTATTTACATGATTTGCAGGTCTTTGAAATTTGGGAAATAATTTTTGTTCCATGTTTCATACATGGTCTGTTTAAAACGGATGGAACTTTAGAACCAAAAATGGTACAGAAAAAAGGTCAACAGTTTCATAAACTAGAGTACATATGTATCTGTTCAATACATTTTTATATCAGATGCATTAACATGAATTTTTGGCCTTGTTGTTTACTTCTGTTGACCGGGCACATATAATAATTTTACGTGTGGAGGAAAAAAAATAAAAAGGGCATATATACTGTGGACAAAAAAAAAAGAAAACACTGAATAAACTGCAAAAAAAAAAAAAAAAACTGTTATTAGTAATATAAACTAAAACTTGTTAGCCAGAAGAATAGAGTTTTGTATCATACTCGGTAAGTGCAAACACGTAACATTTACATCACTACATTAGCTTTTATTTTTCAATAAATATGTGAAGTTGTAGAGTGAGGGTTTGATCGCTACATTACTCAAACATGAATAAGTGACTCTAAAACCTCTTCAGGCAGGTTTGTAATGAGAAAATAACATTAGAACACAAAAGCTTAAAAAAAACAACACTTAAACAGTGGGTGTGGTTTATGGAACTCACCTGATCGAATGTCGAGATTTGTACCTGCCGTGGCCATCTTACTCCTGCAGGGAAGAACAAAAAAAAAGTTAAAAACTGTGGCGTGTTTTTACCCATCTGTGATGTGTTTTTACCCGTCTGTGGGGCATTATGACCCGTTTGTCGTGTGTTTTTACCCATCTGTTGTACATTTTACTAGTCTGCTGTGTGTTTTTACCTGTCTGCTGTGTGTTTTTACCTGTCTGCTGTGTGTTTTTACCTGTCTGCGGGGCATTATGACCCGTTTGTCGTGTGTTTTTACCCATCTGTTGTACATTTTACCTGTCTGCGGCGTGTTTTTACCCGTCTGTTATACATTTTACTAGTCTGCTGTGTGTTTTTACCTGTCTGCTGTGTGTTTTTACCTGTCTGCTGTGTGTTTTTACCTGTCTGCTGTGTGTTTTTACCTGTCTGCTGTGTGTTTTTACCTGTCTGCGGGGCATTATGACCCGTTTGTCGTGTGTTTTTATCCTGTCTGCAGGGCGTTTTGACCCCATGTCGTGTGTTTTTACCTGTCTGCGGGGCGTTTTTACCCATCTATTGTACATTTTACCTGTCTGCTGTGTGTTTTTACCTGTCTGCTGTGTGTTTTTACCTGTCTGCTGTGTGTTTTTACCTGTCTGCTGTGTGTTTTTACCTGTCTGCGGGGCATTATGACTCGTTTGTCGTGTGTTTTTATCTGTCTGCAGGGCGTTTTGACCCCATGTCGTGTGTTTTTACCTGTCTGCGGGGCGTTTTTACCCATCTATTGTACGTTTTACCTGTCTGCTGTGTGTTTTTACCTGTCTGCGATATGTTTTTACCTGTCTGCGGGGCGTTTTGACCCGTTTGTTGTGTGTTTTTACCTGTCTGCGGCGTGTTTTTATCTGTCTGCTGTGTGTTTGTACCTGTCTTCGGAGCGTTTCCCTGTCTGTGGCATGTTTTTACCCGTCCGTGGCGTGTTTTTACCTGTCTGCGGTGCTGTCCATGGTGGAATCGTCCATGGTATCGGGGTCTGTGTCCAGCCGTTCTCCTTCCTCTTCGTCGCTCTCGGAGGAGGAGGAGCCGGAGGAGGAGCCGGAGGAAGAGGAGAGGCTCTCGTCGTCACTGTCCGCACTGAGCGCCTCGTCTGGGGAGGAGGGAGTATTACATTAGAACTCTGTCGGCTCCATGTGCAAAATAAAAGAAGAGTTTAAATAAGAATAACATCACGTGCAACTCACCATCCGAGTCCTTCTCACTCTCCTCTTCATCCTAAAGAAAAAGCCTCATGTTAGCACTGATGAAAAACAACAGGAGATCGTTCATCCGCACCATTTAAACAGATTCGGGGATGGATTCGTTTTAGCACATTTTTGGAAACCTGGTTTAGTTTGATCATTTGATTCAAACATGTATCTGAGGCTCAGGTGGTCAAATCCTTCAGAACATTTCTCATTGGTTCACACATTTGTCAGCATAGATATGAAGATCTCGTAGATCTCACGTTCAGCCTCTTGGCGTGTGTAAATACCGCTGCTATCTTGGTCTCGTGGTTCCATGGTGTAAAGTCTTCACTGAACGTCATTTGACCAAAGTATCAGCGAGCGTAAAAGTTGGACTTTTGCACCACATACGGGCTGAACCAGGACTAAACTAGAACGAAATGAGACCTAAACCACAATGGAGTGTTTTAGGTCTCATCTTAAGACCCACTTTTATTCTCTGGCTTTTAACACCGCGTGAGTTGTGTGGTCTTCTGTGTCTTTTAATTAATTAATTAATTTATTTATTGTTTTTATCCATTTTATTGTTTCAGTACTGCTTTTATGTATTGATTTTATCATTTTTGTTCATTGATTTTATTATTATTTTATTTATTTTTCTATTAGTGTCCTTATGGTTCTCGGGTAAAAATGTTTTGCATTGTTGTGTGAAGCACTTTGCAAACTGTTTTGTTTATAAAATGTGCTGTACAAATAAAGTTGGATTGGATTGGAAACCAAGACTAATCTTGTTCTACGCGGGCACACCTCCAGGCCCGTCCCGACACTCAGAACCGTAATGAAGCCCAGCACAGTCTGGGGAACAGTGTGGGGGTATCCTGGTCTAGGCCAGCCCAGAGACATAGTCCCTCCAGTCAGTGGGGGTCTTCCCTGGGGCCTCCTCACGGTGGGACATGAACACCTCCTGAGGGAAACGCCCAGGAGGCATCAGAACAGATGCCAGAGCCACATCAACTGGCTCCTCTCAACGTGGAGGAGCAGCGGCTCTACTCTGAGCTCCTCCCGTGTGACTGAGCTCCTCACTCTATCTCTAAGGGAGCGCCCGACACCCTGCGGAGGAAACTCATTTGTGTCGCATGTATCGTGATCTCGTCCTTTCGGTCATTACCCAGAACTCATGACCATATGATGGTTTATGTAATAAAAACACTAAAGTCTTTCTCAGTCTGGTCCATCGTTCCAGGAAAAGATGGGAAATGTCTCGTTTCTAGGGCACAGCACATCCTGAATGCATGTCGAGTGTATTTCTCCCGTTCGTCATTCATTTGATTCACCTGACCCACCCATGTGTGATCACTACCCGCCCAGAAAACTCCAGAATGTTAAAACCCGTCTGTTTCAGCAACTATTTGCAGGTTCCCGACCTGATGCAGGACACACACACAAACACACTGTGAGAAGTGTAAATGTAAAAGAGTGCAACAAACAGTAGGACTGATGTTTTTGCTATTCCAACATGTTTCCGGCTGCACAGACCTTGTCCTCGTCCGATCCGTCCGACGTCTCCTCTCCTTCGCTGTCCAGCTCCCACGGTTTCCTGTTCCTCGGCTTCTTTTTCCTGCGTTTGTTGTCCCTCTCTGCGGCGTGTCTCTCCTCCGCTCTCCTCCTCTCCACTGAAAACAACACAACAGAGTTACGTTTATACATTTTGAAGTAAAGACCAAACACTTAACACTGGTCACACTGGTTTTACACTAATCAAGAAGCAGTTTGTTTAGAAAAGCTGAAAAATGTGTTGAAATTACAGAAAGCAGAGAGTTCTATATTGATGACAAGAGCTTTTTGGCATTAAAATCAGAAACTAGAGCGAATCCAGACCTGGGTCTTCTGGAGGAGTCTGGGGTCTTGGTCTCTTCATGTCTCCCTCCTGCAGCTCCTGAGGCTCTTTCCTCTTCACCTGAAAAAACAAAACAAAACAAAACATTTTAAAAGGAGCTGCGAGATTTAGATTTTAAATTTCATAAACATGACCCAACGGTGGCCTCAGATACAAAGTAAACACGTTAAAATCTAATATACCGTGTTTTTGGGACTATAAAAAATCTGTGTCATTTGTTTGTCATTCATTTGTTTTTCTAAATAAAACCAAAAATAATAAAACGAAAAAAAACAACAATTTTCTTCATTATCTGTCTCCAAAACCAAAATGAAAAAACAGATAACGATTAGTTTTCCAGTTTTCGATTGTGTGTTTAAATGAATAACGCTCTGAAACATGCTTTGTACTAGAGCCCGACCGATATGGATTTTGTTGTGGCCGATATGAAACAGATATAATGGGAGTTGGAGCTGCCGATAGCCGATATAATCGCCGATATATTTAGTGATGTAAAAATTCACTGTAAATCTTGAATTGATTAAAAAACTTAGGTTTGGCTCTAGTGGATTCTAAATTGGGTTTATTTAGGCAACATTTATTGTTATTTTGACTCTTTACATCATATTTACATACAGTAGATTGGCCTAATGGCATTTTTGCATCACATTCTAGCTACTGTTACTGTCACCGCTAGTGATGGGTATTCCGTTTTTTGTTTTTTTTGTTTTTTGGAGAACCGGCTCGGCTCACTAAAGGAACTGGCTCTTTCGGCTCCCAAGCGACTCTTGAGATGGTTTTGTTGCAAGCAGGACTAAACCAGAACTGAACCAGGACTGAGTGTCGGGACTCGGTCTCTATCTCTCTCCTTCACTCGAGCCCAAGTTTAGTCCTGGTTTATTCATTTTATGCTGAACTGCAGCCAAATATGCACTTTTTTTTATCCTATGCACATGCAGATTTCTGAAAGTTTCGTTTTCAGCCGCTGCTGCTGTCAAACTACGGGTCGACATGCGGCATGAAGAGAAAAAGTGAGAAAATGAGAAAACACGGCTCCCAATAAGAAACATGCTCCCGTTGTTCGCTTCAAAGAGCCGGATCTAAGAGCCGCTTTGATCGCGACCGACCCATAACTCCTGCTAGTAAATAAACTACCGCTATTAGCCTTTAGCCGTAAAAACGTGCGCACCGCGGTAATTAATTATATGCATAAATGTGGATCATTCACACGTCTATTCACAGCTCATTTACATATCAATGCAGGCCCAGTAGCAAATATACGGCCAATGTAAACACTTTACAATAGACCAATAGAAAACAGCCTGTTTATGTGTGGGAGCTACAGCAGCTAATCGCTAATAAAAAATAGCCTAAACTAGCTTCAAAGTCGATGTATTTCCAACACTCAGCCTCACACAGGCTCCTCCCACATCACAAGTCTGAACTAATAAATGTCCTTTTAATCCAGACTCAAACCAATTGTCCGAAAAAGAATATAACCTCAGTGTTGCGCACCACTGCGGGTGTAAACAAACACACGCGAGTGAAGTGACGTCACTCTGTGGTGTGTTCAGGGACAGTACGACACAGACAAATTACACCGTAGATAAACATTGATGCGGAGCCACATATTAGGACATTTATCTGTCTGTAAATTGGATTAAATGAACATAATGTAGAGAGTCTAAGCTTTATAACGAGGTATAACATGCCCACGTGAAATATCGGCCCATATCAGCAAGTATATCGGCCGATAGCTGATATGTCTCCAGGTGCCCATATTGGCCGATAATATCGCCCAGCCGATATATCGGTCGGGCTCTACTTTGTACCCTCCTGCGTCAGATGCCCTCCCCTCCTCCCGTTCGCCGTTACCTTGAATGACGGCAGACGCAGCGCCCCCCTCAGGCCGAAGCCCTCCACTCCTCCGCTCTTGGCCCAGTCCACGAGGCTCATGAGCGGCTCTCGGGGTCGACTCAGCTTCTCCTCCTTCTTCTCCTCGTCACGAAGAGCAGAGACACCGCGAACCATCGTCTGGAACGGCTGAAACACAGAGGACGGGACGGAGTCAGTGTCACTATTAAAATAAGTCAACATGATATCAGAGTTTGACAAGAGTGTGAGAAATACACAGATTTTAGTAAAAAATTAGTTTCAGCTTTCAGCAGAGTTTTGGTCATATGTGACTTTTGGAGGACTTTTTTTTCTCCAATGAACAAAGGGCGACAGGAGCGCAGTTGGCAGAATGTTTGTCCACTGATCTGAAGGCTTTGCTCTCGACATAAACATCACTGGTTGAGCGTCAGATCCACAGACCCACAGGTTGGAGGTGTCATTCCAGCTCCCACAGATGAACGCTGTTGCTGTGTTCTTGGGCAAGACACTTAACCCACCTCGCCCCCAGTGTCTGTGTGCACTGGTGAGTGAATGTGCGTGTGGATGGGTGACTGGTTCCTTGTTGTAAAGCACACTGAGAATTGAAGGTGGAAAAGCGCTGTATTAAAATGTGACCTTGAACCATAAACATGACAGCGGAGAAACTGTATCTGTTCCTCTGACATCAAATAGAGGCACCTTGTGGACATTTTAAGAATGACTGTGGCTCTTTGGTAATTTAGAAGAGTTTCAGATTAAAAAGTTTTCTCTAAAAAAAAAAAAAAAAAAATCAAGTAAAATAATATGTAACCAGTAGCCAAAGTAAGGTCACCAAAACACCAACCCCTAAACATTTACCAATTAAGCAAACATTTCTTTTCCATAAGTAGACTCACTTAAGACCTTGGGAGGTAAACTATCTACAACTTTTTTTTGGCCACCATAATGAGCTCCATACCGCCCTGATCTGCCCCTGTGGCTGTTGAGGACCAGGAGGAGAGAGTGTATCACATCAGAACTGAAGTGTCTGTACTGGCTTCATGTGAGCTTCAGGATAGATTTTAAAGACTTCTTATTGGTTTATAAAGCTCTTAAGGGTCTTAGTCCTGTTTATTTTTCTGATCTGCTTTTATCACAAGAGCCTCTCAGACTCTCAGGTCCTCAAGGTCTTGTCTTTGTACTGTCCCAAGAGGCCAAACTGAAACTCTCGCTGAGGTCACATTCAGTTTTTACGGCCCACTGCGAGTGTATTTTTTAAAGTAAACTCAAAACGTATCTTTTAAATTTAGGTTTTAATTTAAACTTTTTCTTGTTTAAATAATAATAAATAATAATAATAATATAAATTTTTTTTTTTTTTTTACTTAGTTTCCATCTAATTTTAGCTTTCAATTTTTTTTTTTTTTTTTTTTTACTATAACCTTCAGGAGCTTTATGTTTTATGTTTCTGTTTAAACTGCTGTGTATATGGATGAAACACTTAATCATTGTAATTTTTCTTGCCGGTGAAGCTCTTTGTGCTACATTTCAAATGTATGAAAAGTGCTATACAAATAACGATTGATTGACATGGAAACAAGGATTAACTGTATCATCTAACCCCGCCCTCTCCCTTTAGCCCCACCCTCTCATTTTAGCCCCGCCCCCTCACCTTGGCCTTGGTCTCCTTTCGCTCCCACCACTCGTCAAATGTGTTGAAGGCCACGTTCTCCACCATCTTCCTGTTCAGGTCCCTCTGCATGATGTTCTTCATCTCCTGGATGAGCGAGGCCAGGACCAGCTGCACCGTGGCCTCGTGGGGGTTTTCGGCCAGAGGAGGCGGCTCTTCCCCGGGCACGCCGCGGTACTCCGCCCCCTCGCCCGCGCCGCCCTCCTGGGAGGCGGGCAGCACGGTGCCGTAGCCCGGCGGAGGCATGAAGGGGAAGTGCGGGGGGGAGCGGGGGCCAGGAGGGAGGGGGCAGGCCGTGAGGGGGGGGCACGGGAGGGGGAGGGAGCTGGGAGCTGTGGGGGTCCGAGTGGTACGGGTACGGCATGTGCGGGGGCATGTATCTGTGACAGAGAGACAACGCAACGTTTAATATGAACATAAACAAACAAGATGGAATTAAACTCTTGAACCCTCTTTCTCTATTTAACTGTGTCTGTGGTGTCTCTCACCTGCGCTCCTGCCTGCGCTCCTGCCTGCGCTCCTGCCTGCGCTCCTGCCTGCGCTCCTGTGTCTCTCACCTGTGCCTCACCTGTGCCTCACCTGTGCCTCACTGTGCCTCACCTGTGCCTCACCTGTGCCTCACGTCTCTCACCTGTGTCTCACCTGTGTCTCACCTGTGTCTCACCTGTGCCTCACCTGTGCCTCACCTGTGCCTCACCTGTGCCTCACCTGTGCCTCACGTCTCTCACCTGTGCCTCACCTGTGCCTCACCTGTGTCTCACCTGTGTCTCACCTGTGTCTCACCTGTGCCTCACCTGTGCCTCACCTGTGGTCCTGTCTGCACTCCTGTCTCTCACCTGCGCTCCTGTCTGTGGTCCTGTGTCTCACCTGTGGTCCTGGTCGTAGTGGGAGCTGCTGCCCTCCTGCTCCATAAAAGGTGGCGGGGGCATCGAGTGCAGGTGGTACGAGCTGTAGTCGGCTGTAGCGCCCTCTCCTGGTCCCGGGGTCAGAGCTGACACAAGAAAATACGTTTAAAAATTATACAACTACTGATTTTTGTCCTTTTGTCCAGTGTCCAGTCTCCTCAGATGTAGTCCTAAAAATATTTATCCCCGGTTCAGTACACGGTCCAGTTGTTGCTTTAATCCCTGGTCCCATCCCTGGTCCTCTCCCCAATTTAGTCCTGGTTCAGTCCCTGGTTCAGTCCCTGGTCCAGTCCCTGGTTCAGTCCCTGGTTCAGTCCCTGTTCCAGTCCCTGGTCCAGTCCCTGGTCGGTCCCCAGTTCGGTCCTCAGTTCACTCGTTGCTTTAGTCCCTGGTTCAGGTGGCACAGGTCTTTGTTTATAAGTTTACTGTCAGTGACCTTCAGTTGTTCGTTAAGTCCTGGTCCAGTCCTGGTCCAGGTCTTTGTTTATAAATTTACCATGGGTCTGACCATCAGTCGTTGGTCTAGTCCCCGGTCTAGTCCCCGGTCTAGTCCCCGGTCTAGGTCTTTGTTTATAAAATCACCATGGGTTTGACCTTCAGTCGTTGGTTTAGTCCTGGTTTAGTCCTGTTTTAGTCCCTGGTTTTAGTCCCTGGTTTTAGTCCCTGGTTTTAGTCCCTGGTTTTAGTCCCTGGTTTTAGTCCCTGGTCTAGGTCTTTGTTTATAAGTTTACTGTTAGTCTGACCTTCAGTCGTTGGTTTAGTCGCTGGTTCAGTCCTTCATTTAGTCCTGGTCTAGTCCCTGGTTTAGTCCCTGGTCCAGGTCTTAGTTTATAAAATCACCATGGGTTTGACCTTCAGTCATTGGTTTAGTCCCCGGTTTAGTCCCCGGTTAGTCCCCGGTCTAGTCCCCGGTCTAGTCCCCGGTCTAGTCCCCGGTCTAGTCCCCGGTCTAGGTCTTTGTTTATAAAATCACAATGGGTTTGACCTTCAGTCGTTGGTTTAGTCCTGTTTTAGTCCCTGGTTTTAGTCCCTGGTTTTAGTCCCTGGTTTTAGTCCCTGGTTTTAGTCCCTGGTCCAGGTCTTTGTTTATAAGTTTACTGTTAGTCTGACCTTCAGTCGTTGGTTTAGTCGCTGGTTCAGTCCTTCATTTAGTCCTGGTCTAGTCCCTGGTTTAGTCCCTGGTTTAGTCCCTGGTCCAGGTCTTAGTTTATAAAATCACCATGGGTTTGACCTTCAGTCATTGGTTTAGTCCCCGGTTTAGTCCCCGGTCTAGTCCCCGGTCTAGTCCCCGGTCTAGTCCCCGGTCTAGTCCCCGGTCTAGTCCCCGGTCTAGTCCCCGGTCTAGTCCCCGGTCTAGTCCCCGGTCTAGTACCCGGTCTAGGTCTTTGTTTATAAAATCACAATGGGTTTGACCTTCAGTCGTTGGTTTAGTCCTGGTTTAGTCCTGTTTTAGTCCCTGGTTTTAGTCCCTGGTTTTAGTCCCCGGTTTAGTCCCCGGTTTAGTCCCTGGTCTAGTCCCCGGTCTAGTCCCCGGTCTAGTCCCCGGTCTAGGTCTTTGTTTATAAAATCACCATGGGTTTGACCTTCAGTCGTTGGTTTAGTCCTGGTTTAGTCCTGGTTTAGTCCCTGGTTTTAGTCCCTGGTTTTAGTCCCTGGTTTTAGTCCCTGGTTTTAGTCCTGGTTTTAGTCCCTGGTTTTAGCCCTGGTCCTAGGTCTTTGTTTATAAGTTTACTGTTAGTCTGACCTTCAGTCGTTGGTTTAGTCGCTGGTTCAGTCCTTCATTTAGTCCTGGTCTAGTCCCTGGTTTAGTCCCTGGTCCAGGTCTTAGTTTATAAAATCACCATGGGTTTGACCTTCAGTCATTTTAGTCCCCGGTTTAGTCCCCGGTTAGTCTAGTGTCTAGTCCCGGTCTAGTCCCGGTCTAGTCCCCGGTCTAGTCCCCGGTCTAGGTCTTTGTTTATAAAATCACAATGGGTTTGACCTTCAGTTTTTAGTCTGGTTTAGTCCTGGTTTTAGTCCCGTTTTAGTCCCTGGTTTTAGTCCCTGGTTTTAGTTTTAGTCCTGGTTTTAGTCCCTGTCCAGTCTTTGTTTATAAGTTTACTGTTAGTCTGACCTTCAGTCGTTGGTTTAGTCGCTGGTTCAGTCCTTCATTTAGTCCTGGTCTAGTCCCTGGTTTAGTCCCTTTAGTCCCTGGTCCAGGTCTTAGTTTATAAAATCACCATGGGTTGACCTTCAGTCATTGGTTTAGTCCCCGGTTTAGTCCCCGGTCTAGTCCCCGGTCTAGTCCCCGGTCTAGTCCCCGGTCTAGTCCCGGTCTATCCCCGGTCTAGTCCCCGGTCTAGTCCCCGGTCTAGTACCCGGTCTAGGTCTTTGTTTATAAAATCACAATGGGTTTGACCTTCAGTCGTTGGTTTAGTCCTGGTTTTAGTCCCTGTTTTAGTCCCTGGTTTTAGTCCCTGGTTTAGTCCCCGGTTTAGTCCCCGTTTAGTCCCTGTCTAGTCCCCGTCTAGTCCCGGTCTAGTCCCCTAGGTCTTTGTTTATAAAATCACCATGGTTTGACCTTCAGTCGTTGGTTTAGTCCTGGTTTAGTCCTGTTTTTAGTCCTGGTTTATCCTGGTTTTAGTCCTTTTAGTCCCTGTTTTAGTCCCTTTTAGTCCCTGGTTTTAGTCCCTTTTTAGTCCCTGGTTTTAGGCCCTGGTCCAGGTCTTTGTTTATAAGTTTACTGTTAGTCTGACCTTCAGTCGTTGTTTAGTCGCCGGTTCAGTCCTTCATTTAGTCCTGGTCTAGTCCCTGGTTTAGTCCCTGTTCAGGTCTTAGTTTATAAAATCACCATGGGTTTGACCTTCAGTCATTGGTTTAGTCCCCCTTAGTCCCGGTCTAGTCCCCGGTCTAGTCCCCGGTCTAGGTCTTTGTTTATAAAATCACCATGGGTTTGACCTTCAGTCGTTGGTTTAGTCCTGTTTTTAGTCCCTGGTTTTAGTCCCTGGTTTTAGTCCCTGGTTTTAGTCCCTGGTTTTAGTCCCTGGTTCAGGTCTTAGTTTATAAAATCACCATGGGTTTGACCTTCAGTCATTGGTTTAGTCCCCGGTTTAGTCCCCGTCCAGGTCTTTGGTGGGTCTGACCTGGCGTGGCGCTGGACGCTGCCACCCTCATCTGGTGCAGTCGGCTGAGCATGTGCGTCTGCATCTGGAAGGACATGGGCGCCCCGCCGCTGTACTGGCTCATCAGCTCCATGGACGAGGCGTAGTCGTACAGGTGCGGCGGGGGCATGGGCGGCGGGTACTCGGGGTGCAGCTCCATGTGGGCGAGGGGGGGGATGCCCGGGGGAGGCGGCGGCTGGAGCGAGTACCCGGGCGGCGGCGGCGGGGCAGGTGCGGCGGGTACGAGGGCATGGGCGGGTGCATGGAGCCGGAGTAGTGCTGCGAGGACGAGGAGTCGGGAGGGGACGAGGAGCCGTCGGCGGGGCGGGCGGGCTGGGGGGCGGAGCTCGGCTGGGCGGAGGAGCCGGGGGAGGAGCCGGGGGCGGGGCGGTGTGCGGCGTGGAGATGGAGGCGGTCTCTCCGTCCTCTTCGTCGGAGATCTCCATGTCCTCGCCGGACGAGTGAGGGGACGGCTGCAGGACAGACAAAACACTTTTACACAAACCACTGAGGGACACAAGTTTAATTTTTATTTAAGAGTTAATTTTATTTAAGAGTTAATTTTATTTAAGAGCTCATTTTTCTTAGTGTTTTTGACTTTGACATTTTTGATTTGATAATCCTGTAGGCCACTTAAAATAATCAGAACTGTTTTCTGGACTAAAAAACATACAAAAAGACACGTTCAGACCCTGGTTTAGTCCCTGGTCCAGTCCTGGTCCAGTCCCTGGTCCACATTAGACCTGTGCAGTCCCTGGTTCAGTCCCTGGCTGTGCCCCTGGTTCAGTCAATGGTTTAGTCCCTGGTTCAGTCAATGGTTTAGTCCCTGGTTTAGTCCCTGGTTTAGTCTCTGGTTTAGTCTCTGGTTTAGTCTCTGGTTTAGTCCCTGGTTTAGTCCCTGGTTTAGTCTCTGGTTCAGTCCCTGGCTGTGCCCCTGGTTCAGTCAATGGTTTAGTCCCTGGTTTAGTCCCTGGTTTAGTCCCTGGTTTAGTCCCTGGTTTAGTCCCTGGTTTAGTCCCTGGTTTAGTCTCTGGTCCAGTCCCTGGTCCAGTCCCTGGTCCAGTCTCGATCAACAGTACCTGGCTCTGTCCGTTGTAGGGCGGTGTGTGGGCTCCGCTCCGGGGGACAGAGTCGACTGCAGAGGTCTGAGATCCGTCCTCGTCTGGGGCCGTGGACCCGGAGAGAGACGCCTGGAGGAGCAGACACTCAGTCAGACTTTTATGTCTCGATTAAAAACACTTTTACTCACCGTATTTTAACACGCCGAGAGAATTGTGTGGACCTTTCACTGTCTTTCATTGTTTTTATTTGCTTTTTAAAAATTTTTATGGCTAGGCACAAATTTTAAATCTTAGTCACATTAATGGCATGAGTTCCTGTGATTAATCATGATTAATCACATGTTATACGCAAAACCAATGAATGACTTCAAACGTAGCGTACAGCTGCACTTTTATTGGAAATGTAAACGAAAGTGCAAACAGAAAATTTGTTTCTACAGGAGCAGGACACGAGTCTGTAAAGTCTATGTTTATTCTTCTTCTTTTGGAGAATCTCACTCAAAAAAAAAAAGGAGTGTTGTGATGAAAAGCGATGGACCGCGCGGTGGATGCTCCTTCAAGCTCTGCGCGCTGTGCGTAATGTGTGTGTGGAGCGACGGCTCTGACTCGTTGCGTCTCTAGTGTTGGGCCGAAGTTTCGCTCCCTTTTGTTTCACTGAATGATTTGCATCAGAGCGTTGGTTTGATATTTCAGACTCGTGAATCTTCAGTGATGAGACAGTTTAGTGTTTCAGTTTTACGAATGACTTTGTCCGTGTCGACTGCGCCGTCTGAAGAAATTTAAAATGAAAATGGCCGTGAAAAAGTTCCTCACCCTTCTCCATGTTTGTTTATCTCGCTTTCTTTCTGTTTTCTGTGAGCGCTGCAGCAGTAAACACTTCTAGGCTCGCTCACAGTGGACGTTTTCAAAATAAAAGTGAGCAACAGACGTTTAGAGTAAAAATAATAAATCATAAAAACTGCATTAAAATTATTGTCGTGATAATGAATTAATTACTTAACACAAGTTAACGTGCCCGACCCTAGTTTTTTCACTGAATTTCTTATGTATTTTATGCTTTATTTTATTTAATGTTTTTGTTTCTTCTGTGTGCAGCATTTTGGAGACTTTGTGTTGGTAAAATGTGCTGTACAAATAAAATTGGACTGGATTATGAACGTTTCACAGAAGTGTTTGTACCTGTTTCTCGTCTGGCGGCGGCGCGGGCTCGGCGTGCGACGAAGAGGAGGAGGAGGGCACGGCCGCCTGTAGCGCCGCGCTCGGACTCTTCCTCCCCTCTCCTCCTCCTCCTCCCTTCCCCCTCTTCCTCCCTCTCTCTCCTCTCCGTCGCTCCTTCTCCCCGGCGTCTCCTCCCTCGCCCTGCTCCCCCTCCCCGCTCTTCCTCCCCTCGCCGTCCCTCCTCTGCCCGTCCTCGTCCTCTTCGTCCGACGCCAGGAACGAGAACTTGGCCTTCTGTTCCTTGAGGAGCATTTCGATGCGAGAGTCCAGGCTGCTGCTGTGGTAGACGAACGGCAGGCTCTCGTTGGTGGAGTCGGGCTCGGGGGAGGAGGAGCCTCGGGCCGGCGGCGGCGGCGAGGCGGCGGGCGGGGGCAGGGGGAGGGAGGTGGAGGTGGGCGAGGCGGCGCAGGAGGAGGAGATGGCGGGAGGGGGCGGGGTCTTGTTGAGGGGCGGGGTTTTGGGTGGAATGGGCGGAGTGCTGGGTCTGCGTTTGGGTTTGGTCCACTGCTCCTTGGGGCTGTCCTGGACCTGAGGACGACAAGAACCATCAGTTAGTGCGTTTGTTCTCGCAGGGAGTTTTTCAAAATAAAACCAATATTAAGAAAACGAAAAAAAAAAAAAAAACTATTTTCTTCAATTATTTGTCTCCAAAACCAAAATGAAAAAACAGATAATGATTTGATTTTTCAGTTTTCGATTTTGTGTTTAAATGGAAAATGGAAAAAACAGATAACGGACTAAACCAGGACCAAACCAGGACCAAACCAGGACTAAAACAGGACTAAAACAGGACCAAACAGGACTAAAACAGGACTAAAACAGGACCAAAAACAGGAAAACAGGACTAAAACAGGACTAAAAACAGGACTAAAACAGGACCAAAACAGGACCAAACAGGACTAAAACAGGACTAAAACAGGACTAAAACAGGACTAAAACAAACCAGGACCAAACCAGGACCAAACCAGGACCAAACCAGGACCAAAACAGGACTAAAACAGGACTAAAACAGGACCGAGGTGCACCTGCGTAAATTGTCGGGTGACCAGGACTGAGACCAGGACCAGATCGTCACCAGACTGGGACTGAGACCGGGACCAGAAAAGGACCAGACCAAGATCAGACCAGGACTGAGACCGTCCTGGTTTAGACCTGGTTTAGACCTGGTTTAGACCTGGTTTAGACCTGGTTTAGATCTGGTTTAGACCTGGTTTAGTCCTGGTTTAGTCCTGGTTTAGTCCTGGTTTAGTCCTGGTTTAGTCCTGGTTTAGACCTGGTTGAGACCTGGTTGAGACCTGGTTGAGACCTGGTTTAGTCCTGGTTTAGTCCTGGTTTAGTCCTGGTTTAGACCTGGTTTAGACCTGGTTTAGACCTGGTTTAGTCCTGGTTTAGACCTGGTTTAGACCTGGTTTAGACCTGGTTTAGACCTGGTTTAGTCCTGGTTTAGTCCTGGTTTAGTCCTGGTTTAGACCTGGTTTAGACCTGGTTTAGATCTGGTTTAGTCCTGGTTTAGTCCTGGTTTAGTCCTGGTTCAGTACATTATCAGTTTTTTTTAATTTTTCATTTAAACACAAAATCAAAAACTGAAAAAACAAATCCTTATCCGTCTTTTCATTTTGGTTTTGGAGACAAATAATTAAGAAAATTGTTGTTTTTTTTCTTTCCCCTAATGAAGTGTTATACTTTTTTTTTTTTTTTCAGTACAACCTGTTATTTCACAATCTGCTGCTGTAGTTGTGTAATAAAAGCATCAGGACCGAGAAATACAAATGAAAAAAAAAAAAAAATGAAAAATAAAATTCACACTTTCATACAAACTACACAGACAGCAAACATTTGTAAACAACTTTTTGAATTCTCTCGTCTATTTTCATACATAAATTGCACCAGATTATAAGATGCATTAAGTGAAACAGACAATATCGTGTGATATTGGTCACACATGAGAAGGTCTGTGTTTACTAGTGTGTAACCAAAATGCCATTGTTCATGAGTTGTGTGTCTGTTAGTTCTGTGTGTTGTGTGTCACCAGAAAAACAAAAAATGGAAATTATTTTTGTTCCAATTAGAATTTTAACGGCTACACTGAAAGAGAAAGGAACTGTTAGAATTAGTGATCATCTGGAAAACTATTCATATTTTACTGTACAAATGCATAGAATTATAAATAGATAATTTTTCTGAGATTTTGAGACACCATCCTTCGTGGAGTTATGACCAAAACACATATTTGACTTTGACCGGTTTCAACCTGTAACATCCAGTGCACCCCGGTTATGTGTGTGTCAACTTGTGTGATGATTGAGTGAATATTTTAGGCCGCAGACGGTTCAGAAATTGCCAAAATTGCCGATCCTTTACAATAGCGTGATCTTTCAATTGACCCGTGTGACCTTAAATGACCTTGAATCGTCACCAAACTTTTCTTGTGGCATCGGGCACGGGGCTTTGACCCATGTACCAAATTTGGTTCGTAAATTGCGGAATTATCGCGGGTGGACAGACACACACACAGACACACACAGACACTCACACAGGGCAAATACAAAACCTGTTCAACGTTAAACCCTGTACGAGGACATCCGTACCTGGACTTGCGTGAAATCGAGGGACTCTGCGACGGCTGCGGCCATGACGGAGGCGGGCGGGAGGGGTGGAGGAGGCGGCGGCGGGGCTGGCGGGTTCTGCGGTGCCGCGTGATGATGGTCCTTTTCGGCGGAGGAGGAGGACGAGGAGGAGGAGGAGGAGGGCGGAGGAGCGGGCGGCACCCTGTCGGCGCACTGCCCCAGCCTGGACTCCTGCGCCGGCGTCGAGTCTTTGTACGCGGACGGCGGCGGGGACAGGCTGTTGGAGGAGGAGCGGTGCGAGTTGTAGCGGGGGTCGTTATTGCCGTAGTCGTCTCGGTCGCGGTCTCGGTCTCTGTCTCGGTCGTGGCTGCTCCTCCTCCGCCCGCCGCCGCTGTGGTTGTGCGAGTGGTGGTGGTTTCGGTGGTGCCTCCCGTGGTCGCCCGATCGAGACCCGGCGCTGTCCCTCCTGCCGTAGCCCCGCTCCTCCCGATGGTGGTGGGAATGGTGCGACGACGAGTATTTCGAGGAAGAGTTCGAGTCCTGGTGGTGGTACGACGACCTCCTGGAGCTGATGCCGCCGGGCGCTCCTCCGTACCTCCCGTCCCGCTCCCTGTCCCGCTCCCGCTCCTGCTCGTACTGGTGCGGCGGCGGCGGCATGCCCGAGTGGTGGGGCACGTGCGGGCCGCTCATGTTGGCGTAGGGAGGCGGGTAGCAGGGCGGTTCGCTGGGGCGGTAACCGGAGGTGGGCGGGTAGAGGGGGCGGCCGCGGTAGTGCACGGTGGAGTCCTGGAGGTCGTCGGGGTAACGCGAGACTTTGTACCCGCCCACGGTGGAGGAGACGGCGGACGAAGAGGAGGAGGAGGGGAGCATGTCCTGGGGAGGGTATCCAGAGCTGGAGCTGTAGCTGCTGTGTCTGAAACCAGAGGAAAGAACAGAACACGTTTACTGAGGAGAACGACGGGGATGAACTAAAACAGACACGTCAAACTCAGGCCCGGGGGTTTATTTTGGTACAATAATAAATGATAAACTTTTCTGCATTCTTCAGTACTATTATTAGTTTGTACGACCATAAATGAAAACAAAAATCCTCACCCATCCAACTGTTGTGTTTCCTTTAAAGTCCCACGCCATTTATTTGTGAAAAAAGTTCGAAAATAGACCATTTAATGACAGTGCGCCTTATAATCCAGAGAGACTAATAGTGCGGAAAATACGATAGGCTAATGAAATTTAAGAATTTTGTGAAAAAAATAAGACTTGAACAATATAATTTAAGACTTTTTAAGGCCTTAATTTAGAAACTTGAAATTTAAGATCTTTTTAAGACTTTTAAGACCCCACGGCTGCTCTGTATTATCACTGAGAGATCTAATGTAAAACGTATTTTCTTCAGCGTTATTAAAGGCCGCCACACACTACAAGAAAATTCATTTTGGGGAGGCATGAATGACTTTGGCTACATTCACACTGCAGCCTGAACTGACCCAAATCTTATTTTTTTGGCCCCTATGCTCCTGTATCTGATCTTTTAATGACTGAATGTCTGAACGACACAGATCCATCTAAGCACTGAGCGCTTGTGAAAGGCGTCGTTCTGCCCTCTGCTGGTCAGTGAGGATGAAACAGAACAGTAAAGATGTCCGACCTGTTTCCGGCGTATCCTGAGTCTTGAGAAAATGGCGTCCCGGAGCGAGAGCTGTGCGGCGTTCCTGATCCGCCCTGAGACGAGGAGGCGGAGCCCGGCGTGAAGGGCGTGTCCAGACGGGGCTCGCTGAAGCTGGGGTCAGAGGTCGGCGCCGGGGGCAGGTTTCCCGCCGTGAGCGCCTGGACTCCGGCGGCCAACACGGCGAGCTCGCTGGACAGACGCCGGCGGATCTCTGAGGACTGAACACAGACGCACCAGCAGGGGGCGCAAGTGAGCGATGAGATGAACACAGTCAGAGTTTAGTTTAGTTCAACTTTAGTTTGAGTTTAGTTTATTCACATCTCGGTTTAAGAATCTCAGAGAATATAAACAGCTGTGTTCACCGTGTCGGGCTGAGTCTGCGTCGGCGCCGGGGGCGGGGCTCTCGTCTGGTCGCTCAGGGCTTTTCCTCCGAGAGGCACCGTCTGTGGAGTGTACGACCCGTTCACGATCAGGTCGTAGTACTTCTGCCTCTGCTGGCCTGGAGGAGAATATTACATTTATGAATTATTATTTTTATGATTTGTTGTGAAGTCAAAACTTTTTTGAGTTTGTGATCATCAAAATGTTATTTACAAATGTATTTTAATCCTTGTGTCATTCGTTCATTTTCAATATAAAGCAAAAATAAGAAACAGAAAAAAACAACTATTTTCTTCATTATTTGTCTCCAAAACCAAAAATGGATCCGGTCTCAGTGCCCGGTCTCAGTGCCCGGTCTCAGTGCCCGGTCTCAGTGCCCGGTCTCAGTGCCCGGTCTCGGTGCCCGGTCTCGGTGCCCGGTCTCAGTCCCAGTCTCAGTGCCATTTTAGTCCTGGTTCAGCACGTTATCAGTTTTTTCCATTTTTCACAAAATTGAAAACTGAAAAAACAAATCATTATCTGTTTTTTCATTTTAGTTTTGGAGACAAATAATGAAGAAAATAGCTGTTTTTTCGTTTTCTTATTTCTGGTTTTATATTGAAAAACGAATGACCGAACGACACACGGATTTATTTTATTCCCCTTTTCTTGTTTTGATTAGACAAAATTAAAAATCGTACACAAAATACAGCACAGTATAATAAGCAGGAGTGTGCAAAAATATTGAAATATCCATATATCGTGTCGCTTAATGTGATGATACAGTATCGATATCGTGGACTGCTGTATCGATATATCGCCAAGAGGATTTTTTTTGGTGTATTTTACTCAATTATTTTCTTACAGCTACAGTTTTGTTGCTTGTTTAGAAACTTAGAAACTCATTTATGCGACACATTTGACAATTTCACTGTTCTGATGATACAGGAAGAGCTCCACTGTGTTTTTTCACCTTTTTTATTGAACCGTATCAATTTGATTTGAAATATATCGTATTAAAAGTGCACTGTATTAAGATATGTGTCGTATCGGTAACTTCTTAATGCTACCCAGCCCCAAATAAGTTTATAAAAAAGTAATAATACCAGACACTAAAGGTTAAAGTACATATTTAAACGACAGATACTTGATAAATAGTTTTCATTTAATCGACTGCAGACTCTGGTTAAACAGAACCTCCGCGTGTACCTTTGATATCGAGCTGTGCGTGGATGGCGTTGCCCATCACAGTGGTGTTGTGCAGATGTTTCACGGTGTCTTTGGCTCCTCTCGTGCTTGTGAACAGGACTCGGGCCAGACCCAGGTGTTTCCTCGTCTTGGGGTGGAACAGGATCTCCATCTCCTCCACCTCCCCGAACTTGGCGCACATCTCCGCCAGAAACGGCTCCTTTATGTTGTCGTTGAGTCGAGCGAACGTCACCTCTTTGAGCGGAATGGGCCCCACGTAAAACTCGTCAAGCTGCGAGAGGAAAAAAAAACAAAAAACAACACAATTCAAAAAACTTTCCTCTCGTCTGCTCCTCTGAGCTCTCGTCTGTACTAGACTCGACGCAAATCAGTGCGGCGCGGGACACATTTTGAAAGCTCACTGCGGGCGCGGGTGGGAGTGGGACTGCACAACGCGGGAGTGGGCGGGTGGGATGATAAACTGCAGTCCCCCAAACTAAATATGAGTGTAAAATAATTTTTACAAATGATGAATGTAAGAATATCATGCATCATTTGTGCTGGAGGTTTTATTTGGCATTAATAAAAACATTTTAAGCAGCAGACCGTCCCCCCGTCCCGTACGCCGCGCGGACAGTCCCTCCTAGAGATGGGCATTCGATGAAATTTTCTTAATCGATCGTCAGAAGAATTAACGATCAATTATCGATTAATCAGTAACAATTTTATATTTAAATGATTATCATTATTATTACTGTCTGCACGACTAATCTGCATAAATAAATTCAACTTTACGACATAAACATAACGACTCTAGAGCCACATCAGCTGTTTGACATTATATGTGTTTAATTCAGTTTTGTTCAAATCTCACAGAAACAAAACTTAAAACCACATCACTAATTTACATAAACTAAGTGAAGATAAAACTCCAGCTCTTGTGTCGCTGATGTGGTTCAACTTGTGTTGGATTAAAAGACATGACTCAGGTGAATACAGGTCAGTGTGACCAGATTTGTGTTTGTCAAAACCAGGACAGCGTACGGGGGGAGGGGGGCGGGGCCTCGTCATCCACATTGAGCGACTCTCACCTGGAAAAACTTTTTCCCACTGGACACAGAAACATATGTGCTGCTTTATCCACTGTGCACATGGACTCACACTTGTCCCAACGCAACGGAAAGTGTGGAATTTCTTGTACAAATCCATCGTTAAATCCACATTTGTGCTTCGGTTCGTTACAGACTGACCCACTGTTTCTGTTTGTGTCTCACTCCTTCTGATGCAGAGACACATGTACACACCTGTTTGGTCACGATACACACAGCAAACTACATTTGGTTTGTCGATTAAAATTAACGTAATCGATTAAATTCTTAATGATCAATTATCGATTAATCGACTAATCATGCCCATCCCTAGTCCCGCCCGTCCTGTACGTCGCGCGGACAGTCCCCCGTACGTCACGTGGGCTGCGCCACTAAACCAGAACTAAACCAGGACTAAACTAGGTCTAAAAACAGGTCTAAAACCAGGACTAAAACAGGATTTAGCCAGGACTTAACCATGCCGCCGGACCGCCCACCGCGCCTCCTCTCATACGCAGCCCAATTCCTTTCGCTTCTCCGTGTTCGATAGAGCTTAAGAAAGCAAAGGTTCCCATCCTGTGGGACCTGTGGGCGGGCGCGGGACAAAATATCGCGGATGCGGGCGGAAACGGGACTGAAAATTACAGTTCTTTGCGGGAGCGGGGGGACGCGGGACTGCAAATTCTGTCCCGCTCAGACCTCTCGTCTGTACCCTCTACCACCTCCTCTGTATCATAATCGTACTTGCCTTAAACTTTGGCACTGGGAGGGACATTTCTTTACATCTGGACCAGAGTCTTCGAGGCCTGGGGTCCCGCAGGTCTCCCACCGGAGGAAACCCAGAGTCCTGCAGAAATAAACAAAAACAAATGCATGTAGAATCCCTCAGTATTCAGGTAGAATCCATGACCGAGGATAAACTCAATTTTTTTTTGCAGCTCGTCCAAGCTGCATCTTCAGTTCTGGTCAGACGCTGGAGGACACTGCAAAAATGCTTGGACAAATTGAATTTCTCCTGCTACACAGGTAAGAACAGTTGAGAGCTCAGGTCAACTAAAACACAATCAATGAACCTGCCCAGGGACGACAGGTGGAAATTAGTTCTGGAGCTACGACCTGCTACAAAGCATCTTTCCTGTTCAGGTTCATGTAGACCAGGGGTGTCAAACTCATTTTGGTCCGGGGGCCGTATCCAACCTACTTTGATCCCAAAGGGGCCGGATCAGAAAACTCATGGTATATAAACCCCAAAAATGACAATAACTTCAAATATTTGTGCAGAGAAACGCAAATCTATTACAGAAATCTTTTTTAATTGATGAACTCTTTCTTATTATAATATTATAAAATTATGAAGAACCTGAAACTTTAAGAAAAATACAATTTGAACACAAAGTTTTAACATGAACCTTGTATGTAAACAGGAATAAGTCAATTTTTGTTGTAAAATCCTGCACTCGGCTCCACTTTTCTCATGTTGGACATTTTTCTGATGAGGGTGTCACGGTCAACAGTCAAAACGATCGTCCTTTAAGAGCGTTTGGAAAGAGACAAGTCTTCATTTGTGCTGCTCTGGTGGGAGGGGCCACGTACAGAGACGTTGGAGATGCTGCTGTGCTCAGCCCCACAGAAAATTACCAATATTTTAATAGAAAATATAATTTAAATATTTTAGTAGAAAATCACCCAAGGGCCACATTAAAGGTCTTGGAGGGCCGGATCTGGCCCCCAGGCCTTATGTTTGACACCTGTGATGTAGACTGTGCACTGTCCCTGTCTCAATAAATAAATAAATTAGTGTTTTCAAACTCAGGGCTCCCACTCTTTTTCAATGACAAAATTTAAAAACTTTTCCATGAACTTTTCATGACTTTACGGCTCCTACATGTGTAGAATTGATCAGACTTTTAGGTCTAAACATAAAATGTGAACTCTTTCCACTCACCTTATGGTTTGGGATTATAGTTTTTTAACATTCTAAATCCTGTTGGTGCATTTACTGTCGTCTCTTTGAAACAAAAGACACAGATGTTCAGAAATAATCAGAACAGACTCATGAGAACTTCACAGAACACTGGAGCTGCATGAAAGAGATACTAAAACTCAATGACCTTTCCAGGCCTAGAAAATTACATTTACAATTTCCATGACTTTTCCAGGATTTCCATGACTGGGAAATTTGATTTTGCAAACTCGATTTTGATACTAAGGAACAGACTTTCATTTATCAAATATCAAAATAAACATATTATTCTTATTATTATTACCAAATTTTTCAGATTATAAAGCTGACGTTGAATTCTCTCATCTATTTTCATTCATAAGGTGTCGATTTTTGAGAAAATTAAAGGATTTTAAGTGCGCCTTAAAGTCTGAAAAATACTGTATAGACTCGATACTCAGCGCTGATTCTGTTAAAAAGGCAGCAATTAACTTGAAAACTGTGACATCACCACGTGGAACAGAGTGTTTTGAGCTTCAAAAATGAAGGACTAATAATAAAGATTTACTCAAACATGTGAATAAAACAAAACACGACTCCAGCTGTTTTTGAGGAGGTAAATTAAACATTAGGACATGACTTACAGCTCACACGAGTCGGTTTTGTTTTGGTTTGTTTAGCCCAAATGTTTCAGACTATAAAGCTCAATATCAATAATGTTGAATTCTCTCGTCTATTTTCGAGAAAATTTAAAGATTTTAAGTGCGCCCTACAGTCCGAAAAATACAGTATAGGCTCGATACTCAGCACTGATTCTGTTAAAAAGGCAGCAGTTAACTTAAAAACTGTGACATCACGACATGGAATTGAGCATTTTGAGTTTCAGAGATGTAAACAGACTAATAATAAAGAGTAGAACCATATATATATATATATATAATCACGATATATATATATATATAATCACCGATATATTTAGTGATGTAAAAATTCACTGTAAATGTTGAATTGTTTAAAAACTTAGGTTTGGCTCTGGTGGATTTTAAATTGGGTTTATTTAGGCAACATTTATTGTTATTCTGCTTCTTTACATCATATTTACAGACAGTAGGTTGACTTAATGGCATTTTTGCATCACATTCTAGACACTAGTGATGGGGATTCCAGTTCTTTTTAGAGAACCGGCTCTTTTGGCTCGGCTCACTAAAAGCTGCTGGTTCTTTTGGCTCCAAGTGGCTCTTCAGATTGTTTGTTACAAGCAGGTCTAAAGCACGTCTAAAGCAGGACTGAATCAGGACTGAACCAGGTTAAACCAGGACTGAAAAAGGACTAAACCGGGACTTATTTATTTTATGCTAAACTACAGTCAAATATGCTAGTTTTTTAATTTTTATTTTTTTTAATCCTACGTACACGCAAATTTCTCAAAGTTTCGTTTTTAGCCGCTGTCATACCACGAATCTGCATGCGGCGTGAAGAGAAAAAAAGTGAGAGAAAGAGAAAACACGGCTCCCAATAAGGATCAGGCTCCCGTCGTTCCCTTCAAAGAGCCGGTTCTAAGAGTCATTTCGTTCGCGACGGACCCATCACTAGTAAAGAAAGTAGCGCTATTAGCCTTCAGCCGTAAATACGTGCGCGCCGCGGTAATTAATTATATGCGCAAATGTCATAATTCACACGTCTATTCACAGCTCATTTACATATCAGTGCAGGTCCAGTAACAAATATACGGCCAATATAGTCACTTTAGAATAGACCAATAGAAAACAGTCTGTTTATGTGCGGGAGCTACAGCAGCTAACCCATAACAAATGACAAAAACTAGCTTCAGAGTCGACATATTTCCAACACTCACCGCTCACTACAGGCTCCTCCTCACATCACAAATCTGAACTAATAAATGTCCTTTTAATTCAGACTCAAAACATTGTCCGTAAAAAGAATATAATCTCAGTGTTTGGATCTGTGTCTGCAGGTGTAAACAAACACACATGAGTGACGCGACTCTGTGGTGTGTTCAGGGACAGTACGACACACACACACAAATGACACCGTAGATAAATACTGATGTGGAGCCACATATTAGGACATTTATCTGTCTGTAAATTGGATTAAATGAACAGAATGTAGAGAGTCTAAGCTTTATAACAGGTATAACATGCCCACGTGAAATATCGGCCCCTATCAGCAAGCATATCGGCCGATAGCCGATATGCCTAAAGTTGCCCATATCAGCCGATAATATCGGCCAACCGATATATCGGTCGGGCTCTAATAAAGAGTTACTCAAACATGTGAATGAAACAAAACACGACTCCAGCTTCTGTTTTTGAGGAGGTAAATTAAACATTAGAACATGACTTAAAGCTCACACGAGTCGGCTCTGTTTTGTTTTTGTTTGTTTATCCGGTGTGTCGTCAGCTCTTGTTAAAAGTCTGAGCCCGTCGGTGCAGATTCTGGACTCACCGGGACACTGAAGTGAACTCCATCGTATCTGTAGATTTTCTGCGTGACGCGGCGAGTGGCTGGATCCTGGACCAGTTTGTAGCTCTTCCACTGCAAACTCACGGCTTTCTGGGAGTCGGCCCCAGTCTCGGGATCCATCCTACAGACGGAGACAGAGACGGAGACAGACCGGACTCAGTAAACAGGACGATGCAGACGGACAGAGTTTAAACGCAACAAAATGTACGACTAAACGATCTCTAAAAAGGCTGAATAAACGAAGGCACGGTCACTGTTTTTTTCTAGCGCAAATTAGGAAATATTTACAAAACGGATTTCAGGAGCCTCCCGGACAACAGACGCTCCGGGAGTTTATTCCGTAAGAAAACACAAACCAGAGAAGAGCCACAGTCGGCGGGTTTAAACCTGAATTCTGCAGCGAACGACACGGTCACGGGTTCGGTTTAAAGAGACATTTCCTAAATCAGAAACTGGGACTAATAAAATAGAGAAACGAGTGCGAAATTAACAAAAACTGACATATTCACGATAACACAAGTCAGTATAGTCATATTTTCTTAGTGTTTTCTGTAATTTTACCTCAACAAAAACCTAAAACAAAAAAATTTAGACGATTTATGCCTCTTTTTAGTGTCGGTGGTGTCAAATTGGTCAAAAATAGGCACAGTTAGGAAATTTCTGGCATAAAACTGGGACAAATCACCCCAGTTTTTTGGTGGTTGGTAATAATAAAATTGTGAAACGAGTTCGTCATTAAGGAAAATTGTTCCGCAGAGACCATTCATGATGAACATGAGTCACATTTTCTTTGTGTTTTGGTCGTTTTTAAGCAGCTTTTCTGAATTTTGACTAAACAGGTGACAATTTATGAGTCTTTTTACTGTCAAAAATAAGGACAACTGGGACGTTTCTTGTATAAAACTGGGACAAATCAATGTTTTTTTGTGAATAAATCAGCTGGGACAAAACTGAGACTGTCCCGGGTAAAAAAGGGACGTCTGGTAACACTAAAACTACAGTACTGATCTGAAGTTGACTGAATCGTTTGGATATTTTCAGTCGTGGAATTGCCAGACTCTACTGAAATAAACGGTAAAAGGAGCTGTTCACTTAAAAACTTCGACTTTAAGCTTCGGAGACGTGGACAGACTAATAATAAAAGGTTTGTCTGGACCAGACGTCGCTATTTACCCGCAACAGTCTCAGCGGATTTATCCAAAACCACTGATTTGTCCCAGTTTTATACAAGAAATGTCCCTTTTTTTGGACCAATCTGATCCCTGCAAAGAGTAAAGAGAGACAAAAACTGTTATTTGTTGAAGTAAAATCCACAAAAGATGCTTAAAAATGATCAAAATGCAAAGAAAATGTGACTGTACCGACTCGTGTGCGGAACAGTTTTCCTTAATGACGCACTCGTTTATTTTACAATTTTATTTTTACCAATCACCACAAAACCGGGGACGTCCCAGTTTTTTTATTTTGGAAATCCGGTCGAACCAAAACAACGTTCTAACACCTCACAAGGGTTAATTTTCCGTAATATAAGAGCTTTAAACTAAATGAAATATCCAGGATGGACAGAAGAGAAAGAGGACACGGAGATGGAGGGGACAGAAAAAACTGAGGACAGAGAAGAAGACACAGAGGAAAAGGAGGACAGAGAGGACCGAGTGGACAGGGAGGACAGAGAAGACAGAGAGGACACAGTGAAGGAGAGGGCAGCGTGGACAGAGGAGAGGACAGAGAAGAGGACAGAGAGGATAACGCAGATAAAAAGGACAGAGGACAGACAGGATAGAGTGGACAGAAAGGATAAACAGGACAGAGTGGACAGAGGACAGACAGGACAGAGGACAGAGGAGGGGATGGAGGAGAGGACAGAGAGGGCAGACAGGACAGAGCGGACAGAGAGAAAACAGAGGACAGAGGAGAAGACAGAGCATAGAGAGGACAGAGGACAGACAGGACAGAGAAGAGGACAGAGAAAACAAGACAGAGAAGTGGACAGAGAGGATAAAGTGAATAAAGAGGACAGAGGAGAGATGGAGGAGAGGACAGAGTAAACAGAGAAAACAGGACAGAAAAGCGGACAGAAGATATAGCGGATAAAGAGGACAGAGGACAGACAGGACAAAGTGAACAGAGGACAGTGGACAGAGAGGAAGAGGACAGAGGACAGAGGAGGAGAGGACAGTGGAGATGGACAGAGGAGGAGAGGACAGAGGACAGTGGACAGAGAGGACAGAGAGGAGGAGAGGACAGAGAGGACAGTGGACAGAGTGGACAGAGGAGGAGAGGACAGAGAGGACAGTGGACAGAGAGGACAGAGAGGAGGCGAGGACAGAGAGGACAGTGGACAGAGTGGACAGTGGAGGAGAGGACAGAGAGGACAGTGGACAGAGTGGACAGTGGAGGCGAGGACAGAGAGGACAGTGGACAGAGTGGACAGAGGAGGAGAGGACAGAGAGGACAGTGGACAGAGAGGACAGTGGACAGAGTGGACAGAGGAGGAGAGGACAGAGAGGACAGTGGACAGAGAGGACAGTGGACAGAGAGGACAGTGGAGGAGAGGACAGAGTGGACAGTGGACAGAGGACAGTGGACAGAGAGGACAGAGGAGGAGAGGACAGAGTGGACAGTGGACAGAGTGGACAGAGGAGGAGAGGACAGAGAGGACAGTGGAGGAGAGGACAGAGTGGACAGTGGACAGAGTGGACAGAGAGGACAGTGGACAGAGTGGACAGAGGAGGAGAGGACAGAGAGGACAGTGGACAGAGAGGACAGTGGACAGAGTGGACAGAGGAGGAGAGGACAGAGAGGACAGTGGACAGAGAGGACAGTGGACAGAGAGGACAGTGGAGGAGAGGACAGAGTGGACAGTGGACAGAGAGGACAGTGGACAGAGAGGACAGAGGAGGAGAGGACAGAGTGGACAGAGTGGACAGAGGACAGAGAGGACAGAGAGGACAGTGGAGGAGAGGACAGAGAGGACAGTGGACAGAGAGGACAGAGGACAGTGGACAGAGTGGACAGAGGAGGAGAGGACAGAGAGGGGAGAGGACAGAGGACAGTGGACAGAGAGGACAGAGGAGAGAGAGGACAGAGAGGACAGTGGACAGAGAGGACAGAGGAGGAGAGGACAGAGTGGACAGTGGACAGAGAGGACAGTGGACAGAGGACAGTGGACAGAGGACAGTGGACAGAGAGGACAGTGGAGGAGAGGACAGAGGAGGACAGTGGACAGAGAGGACAGTGGACAGAGAGGACAGAGGAGGAGAGGACAGTGGACAGAGTGGACAGAGGAGGAGAGGACAGAGAGGACAGTGGACAGAGTGGACAGAGGAGGAGAGGACAGAGACAGTGGACAGAGAGGACAGTGGAGGAGAGGACAGAGAGGACAGTGGACAGAGGACAGTGGAGGAGAGGACAGAGAGGACAGTGGACAGAGAGACAGTGGACAGAGTGGACAGAGGAGGAGAGGACAGAGAGGACAGTGGACAGAGTGGACAGAGGAGGAGAGGACAGAGAGGACAGTGGACAGAGTGGACAGAGGAGGAGAGGACAGTGGACAGTGGACAGAGAGGAGAGTGGACAGAGAGGACAGTGGAGGAGAGGACAGTGGAGGACAGTGGACAGAGAGGACAGTGGACAGAGAGGACAGTGGACAGTGGAGGAGAGGACAGTGGACAGAGTGGACAGAGGAGGAGAGGACAGAGAGGACAGTGGACAGAGTGGACAGAGGAGGAGAGGACAGAGAGGACCGGGGGGACAGGCGGCAGGCGCGCGGGACTCGGCGCGGCCGCTGTCAAAACAATGAGCGTGTTACGTCACAGCGTTAGTTTGTTAGCATCGCGCTGTTAGCATCGGCTAATGTACAACAAACACAGACATAAACATGACACTTTTTGGGCGCAGAGACACGTTTTCTGTTCCGGACACCCGCGCACACGAACCCGGTGACCCGAGACGCGAGCAACGTCCCGTAAACCGAAGCGGAAACGCGTTTTTGTCTCCGGAGGACGAGTTGTGCTCGGCTAACGTTCGGCTAACCCCCAGCGCTAAGATGATGTTAACCGTCCGAGCGCGTGCACCCGCCCTAAACCCGCGAACCCGAACCCCGCGAGCCCGCAACCCGCACCCGAACCCGCACCCTACCCCCCCGACCCCCCCGCACCCGCACCCGCCCGCCGGAGCGCAGGGCCCGGGCACCGCCGCCGCTCCGGAGCCGCGGCCCGAGCGGAGCAGGACGGACGGACCACAAAAACACAGCGCCCTCCGGGACCGTCCGCGCGCCCCCCGAACCGCGCCTCTCCCGGAGCCGCAGCGGAGCCCGCAGCGTCCCGCCGGCTCCCCCGGGCCCCGCGGCGCACCCACTCACGCTCTTCTGTTCTCCGTGTTTTCGCTAAAACTGTGGAAGTGTTGAGAGCGCCGCCATCGCGACACCAACCTGAAACCAGCGTCACGTCTCTGCGCGCTGCGACGGCCCGCGGCACTTTCACCGAGGCACCACAACAACTCCAAGCAAATACACGATTAACACAAAAATCATAAAATAAAACACAGTAAATAATACTGCATTTATTGGTCGTAGCCGGACATGTATTTACTGTTTTAATTGTGTAAGTTGTGCGTGAGTGACGAATCTGCGAGTGACATTTTAACAGATAAAATCACAGCGACTCAACAAACGCCCCCTAGAGGACATGAATGTAAAGACGCGTAAAAACAAAACAAAAACATAAAAATAAATTTACATTTAAATTAATAATAATAATAATAATAATAATAATAATATTATTATTATTATTATTATTATTATTATTATTATTAATATTATTATAACAGACTATTATTATCAATATATGTATAAATATGATGGATATACAAAAGTAAACACAGCACCAGGACAAAACTGTGACTAAACCAGGACTAAACCAGGTCTGAATCAGGTCTGAACCAGGTCTGAACCAGGACTAAACCAGGTCTGAACCAGGACTAAATCAGGACTAAACCAGGTCTTAACCAGGACTAAACCAGGTCTAATGCTTCATTTTAGTCTAGAGTTTGTTTATGTTAAAATAACTCGTCCAGTAAATCGATCTCGCTGCAGGGACACATCATTTCACCACTTTTAATTCATTTTCTGATAGATTTAAGTGTTTTTAAATTAAATTTTGGCCGAGCTTTTTTACAGTGTGTAAAAAACAAAAGCAAACAAACAAACAAACATATAGATTTAGTTTTTGATATCCGCTGGTCCGTGTGTTGGTTCGTTCGCTGTCGGGGGCTGCAGGTCTATTTCAGAATCCGCGAGTGGAAACTGAACCTGGGCCAAAATCTGAAGTTAAATTTAACTCCCTGCACGACGACTCCTCACCACAAAACACAAAACACTAAAAAACACAAAACACTACAAAACACTAAAAAACACAAAACTCCAAACTGTCACCACACGAGGGCGGGACTCACACTTTTACTCAAGTTACTTTTTAAAGACATTTTACTTTTCAGAGGAGCAGTGTACTTTTACTCCGACTTGAGTCATTTATGTTATTAGGGTTTTTTTTTTTTAGGTCTAAACCAGGACTGAACCAGGATTAAACCAGGACTGAACCGGAACTAAACCAGGACTGAACCAGGACTAAACCAGGAATAAACCAGGACTAAACCAGGACTAAACTGGAACTAAACCAGGACTAAACCAGGATTAAACCAGGACTAAACCAGGACTGAACCAGGATTAAACCAGGACTAAACTGGAACTAAACCAGGACTGAACCAGGACTAAACCAGGACTGAACTGGAACTAAACCAGGACTGAACCAGGACTAAACCAGGAATAAACCAGGAATAAACCAGGACTAAACTGGAACTAAACCAGGACTGAACCAGGACTAAACCAGGACTGAACCAGGACTAAACCAGGAATAAACCAGGACTGAAACAGGACTAAACTGGAACTAAACCAGGACTAAACCAGGAATAAACTGGAACTAAACCAGGACTGAACCAGGAATAAACCAGGACTGAACCAGGACTAAACTGGAACTAAACCAGGACTGAACCAGGACTAAACCAGGAATAAACCAGGACTAAACCAGGACTGAACCAGGACTAAACTGGAACTAAACCAGGACTAAACCAGGATTAAACCAGGACTAAACCAGGACTGAACCAGGATTAAACCAGGACTAAACTGGAACTAAACCAGGACTGAACCAGGACTAAACCAGGAATAAACCAGGACTAAACTGGAACTAAACCAGGACTGAACCAGGACTAAACCAGAACTGAACCAGGTCTAAACCAGGTCTAAACCAGGACTAAACCAGGATTAAACCAGGACTAAACCAGGACTGAACCAGGACTGAACCAGGTCTAAACCAGGACTAAACCAGGTCTAAACCAGGACTGAACCAGGACTAAACCAGGATTAAACCAAGACTGAACCAGGACTAAAGACCCAGAGTTTGTTTTCCTCCTGACAGTTTGTTTTTCTTCCTCTCGTCTCGTGATGTTGTTGTGACTTGTGATGTGGATGAAGCTTCATGAAGCTCGACTCTTGAGCCGACGCTTCATCCACTGCGCCATCAAGTGGACAAAACATGTACAACAGACAAACAACAGACAAAATATACAACAGACAAAATATACAACAGACAAAATATACAACAGACAAAATATACAACAGACAAAATATACAACAGACAAAATATACAACAGACAAAAAATATACAACAGGCAAAATATACAACAGACAAAATATACAACAGACAAATATACACAAATATACAACAGGCAAATATACAACAGACAAAATATATACAACAGACAAAAAATATACAACAGACAAAATATACAACAGACAAAATATACAACAAAATATACAACAGGCAAAATATACAACAGGCAAAAATATACAACAGACAAAAATATACAACAGACAAAATATACAACAGACAAAATATACAACAGACAAAATATTCAACACAAATATCAACAGACAAAATATACAACAGACAACAACAGACAAAATATACAACAGACAAAATATACAACAGACAAAATATACAAACAGACAAATTACAACAACAGAAAATAACAACAGACAAAACAAAATATACAACAGACAAAATATACAACAGGACAAAAATATACAACAGACAAAATATACAACAGACAAAATATACAACAGACAAAATATACAACAGACAAAAACTACAACAGACAAACAATAACAACAAATATACAACAGGCAAAATATACAACAGACAAAACATATACAACAGACAAAAAATATACAACAGACAAAATATACAACAGACAAAATATACAACAGACAAAATATACAACAGACAAAAAATATACAACAGACAAAATATACAACAGACAAAATATACAACAAATACAACAAAATATACAACAGACAAAATATACAACAGACAAAAAATATACAACAGACAAAATATACAACAGACAAAATATACAACAGACAAAATATACAACAGACAAAATATACAACAGACAAAATATACAACAGACAAAAAATATACAACAGACAAAATATACAACAGACAAAATATACAACAGACAAAATATACAACAGACAAAATATACAACAGACAAAAAATATACAACAGACAAAATATACAACAGGCAAAATATACAACAGACAAAAAATATACAACAGACAAAATATACAACAGACAAAATATACAACAGACAAAAAATACAACAGACAAAATATACAACAGGCAAAATATACAACAGACAAAACAATACAACAGACAAAATATACAACAGACAAAAAATACAACAGACAAAATATACAACAGACAAAAAAAACAGACAAATATACAACACAAAATATACAACAGACAAAATATACAACAAAATATACAACAGACAAAATATACAAAACAAAATACAACAGACAAAAATACAACAGACAAAATATACAACAGACAAAAATATACAAAATATACAACAGACAAAATATACAACAGACAAAAACTACAACAGACAAAATATATACAACAGGCAAAATATACAACACAAAAAATACAACAGACAAAAATAACAACAGACAAAATATACAACAGACAAAATATACAACAGACAAAAATATACAACAGACAAAATATATACAACAGGACAAAATATACAACAGACAAAAATATACAACAAAATATACAACAGACAAATATACAACAGACAAAATATACAACAGACAAAATATACAACAGGCAAAATATACAACAGACAAAATATACAACAGACAAAAAATATACAACAGGACAAAATATACAACAGACAAAATATTCAACAGACAAAATATACAACAGACAAAATATACAACAGACAAAATATACAACAGACAAAAATATACAACAGACAAAATATACAACAGACAAAATATACAACAGACAAAATATACAACAGACAAAAATATACAACAGGCAAAAATATACAACAGACAAAATATACAACAGCAAATATACAAAAAATATACAACAGACAAAATATACAACAGACAAAATATACAACAGGCAAAATATACAAAATATACAACAGACAAAATATACAACAGACAAAATATACAACAGACAACAGACAAAATATACAACAGAAAATACAACAGACAAAATATACAACAGGCAAATATACAACAGGCAAAATATACAACAGGCAAAATATACAACAGGCAAAATATACAACAGGCAAAATATACAACAGACAAAATATACAACAGACAAAAAATATACAACAGACAAAATATACGACAAAATATACAACAGACAAAAAATACAACAGACAAAATATACAACAGACAAAATATACAACAGACAAAATATACAACAGACAAAATATACAACAGGCAAAATATACAACAGACAAAATATACAACAGACAAAAAATATACAACAGACAAAAATATACAACAGACAAAATATACGACAAAATATACAACAGACAAAAATATACAACAGACAAAATATACAACAGACAAAATATACAACAGACAAAATATACAACAGACAAAATATACAACAGGCAAAATATACAACAGACAAAATATACAACAGACAAAATATTCAACAGACAAAAATATACAACAGACAAAATATACAACAGACAGAGTGAGAATAGATTATTATCACTCTGCCTTTTATACACATTTTTATACTTCTATAAACATTTTTATACTTTTATACACATTTTTATACTTTTATGTACTTTTATACACATATTATACTTTTATGTACTTTTATACACATTTTTGTACTTTTATACACGTTTTTGTACTTTTATACCCGCTTTTGTACTTCTATACACATTTTTATACTTTTATACACATTTTTATACTTTTATGTACTTTTATACACGTGTTTATACTTTTATACACATATTATACTTTTATACACATTTTTATACTTTTATACATTTTTATACTTTTACACTTATATTATACTTTTATACACATTTTTATACTTTTATACTTTTATACACATTTTTATACTTTTATACACATTTTTATACTTTTATGTACTTTTATACACGTGTTTATACTTTTATACTCATATTATACTTTTATACACATTTTTATACTTTTATACACATTTTTACTTTTATACACATTTTTATACTTTTATACACATTTTTATACTTTTATGTACTTTTATACACATTTTTATACTTTTATGTACTTTTATACACATTTTTATACTTTTATACACATTTTTTTACTTTTATACACATTTTTATACTTTTATACTCATATTATACTTTTATACACATTTTTATACTTTTATACACATTTTTACTTTTATACACATTTTTATACTTTTATGTACTTTTATACACATTTTTATACTTTTATACACATTTTTGTACATTTAGATACAACACAACAAACACTTCACCTGAATTTTTTTTTTTTTTTACTAGAAATATATCAGACCAGGGGAAACACTGTGTTGTCAAATGTGTGTATTTAGTTTTATTGTTTATTTATTGACGTCATTATTACTCTAAACCTTATTAGGAAATATCAGCTCAAAATGTTCTCAAACAAACAGGGGATTTTTTTTTTTTCTTGCGGCTCCATCGCAAAAAAAAAAAAAAAAAAAAAAGAATCTCAAATAAAATGTACCAAACTCGCAACAACCTTAATTTGAACCACCACCAGAAATAAAAATATATTTGTGCATGTTTGTATGTTCAGGGTTCTCACTCTTTTTCACTGACAAATTTTCAAAACTTTTCCAGGACTTTTTCATGAGCTAAAGTGAATTTTCCATGACTTTACTTCTCCTACATGTGTAGAACTGATCAGATTTTTAGGGTAAACAGAGCGGTTTGTGTCTCGTGACCGACCGGCCTCCAGATCGTTTTTTACGGTTTTGGTCTCGGCTCGTAAATAAGTCTTTTATTTATAAATCACTTTTCACAGACGTTTGTCACACATGTAGAGTCAAGTCAAACCAGACTAAACCAGGACTGAACCAGGACTAAACCAGGACTGAACCAGGACTAAACCAGGACTAAACCAGGACTGAACCAGGACTGAACCAGGACTAAACCAGGACTAAACCAGGACTAAACCAGGACTAAAGCAGGACTAAACCAGGACTGAACCAGGACTGAACCAGGACTGAACCAGGACTAAACCAGGACTAAACCAGGTCTAAACCAGGACTAAAGCAGGACTAAACCAGGACTGAACTGGGACTAAACCAGGACTAAAGCAGGTCTAAACCAGGACTGAACCAGGACTGAACTGGGACTAAAACAGGACTAAACCGGGACTGAACCGGGACTAAACTAGGGCTAAACCAGGACTGAACCAGGTCTAAACCAGGACTGAACCAGGTCTAAAGCAGGACTAAACCATGACTAAACCAGGTCTAAAGCAGGACTAAACCAGGACTAACGCAGGACTACAACCAGACAAAAACCAGGACTGAACTGGGTCTAAACCAAGACTGAACCAGTAAAAAACACATGCTACAAAATAAAAGCATGAGCAATAAATAAAAAGAAAATCAAATAAATAAATAATAAATAAATAGTAAAAATTAAAAAATTACATAAATTTTTTAAATAAAAATTAAATTTAAATAAAAATAATAATAATTAAATTTAAATAAATAAATAAACATTAAATAAAGAATAAATAATACTACTAATAAAAAATAAATAAAATAAAATAATAATGGACGCATCTAAAACCTCTTTAGGAAAATTTTTGGTGAAAGAACGACGTTATAACCTAAAAAAAAAAAAAAAAAAAATCTAAAAAGTGTGACAGACAGAGCGAGACAAAAGCTGGTGACAGATTCCAGTGCATTTTATTCCATTTGCTCAGAAACAGCTGCATGAAACCATCAGCAGATAAATAAAAAACATGATCGTCTCAAAGTTCATTCACGTCAATAGAGTTTGTATCTTTAAAAAACACGATTTACAGTCAATTTAAAAAACCCACGAACCAGGACTGAACCAGGACTGAACCAGGACTGAACCAGGACTGAACCAGGACTGAACCAGGACTAAACCAGGACTAAACCAGGACTAAACCAGGTCCTGTTCTCCACCATTTTCTGACCCGTGTTCTAATGTCGTTTCCTCGGTTTGTTTTCGTTTCTTTTGGATCGTCTCAGCCCTGAAAAAAGTTGCCGTTCACTTGTAAACTCCCACTTCATGACATCACAAGTTGGAACAGAGCGTTTTGAACATGTGTGGATGAAACAGAACCCGACTCCAGGTTTGTTTTTGACGAGGAAACGGCGTCAAAACACGACTTGAACCTCACAGGAGTCAGAATTTTGGACCTTTGACGAGGTGAATTCAGAATATTTGTGATGGTTTTGAGTTTTTTTAATCAGTGAAATAAATAAAGATTTGATATAAAACACTTTTTTTTACCCAGTTTGAGTTTGTTTTCATGTTTCTCGTCAAAAGCAAAACAAATGTGTAAGAAAATACATTTACAGTGTCAGAAAATAGTGTTGACATGATTCTAAAACGTCAAATTTAAACCAGGACTAAACCAGGACCTAAACCAGGTCTAAACCAGGATTAAATCAGGACTAAACCAGGACCTAAACCAGGGACTAAACCAGGACTGAACCAGGTCTAAACCAGGTCTAAACCAGGACCTAAACCCGGGACTGAACCAGGATTAAGCAAGGATTAAACCGGGATTAAACCGGGTCTAAACCGGGTCTAAACCGGGTCTAAACCGGGTCTAAACCGGGACTGAACTGGGACTAAACCAGGACTAAGCAAGGATTAAACCGGGTCTAAACCGGGTCTAAACCAGGTTTAAACCGGGTGTAAACCGGGACTGAACCGGGACTAAGCAAGGATTAAACCAGGTCTAAACCGGGTCTAAACCGGGTCTGAACCGGGACTGAACCGGGACTGAACCGGGACTGAACCGGGACTGAACCGGGACTAAGCAAGGATTAAACCAGGACTGAACCGGGTCTAAACCGGGACTGAACCGGGACTGAACCGGGACTAAAACAGAACTAAACCAGGTCTAAACCAGGACTGAACCAGGACTAAACCAGGACTAAGCCAGGACTAAGCCAGGACTAAACCAGAATTAAATCAGGTAAACCAGAATTAAAACAGGACTAAACCAGGACTAAACCAGGACTGAACCAGTCTAAACCAGGAAACCAGGTCTAAACCAGTCTAAACCAGAATTAAACCAGGACTAAACCAGGACTAAACCAGGTCTAAACCAGAACTAGAAACGTAGGAATAAAACTAAATGAATGTGACTCAAAACTGGATGAATATTGTGAATTCGAGGCAGTGAAACTCGAGCAGAGAGCGGCGTTTTCTCAGCGTTTGTCGTGGCGTTTGTCGTGGCGTTTGTCGTGGCGTTTGTCGTGGCGTTTGTCGTGGCGTTTGTCGTGGCGTTTGTCGTGGCGTTTGTCGTGGCGTTTGTCGTGGCGTTTGTCGTGGCGTGTTCTCGGTGTTTTTGTGGCGGCGCGTGGAGGACAGCGGGGAGGGGGGCAGCGGCGGTGGCGGCGGCGGTCTGAGCAGAGCACTTCCTGTTTCCTGTCTGAGGTCAGAGTTCACATGGCTTTGACTTTGATCTGCTTCATCTTCATCTGCTTCTTCTCCATCTTCTTCTGCTCGCGACGCTGCGCAGCCTCCTGACCAAACAAACAAACAAACAAACAAACAAACACAGGGACGGTTAAGAACAGCACGTTTGAACACAGGTCAGAGGTCAGAGGTCAGAGAGTAAAACCAAACACCAGCAGAGGGCGCACTGAGGAGAGCGTCACAGTAAGAGCTCAGCTGTGTCGTCCTCGTCCTACAGGAAGTTCACGAAGGAACGTTTTGTGCCTCATCTCTGACATCCAGTTTCTCTTTCCTCGCTTCCGTCTCCTAGATTCCTTTTACTCGCTTCCTTCTCCTTGCTTCCTTTTACTCGCTTCCTTCTCCTCGAGTCCTTCTTCTAGGTTCCTCGCCTCGATTCCTTCTCCTCGATTCTGTGGCTGTGTCTCATTTCTCTTTCCTTGCTTCCTTCTCTAATGCTTCCTCTCCTTGATTCCTTCTCTTCGATTCCTTCTTGATTCTGTGGCTGCATCTCTTTTCTCTTTCCTCGCTTCCTTCACCTCGCTTCCTTCACCTCGCTTCCTTCACCTCGCTTCCTTCACCTCGCTTCCTTCTCCTCGCTTCCTTCTCAATTCTATGGCTGTGTCTCATTTCTCTTTCCTTGCTTCTGTCTCCTCGCTTCCTCCTGCACAAGTCCTTCTCCTCGCTTCGTTCTCCTAGAGTCCTTCTTCTAGGTTCCTCGCCTCGATTCCGTCTCCTCGATTCCTTCTCCTCGATTCTGTGGCTGTGTCTCATTTCTCTTTCCTTGCTTCCTTCTCTAATGCTTCCTCTCCTTGATTCCTTCTCTTCGATTCCTTCTCCTCGATTCCTTCTTGATTCTGTGGCTGCATCTCTTTTCTCTTTCCTCGCTTCCTTCACCTCGCTTCCTTCACCTCGCTTCCTTCACCTCGCTTCCTTCTCCTCGCTTCCTTCTCCTCGCTTCCTTCTCCTCGCTTCCTTCACCTCGCTTCCTTTCCTCGCTTCCTTCTCCTCGCTTCCTTCTCCTCGCTTCCTTCTCAATTCTATGGCTGTGTCTCATTTCTCTTTCCTTGCTTCTGTCTCCTCGCTTCCTCCTGCACAAGTCCTTCTCCTCGCTTCGTTCTCCTAGAGTCCTTCTTCTAGGTTCCTCGCCTCGATTCCGTCTCCTCGATTCCTTCTCCTCGATTCTGTGGCTGTGTCTCATTTCTCTTTCCTTGCTTCCTTCTCTAATGCTTCCTCTCCTTGATTCCTTCTCTTCGATTCCTTCTCCTCGATTCCTTCTTGATTCTGTGGCTGCATCTCTTTTCTCTTTCCTCGCTTCCTTCACCTCGCTTCCTTCACCTCGCTTCCTTCATCTCGCTTCCTTCACCTCGCTTCCTTCTCCTCGCTTCCTTCTCCTCGCTTCCTTCTCCTCGCTTCCTTCTCCTCGCTTCCTTCTCCTCGCTTCCTTCTCAATTCTATGCCTGTGTCTCATTTCTCTTTCCTTGCTTCTGTCTCCTCGCTTCCTCCTGCACAAGTCCTTCTCCTCGCTTCCTCCTCCTCACTTCTGTGGCTGCATCTCAGTTCTCTTTCCTTGATGAATTCTCCTCAATTCTGTGGCTGCCTCTCATTTCTATTTAATCACTTCCTTCTTGTTTTGAGCGTTTTACCAGCACAGACTGAAGTGTGTGTGTTCATGTGTGTGTGTGCCTGTGTGTGTGTGTGTGGGTGTAGTGACCTCCAGGCGGCGCTGTCTCTCGGGATCCTCCTCGTTCATGATCCGCTCTTTCTCCGCTCTCTTCTTCTCCTCGCGGCGGCTCTGAGCTGCTTCCTGTCTCTGAGCGTGAGTCTGTTTGAGGAAGTTTTCCTCGACGCGAGCGCGGTTACGGTCGGCCTTCTGCTTCCCCTGAAACCACAACAACACCACGAGCGCGGGTCAGAGGTCAGAGGTCAGAGACTAAACACAGCCAACAGATCTGAGTCAAACGCAATTACAGTCCAACACCAGCAGGGGTCAGGGCAACACAGGAGTAAAGCAGGACTAAACAAGGATTAAACCAGGACTAAACCAGGACTAAACAAGGACTAAACCAGGACTAAACACGTTCTAAACCTGGACTAAAGCAGGACCAAAAATTTAGTCAACACAAGGACTAAACCAGGGTTAAAACAGAACTCAATAAGAACTAAACCAAGACTAAACCAGGACTAGAAAGTAGGTCTAAACTAGGACTAAAGCAGGACTAAAACAGGACCTAAAAGAGAACTAAAAAGGAGGTCTAGAGCAGGACTAAACCAGGACCAAAAAGTGGGTCTAAAACCGGACTAAACCCGAACTAAACCCAGGACTCAACCAGGACTAAACCCAGGATTAAACACATTCTAAACCAGGACTAAAGCAGAACCAAAACGTTGGTCTACACCAGGACTAAACCAGGGTTAAAACAGGACTTAAACCGGATTAAACCAAGACCAAACAAGGACTAAAAATAGGTGTAAACTAAGACTAAACTAGGACTAAACTGAAAGCAGGATTAAAGCAGGACTAAAGCAGGACTAAACTAGGACTAACACAGGACCTAGAGGAGAATTAAAAAGGAGGTCTAAAGCAGGACTAAAAACTAGGTCTAAAGCCGGTCTAAAGCGTCCCTCTCTCGACAGACAGCAGGTCGGACCTCTCTGTTGAGGCGCAGTTTCTTGACTTTGTCGATGCTGTAGATCACCATGTTCATCAGAGGCAGCAGAGCGTCCATGTCTTTGGGGGAAGTGTGGCCCATCCCAGGCACTGGACACAAAACAAAACAAAACAAAACACAACAGAATGAGACAGCGCCACCATGAGCCCAGCACAGGCACTGCACACACAACAAAACAAAACAAAACACAACAGAATGAGACAGCGCCACCATGAGCCCTGCACACGAACAGCACATGAAACACAGGGTTAAATAAAACTTAAAGTTCAGTTCGTGGTCGTGCGTCAAATCGTCTGCGTCACCTTGAACTCCCTCCACGGCGCGTCTGCATCGACTGACGAGCACCTCTGAAATGTTCTAACTACACGTCAAACTGATGCAGACAATAAAGGCTAGGGGTGTGCAAAAATATTGAAATATCGATATATCGTATTGTTTAATGTGATGATACAGTATCGATATCGTGGGCTGCTGTATCGATATATCACAAAGAGTATTCATTGGTGTATTTTACTACATTATTTTGTTACAGAGCTACAGTTTTGTTGCTTGTTTAGAGGAAGGAAACTCGTTTATGCGACACATTTGACATTTTTGCTGTTTTAATGATTAAAATGGATGTTTCACATGAACTTTGCACAAGAAGTGGTTTAACAAAGACTTTTGGTGTCACAGCCATGATTTACACTTTATTTTTTATTGAACCGTATCGATTTGATTTGAAATATATATCATATCGAATCGAAAGCTCACTGTATCGAGATATGTATCGTATCGTGGCCTGTGTATCGAGATATGTATCGTATCGGCAACTTCTTAACGATACCCAGCCCTAATAAAGGCTGTGATTGTTCGTATCTTCTAGTCTGATTCATCAGCCGGTTTCACTTGGTAGAAACCGTGTGACCTCGCAGCGTTAGGATTCGTTCACTCGACGGTAGGAGGGGACTTTTTTAATTTAACCAATCGCTGCTGTTTGGTCGTGACGTTTGTAAAGCTCCAAATCCTGTAGGAAGAAGAACAATAACGTCTTTCCCCTTGATAAAATTCACCAAAATCCTCGATCTCGGGAATCGTCGCCAACACAGAATCTTTGGCTCTTCGCTGATTGGCTGGAGCCCGAACTCGCACTTCCGGGGTTTTTACGAACCGTCTAGTGTTTTCTGATTCCTGATCTAGTCACTGGAGAGAAATGAAATTGAGCGGAGGCACTAGGTGGCGCCAGACTAACCACCTCTCTACATCCGCTGTACAGATATTTCCAGTTCCGCTTTCCCGCTTTATTTTGTAACACGAACGTCAGGTTTAAATCCTCGCCTCCTCGTGTTGTGGCGGTGAATTACTTCGCGGCGCATAGGCCTCGACGCAGATCCATAAATCAAAAACGACAGCATCAAGGCGACAGCCGCAGAGAGCGATGAGTCGACACAGAACTGTAAAACGGCCTTTAGACAGCGCCACCCTGAGCCCAGACCAGGAACTGTACTACATACTCTGTTTTACTGTTACTGTACTTATTATTTCCATCCAACACTTTTCTCCATGGAAATGTTGTTACTTTGTCTGGAATGTTCCACAGTATGGCATTACACCCTTCTATCTTCATGCAGACCAAACCAGACCAAGCTCCAGGTCAGATCTGTGGAGAGGCGACCCCGCTCACAGTCAGAATGTCTGTTTATCAAGGTATTTTTGAGTTGTAAAACCTGCACCTGTAACTGAATAAATGTAGGGTGACCATATTTCCGTTTGTGAAAACCCGGACACTTGGGGGGCAATTTTGCATGCTTTTTCTTTTTTTTACAGCATATGAACGTGTATTGTGTATTACAGGCGGGTAGTAATTACACACGGGTGAGTCAGGACTTAACCAGGTCTAAACCAGGACTAATCTTGGACTTAAGAGAGAGAACGCCGAGCAGTTTGTCCACAAAGCGCGATCGGGCGATTGCCGCGTTTACCTTCGTGAGGTGCGGAGCTGAGCCGGTCCTTTCTCCTGCGTCACCTCCGAGCCCGACCCCACACTGAGTCCTGTTTCAGTTCTGGTTTAGTTCTGGTTTAGTCCTGGTTTAGTCCTAGTTCAGTCGTGGATTAGTCCTCCTCTTCAGTCCTGGAATCAGTCCTGGGTTAGTCCTGGTTTAGTCTTGGTTCAGTCTGTGTCGTAGGCAGTGCAAAAGTTTGATATAATCTCTGGTTATGTAATAATAACAAAAAGTTACATAATTAACCTTTTATTACCCAAAACATGCTACAGGTCTCCAAGAACAGTTGATAGTCAAGGTCAGTTAAATACAATCAATCAATGAACCTGTCCAGGGCACTGGTGCTAGTGGCTGATACTTCACCCACATGGTGTGTGTGTGTGTGTGTGTGTGTGTGTGTGTGTGTGTGTGTGTGTGTGTGTGTGTGTGTGTGTGTGTGTGTGTGTGTGTGTGTGTGTGTGTGTGTGTGTGTGTGTGTGTGTGTGTGTGTGTGTGTGATCAGTGGGACCGTTGGCGCCGAGTGGCATGGCAGCCGCGCCTCTGTCAGTCTGCCCCAGGGCAGCTGTGGCTACAACAGTAGCTCACCATCACCAGGTATAGAGTGAATGAATAATATATTCTGAATCTAATGCTCTGTAAACCGTCTTTGTGACAAAAAATGTCTGTGAAAAGCGTTATATAAATGGGGACTTACTTTATTACATAAACAGGACACAAGGGTTAATTATAAATAAAAGAGCTTTAGAGCAGAAGTGTCCATCACACACACAGAGTAATGTCAGAAAAGACGGAGCACATCTGTGTCAGAATCAGGAAAAGGACGTCTCTTTTGTTGTAAATATTTAAAAAGTAAAATATTGTAGTTACCGTTAAATGTAAACAGAAGTGTCTTCTTGGTCTCCGGCAGCTTCAGCGGCTGACCCTCCCTACAAACACAAAACAACGTCACGAGATTCAGAATGAAACACAGAAACGGAAACAGGAAACAGGACAAACTCTTACTCTTGCATAAGTTTTGGACCAGAAAATTGGTCCGAAAAATGGATGGACTCGATTTTATCAGCGTGATTGGTGATATAATGCACCATCTGTAAGAGAACACACAGTTTAACACACACAGTTTAACACACACACATATGACACACACACACACACACACACACACAGACTGACACACACACACACACACACACACACACACACACACACACACACACACACAGACACACACACACACACACACACACACACACACACACACACACACACACAGACACAGACACACACACACAGACACACACACACACACACAGACCTGACACAGACACACACAGACACACACAGATCTGACACACACACAGACACACACACACACACACACACAGACACACACACACACACACACACAGACACACACACACACACAGATCTGACACACACACACACACACACACACACACACACACACACACAGACACACACACACACACACACACACACAGACACACACACACACACACACACACACACACACACAGACACACACACACACACACAGACACACACACACACACACACACACAGACACACACACACACACACACACACACACACAGAGGGAGGGATCTGACACACACACACACACAGACAGACACACACACAGAGGGAGGGGATCTGACACACACACACACACACACACACAGAGATCTCACACACACACACACACAGAGGGAGGGAGGGGAGGGCGTCTGTCGTACCTTGTTGTCCATCACTCCGTCCGTCACCTCTCCCATCTCACTGAGGATGGCCAGAGACTCAGGAAGTCCGAACTTGGCCCCGGACTTGGGCTTGTCTCCGCAGAACTCACTCTGAAACAAATACACAGTAAAAGATTCACAGAACAAAAGTTATTATTAACAAAAAAAATAAATAAAAAAAAAAAAAAGGAGTCACCAGAGTTTAAACCACAGACTTTATAAAGTTTTCTATGTTTTCTAAGTGTTCGTCTCCCCAGAGTTCAGCTCAGAAGAGGCTCCCGTTGCTGCGGTTACAGGAGCGAATCTGGAGCCAGACTCCATATTTGGAAATCTGACCGCAAGTATCATAGCAACAAGAGCCAATCACTGAGGTTGAGGTCATTAAATGTGCTCGTCCTTCTCACCGGAAAGCGGGAAAGGGGGCAACGACACGCACTCGCTGTCGACACTAGAGGAGGGACCTCGGGGAATGAAGGCGTCTGATTGGTCCGTTATTTACGTTCAGATCTTGATTTAGGGACAAAATAGAGAAATAAAAAAATCTGGATCATGTAGAGCCGGTTAATATGAACATTTAAGACCAAAATTGGAAGTGCTCCCATGTCCATTCATAATATAGAACTATAATAAAATGTCAAGATGAATCTAAGTTTGCGTCGTGTTGTTTTCAGGGGTCTGTGTCATCAGCTCATGGGCCCAAAAATAATTCCTCCCACCCGTGTGACGTCTGCAACGTCCACGGCATGGAGCATTTGGACCAATCAGAGCGAGAGCTGCTAGAGCGGAGCGAGCAGCGAGGCTCAGTCTGACAAAGATCACTTTAGACTTCAAAATTCTATTAACTGAAACAACCGATCCTGTGTAAATCAGAGTTTTAGTTCAACGTGGACGAGCCCTGAAATCACAGAGACATGATCCGTAAACCAGGTCCGAGGTGCTTAGGGTCAGAGGTTCAGACGGTCCTCACCAGGTCCTGCATCTCCTTCTGCAGTCGCGCCATCGCCTTCTTCGTCCCCACGGCGAAAACAAACGTGTCCATGTCCTCATCGTTCAGCGTCACTTTGATTTGCTGAAAACGCAGAAACAAAAGAGGAACGAGTCAAGAATTATTTAAGCTTCTGTTTGGAAAGAAAGTTACATGTTTGGACTTTAAATTGTCTTTGACAGATGACAGTTTGAAAATAAAGCTCACCACTTGGTCGCAGGCGGGCCTCATCATTCTGGCGAGGACGTTGAGCAGGTCCTGCCTCTTCAGGAACTGGAACCAAACAAAAACATTAAATAAAAAAAAACACACATCACAGTTAAAAGTCTCTCTGCTCAGCCCTGACAAACAGCGCCCCCTGGTGACCTCTGGGTGCTCTTCAGATGTGTCAGATTATACATAACTTTATATAAATGGACATAGTTAATCCGCCAGCAACTGTGTTCCAAACAGGAAGTGAGCATGGGCGTGTTTCTGGCTCCAGTTCACTTTCTATTGAAATAACGTCACCTCTCTCTCTCTAACTGCTGTGGTCTGACGCTTCATTTTCTAGCGCCCCCTCCTGGTCTGTGTGTGTATTACCTTCAGCTGTTTGAGCACATGTCCCCCGTATACTGCCCCCTCCTGGTGTCTCTGTGTTAGTGTTGGGCCAAACCAGTCGACTCTTGTGTGTGTCACTTTAAGAAAAGTCACGTGACCGATATATCGACTGTATCGTCTGGTGTGTCTCGTGTCGGAGCGCTGAGGCGGCTTGTTTAGAGTGAAGAGTGCGAGACTCAAATCTGTCACTGTGAACGACTCAGTGTTCACGCCGGAAATCAGAGTGTTTGGGGACGAAGTAAAACTTGTTTTTTCTAAATGAATCGTGACGACACAGAAGACGTCAGCACATTCATCCGGGTCACACGCAGTAAAATAAAGAAACAAAGAGCAACTGAAACTATCACGTATGTAATTAAAAGTTTTAAGTTGACAAAAACTGTTCCGTCCCGTTGGTCTTGCATGTGTCCGTGTTTGCCTGATAATACTATATATTATTGATTACATCTTCGGATTGGGCGTCACTGTCGCAGATCAATGTTGTCGCAGAGTTTGACACATAAATAATGACTTGTATAAGTACAAACACTCGCTGGTGTCGATGATGTGATCTGTGATTGTTATTTTCCTCCCTATGATGTCCATTTTCGTACGGCCTTGTTTTTATTTGGTGGTAAATCAGGTTCATGTAAACAGTTTGAACGCGGCTCGTTCACTGGTGAGAACTTTGGTTCCCGGTGGAACTGGTGCAGGAACCGACACCGGCACCGTTCTGACAGACCTGAAAACAGCTCTAGAGGCCTCATCTTCTCATTACTATTCTGTATATTACCTTGAGATATATGAGCATGTGTCCCCTGTATACTGCCCCCTGTGGGTCTGTAGGTGTATTACCTTGAGATATATGAGCATGTGTGGCCTGTATACTGCCCCCTGTGGGTCTGTAGGTGTATTACCTTGAGATATATGAGCATGTGTGGCCTGTATACTGCCCCCTGTGGGTCTGTAGGTGTATTACCTTGAGCTGTATGAGCATGTGTCACCTGTATACTGCCCCCTGTGGGTCTGTAGGTGTATTACCTTGAGCTGTATGAGCATGTGTCACCTGTATACTGCCCCCTGTGGGTCTGTAGGTGTATTACCTTGAGCTGTATGAGCATGTGTCACCTGTATACTGCCCCCTGTGGGTCTGTAGGTGTATTACCTTGAGCTGTATGAGCATGTGTCACCTGTATACTGCCCCCTGTGGGTCTGTAGGTGTATTACCTTGAGCTGTATGAGCATGTGTCCCTGTATACTGCCCCCTGTGGGTCTGTAGGTGTATTACCTTGAGCTGTATGAGCATGTGTTGCCTGTATACTGCCCCCTGTGGGTCTGTAGGTGTATTACCTTGAGCTGTATGAGCATGCCCTCACAGCAGACTCGTCCTGAGCACCACAGGTTGTAGATGTGCTCGTTCTCCTGGTTCAGGGTCCCGGTGCTCACGGCCTCTTTACTCGTCCCATCGTCTCCTACAAACAAACACATGACACATGTAGAAATAAGCAGGTGACCGACCTTTGAGGAGAAAAGTTACACACTGAGGCTTTAAAGTTCTTACCGACGAGCGCGAAGTTGCTCTCGAGCAGCTCGCGGTGGGAGTTGAACCAGGCGTGGGCCAGACGGCTGTTCTTGTTCTTCCCGATGATGTAGTTCATGATGTAGGCCAGAAGTCCAGTCACCATCAGGATCTCCATGTAGTAACTCTCCCAGCTGTTCTGCAGGTGAGCGGGCACCTGGAACCACCAACACACAACACAAACTCTATTTAGACATTTTAGAATAGATTTTAAGACTTTATTGTTTGCTTTCCACGAGACAAGATTTAACACCAGGAAATCGGAGTGTTACCGTGTGGATGATGAGAGGGTCCCTCATGGAGTGACTGGTTTTCTCCATGTCCCCGATTCCCTCAAACTCCTCCTGGTCGTATTTACTGTACAGGTCCTGGTCCTGGAGAAACAACAGTAACTCATATTAACTCATATTAACTCATATTAACTCATATTAACTCATATTAACTCATATCAAGTCATATTAACTCATATTAACTCATATTAACTCATATCAAGTCATATTAACTCACACTAGAGCATGGAAACCCGACCGAAGTCTGAGCTCTGCGCTTCTAGTTTAGGTCCAAGTCAAAACTGTGTGATTATTATTTGTGAAATGAGGAGCAATATTTCAGATACAGGACTTTTTAAAAAGTATAAAAAAATTGGAGATAATGTCTACAGGAAGTAGAGCCACTGTCGCTGTGTGGATGTAAACAGACACACGTGAGGAACAGCTTATGAACATATGAAACTACATATCCCATGATTCTAGGGATGTGACAGTAACCAAAATATCGTGATATCGTATCGTCAAAGTTCTCACAATAATATCGTGGACCATCACTATATATCTAATTACAAGTTTCTTTGCTTACATGAAGAGTTCTGGTGCAGCAACAGCTTAAAAAAAAAAAAAAAAAACACAGAGGGAACTACATAGACCATGATCCTTTGCTCCATTTCAGTGCAGACGACAAGAAGAAATAACAGTTCTAACACTTTTAAATCTTAGTTCTTTGGATTAAGTCTCGTCAAGGCATTTTAAGAGGAAAAAGAAGAATATTAACAGTTTCAGCTGTTTAGCGTAAACAAAATATCTCAATAAATATCGTATCGTGAGATGTTTACCGTGAAAACATTGTACAGAGAGATTTGAGTATTGTTACATCCCTAATATTGAGAATCTCCACCATATCATGAAATTTCCCACAACATCGTAATAAATATTGTATCGTGAGGTTCATACCGTGACGATATCGTATCGTGAGACTTGGATATCGTTACACCCCTACATGATTCATTTCAGACAACATGAAGAAATATGTTTTTTACTTGAATTTTTGTGATTATGACGGAAATAATTCACACCAAAATCTTGTCAAGGTGTTTTAAAAGCAAAAAAGTTTCCTGTCTACAATTATATCAGCTTCTCTAAAATATTGCAATAAATATCATACGGTGAGATGCATATCGTGATAATATCGTCCCAAGAGATTTGAATATCGATACATCCTTACTAATTGTTTTTCCCTCTTATGTCTGCTTTATGTGCACAAAAAGTTAAAGTGTCCCGTGCCTGACCTGCGTCTCTGGATCGTCAAACCCGTCCTGTCCCTCCTCCAGCTCCACCGTGGCCTCGTCGTCCTCGTCTTCGTCGGCGGCGGAGGGGGCCGTGTATCGCGGCGGGGCGGAGTCTTCGTTCTCCGTCACGGAATCTTCGCTCAGCTCCTCGAACTCGGCGAAGTCGTTGTCGTCGAAGTCGGCCAGGTCCTCCCCGTCGTCGAAGTCGTCGTTGTAGCGCCCCCTGGAGACTGGGAGGGCCAGGAGGAAGAGGAGCAGGAGGGGCAGGGCGCGCATGATGCTGCTGCTGCTGCTGCTGCTGCTCGGGCCTGGGACAAAAACTGGAAATACACGGAAAAGTCTTTAGTAAATCAGTTTTAAAGTTTTAAATCAGGATATGACTGATGACGTGTTTTTGTGTGTAAAAAAACTACCGTATTTTTCGGACAGTAAGTCGCACTTTTTTTTTCATGGTTTAGATGTTTCCTGTGACTTATGCTCCGGTGAGACTTATATATTAAAATGATCAGGCTGTGTGTCAGTATCTAGGTACTGTTCCTCCTGTACCACTGTCACTTCGCTCTACTGCGCATGTCTCCTGTAGAAAAAGCCGCTGTCTCGCTGCAAATAGTGAAATATTCAGCCGGTAATCGAGCAGCAGAAAGAAAGTTTGGAGTGAGAGAGAAACTTGTGATTGACTGGCGGAAAGCAGAGATGGAGAACACAGCTTCACAGGAACCGGGCGAGTGCATCATGAAACTTTCCTGAAGTCACTGGATGGACGGACAAAGTCTGGACTTCAATGACACCGAATCCATCCTGTCGGGATTCAGAAAGACCCGAATAATTCTAACTGGAACTGACGCTGAGTCTGACAACAGCGACACAGAAGAGGAAGCGGCGCTCTGTTTACATCATGGATCTACGGTTAATCTCCAGAGGTCGCACAGAAGTGACACTGAGGATGAAGAACTGAATGGATTTAGTGATTTGGAGTGAGATCGTGAGTTTGGTAAACTTATAATTATCTGAAGAACTGTTAATATGTTACGTTAACACACCAGATGCCTATTCAGCCTGTTGTTCTCTGTTCTGTTGTTACTACTATATGTGAAGAATCCCTCAGTCGTCCAGGTAGAATCCATGTCAAGGAGAAAATTCAGTTTGTCGTTTCACAGCTCATCCAAGCTGAACTGAAGAAGCAGCTTGGATGAGCTGTGAAACATCTTCAACCAAACTTAACTTTTGTCCAGTCGACAAACTGAATTTTCTCCTTGACATGTTATTGCTATAGTTACCTTTCAAGATAAAATGTAGGTTCCTGGTCTCTGACTTTACAAAATACACTTTCCTAAAAAGTGCGACTTATACATGTTTTTTTCTTCTTCATTGGGCATTTTTTGGCTGGTGCGACTTATACTCCGAAAAATACGTTATTACAATATTTGTAACTGTAATAAAACTACACTAGGAAGATATTATTATTGTTTTTCCTGAAATGTTTCAGAGTATGGCTTTAAACCTTTCTATCTTCAAGGAGACCAAACCAGATTAAGTTACAGGTCAGATCTGCGGAGAGGCGACCACGCTCAAAGTCAGATTGTCTGTTTTTCTAGGCGATTTTGAGCTGTAAAACCTGCACTTGTGATTAAAGAAATGTAAAGTCGAGCTGATTAATGTCACACTGTGGAACATTCCAGGCAGAGCAACGACATCTCCATAGAAACAAACGCGTAACAAACCCCCAACCGTGCACGATAATATTGAAAACCAAACCATAAAGCAGAATTACCCATTTAGAATTATCTAAACGCACAATATTGTAAAAAAAAATAATAAACTTAAAGGTGCACTGTGTAACTTTTCTTTCTAGTCTCCATGTACCTAGAATGTTTCACAGTAAGGTACTAAACTTATCCGTCTCCGTGGAGGCAAGCAGGCCAAGGTACAGATCAGTTCGGTGGAGAGGCGAGCCCGAACTCATTTATGCGACACATTTGACATTTTCACTGTTTTGACGATTAAAATGTTTGTGTTTCATACGAACTTTGCACAAGAAGAAGAGATTTAACAAAGAATTTTAATATCACAAACACGATTTAGCGATTATTTTATTTTTACTGAACCGTATCGAATCGTTTTCAAATATATCATATCAAATCGCACTGAATCGAAAGTATGAATTGTATCGGCAAATTCTTAACGATAACCGGTCCCTATATAAAATGTTGTTACTTCAAAACCTAATGTTTTTACCGTAAACACTCCTGGCACATGTTTAACACACAAACTCTGCTTATTTACATATTTAGGGTAACCAGATCTTCAAAAAAAAAAAAAAAACTGGGACGTCCTGGTTTGTGGTGGTTGGTAAAAATAAAATTGTGAAACGAGTTCGAAAAAAAAAAAAAACTGTTATGCACTCAGCACTAATGCGAGTCAGTAGAGTCACATTTTCCTTGTGTTTTGGTCGTTTTTAAGCAGCTTTTCTGTATTTTACCTTAAGAAATGTCAATATATGTCTCTCTTTACTGTTGGCAGGGATCACATTGGTCAAAAATAGGGACACTTGGGACATTTCTTGTATAAAACTAAACCAGGTCTAAACTAGATCTAAACCAGGACTAAAAAACAGGACTAAACCAGAACTAAAACCAGGTCTAAACTAGATCTAAACTAGACCTAAACCAGGACTAAAACAGGTCTAAACCAAGACTAAAACCAGGTCTAAAGCAGGACTAAAACCAGGTCTAAAGCAGGACTAAAACCAGGTCTAAAACCAGGACTAAAAATCTAAACTAGATCTAAACCAGGTCAAAACCAGGACTAAAACCAGGTCTAAACTAGATCTAAAAGACTAAACCAGGACTAAAAACTAGACTAAAAGGTCTAAAGCAGGACTAAAACCAGGTCTAAACAGACTAAACCAGGTCTAAAACCAGGACTAAAACCAGGTCTAAAACCAGGACTAAAACCAGGTCTAAAACTAGTCTAAACTAACCAGGACTAAAACCAGTCTAAACTAGATCTAAATCTAAACCAGGACTAAAACCAGGTCTAAACCAAGACTAAAACCAGGTCTAAAACCAGGTCTAAAACAGGTCTAAAACCAGGACTAAAACCAGACTAAAAAGACTAAAACCAGGACTAAACTAGGACTAAACCAGGTCTAAACCAGGACTAAAACCAGGTCTAAACCAGACAGTCTAAAAGACTAAACTAAACCAGGACTAAAACCAGGTCTAAACTAGATCTAAACTAGACCTAAACCAGGACTAAAACCAGGTCTAAGCCAAGACTAAAACCAGGTCTAAAGCAGGACTAAAACCAGGTCTAAAGCAGGACTAAAACCAGGTCTAAAACCAGGACTAAAACCAGATCTAAACTAGATCTAAACCAGGACTAAAAAACCAGGACTAAACCAGACTAAAACCAGGTCTAAACTAGATCTAAACTAGACTAAACAGGACTAAAAACCAGGTCTAAAACCAGGACTAAAACCAGGTCTAAACCAGGACTAAAACCAGGTCTAAACTAGATCTAAACCAGGTCGAAACCAGGACTAAAACCAGGTCTAAACTAGATCTAAACTAGATCTAAACCAGGACTAAAACCAGGTCTAAACCAGGACTAAAACCAGGTCTAAACCAGGACTAAAACCAGGACTAAATCTAAGGACTAAAACCAGGTCTAAACCAGACTAAAAACCAGGTCTAAACCAGGACTAAAACCAGGTCTAAACCAGGACTAAAACCAGGTCTAAACCAGGACTAAAACCGGGTCTAAACTAGATCTAAACCAGGACTAAACCATGCTGTGTGGACATGTCTCCTCGTCTTCTATCAATAATATTTTTTTAATTTGGTTGAGTAAAGTTATGTTGTTAAGATTGCCTCGTCTTTGTTTCTCTACAGCAAATCAAGTAATCCAAAGTATTCAGATTACATTACTCACTTTAAGTAATTTAATGGATTACGTTACAAACTACATTTTGGGATATGTAATCTGTAATCTGTAGGGGATTACATTTTAAAAGTCACCTTCCCAACACTGATGTTTACTCAACTAAAGCTAATTTCTACGTAAACATGTTTGGTATTATAATTTCATCACACTCCTCTGTCGGTTTGTGGTTAGATTTCTCCCATGCAAAGTCCAAAGTAACGGAAATTAGGCTTTAAATTAATAAAAAAACAGATGGTGAAGATTAAGAGTTGATTTAAGCTCCTGTCACCAGCGTGAACCGAGAGTTACAGATTAGCATTTGGGCTAATCACCTACCCGATCTGCAGTTATTAGACGTGTTTCCTTGCACGTTTTGTCAGCGATTTAAATAAACAAATTATCCTTTACGTGATGACACCGGCGGGTTTAAATCCCCTCAAAGTTAAAGCCCTGAACCCCCCGCGGCGATGATGAGCCCTGAGTAAATCTCGATTAGCCCGACGCTGTAGCTAGTGCCGCAGATCAGGCAGGGTCCGTGCGCGGCGTGACAGAGAGAAAGACGCCGTGAACGCGACGCGGATTCGGGGCGGACGCGGTGGAAAGTGAAAGTGTGCGCGGGTGAGAAGCGGAGGGGTGTACCTGTGTGTGAGCGGCGTGTGAGCGGGGACAGAGGGTCCGGAGTGCGCGGGGGACTGGAGCTCTGATGACCTCTGGGGGAGAATCCGGAGCGACGGAGTGTGCGGAGTGACCACGGCGCAGTCACGTGACACGCGTAAACAAGGAGAGAAACCGCCCCCCGCCGGTGAGGAGGAGGAGCAGCACCACAGGGAAAAAACTATTTCAGGTGGAACCAGTGTTGGGAAGGTGACTTTTAATATGTATTCCCCTACAGATTGCAGATTACATACACCAAAATGTAGTTTGTAACGTAATCCATTAAATTACTTAAAGTGAGTAACGTAATCTGAATACTTTGGATTACTTGATTTGCTGTAAGACTAGGAAATCATAACGTAAAATGTTTTGTCTGATAAAAGAAAATAAAAAAGCCCAGATTTTACTGAACCAAATTAAAAATATTATTAATAGAAGAGGAGGAGACACGTCCACACAGCAGGATTTAGTCCTGTTAAATCCTGTTTGAGACATGGTTTAGACCTGGTTTTAGTCCTGGTTTAGTCCTGGTTCAGTCTTGGTTTAGTCCTGGTTTAGTCCTGGTTTAGACCTGGTTTAAACATGGTTTTAGAACTGGTTTAGACCTGGTTTAGTCCTGGTTCAGTCTTGGTTATGTCCTGATTTAGACCTGGTTTAGACCAGGTTTAGAACTGGTTTGGACCTGGTTTAATGAGTGGAATTACCGGAAGAAAACAAACACATTTTTTTTAAAAAGGGGGTATTGCCCAAAATGTGAAAACAGTAAAATCCCTCTGTGTAATCCATTTATTTCAGCCAAGTAACTGTAATCCAATTACCACTCATTGAAACAGTAACTGTAGCTGAACATACAGTTACTCATAATTTGTACTCTGATTACGTAACTTCGGTACATGTAATCTGTTACTCCCAACACTGAGTGGAACTAAACATTAAATCCACTTTTTTTGCTCCTAAACTCTGTACATATGGTATTTTAATAACATTATCTATCGTACATAGTTATATTTTTTGGTCATTTTAGTACAAATTAAACTTAGGCAAGGCAAGGCAAGTTTATTTGTACAGCACAATTTGTACACAAAGTAATTCAAAGTGCTTTACAGAATAAGAAATACATTAAAATCATAAGAAATACATTAAAATTAGACAAATTTAGACAAACTTTATTGATCCACAAGGGAAATTACTTGAGACACAGTAGTTCACACATCATTACAATAACACAGAATTTAAAAATAGTTTTAAGAAATGGTAATAAACTTCTAAATAAGTAACAACAAAAAAACAAACAAACAAACAAACAAAAATTAGCAAGAGATTGGTATTAATAAGACATAAATTATATAAATGTATGTACAGGAAGTAAAAATCACACATCACATCATAATATATAAATATAATCAAAATATATAAACACATCATAATATATTATAATAACAAAGAGTAAAAAATATATATACCTTCTAAATAGTAGCAAAATAGCAAGAAACGGATGTAAACAATTATAATTAATCAAAATGATAATTAATAAAAAATAATTAAGTATGGTACATTTGCAGCTTTCTGGTCAAAAAGCCTAAATCTAAGCACGTGCTGCCTTCAGTGGCCTCTGTGATTTCTAGTTGTTGGTGACATCACACAGAACTGCTCTGAATACAGACAGGTGTTTCTGAAACAAACACCTGTCTGCAGGGGCGGAGTTTGACCTCCAGGCACTGTCCAGTTTATCAGTTTTATTTGAAATGTGAGTTTAGTCCAAGTTTCACTTTTGTTCACAGGGAAGGCTTCGTTTAGAGAAATATATACTTGACTGTTTTCTCTTTCTAATGTTTCCTCATCAAAAACATTGAATAGAGTTGTTTATTCATCAACATGACACACAAACACAAACACACACCAGGGTCACTCAAAAGCTCTTGAAAAAAAGGCTCAACCTAAATTGTCTGAATTGTAATGAATGGAATGTTTTTGCTTGTATAAAATATATATTTTTTAATGACTAGTGTTCAATAACATCTATATGGGCTATAAAGTAAATATATATTTCCACTTCTCTGGTAGAAGAGGGACATTAGAGTCGCCAGCGTATCTGAAAGTATCACTGGATTAGACCAAGACTCAACCAGAATTAGAACCAAACCAAACCAAGTCTGTATCAGTTTCACCACACAGCTGCAGACACAGCTAACTATAACTTTGTTGCTCGCCTCGTTTAAAGTGCTTCACTCCTTTGTGGGGGGTTTTTGTATCTTTTTTTTCTTCTTCTTGCTTTGCTTATTTTATTCATCTGTATCTAACACGAATAAACAAGTGTGTAAACAGTCGCCTGATGTTCCATAATATAATATTTTAAACTAGTTTGGATCTAGTTTGCAAAATCCCTCTCTTGCTCCGGAGCCGCTCTGGAGCCGCACTGGAGCTGTTCTTGAGCCGCTCTGGAGCCGCTCTGGAGCCGCTCTGGGCTGGAGCAGCTTTAAAGCCGCACTGGAGCCACACTGGAGCTGTTCTTGAGCCGCTCTGGAGCCGCTTTGGAGCCGTTTTGGAGCCAGTCTGGAGCCGCTTTGGAGCTGTTCTTGAGCCGCTCTGGAGCCTCTTTGGAGCCACTCTGTAGCCGCACTGGAGCCGCTTTGGAGCCGTTTTGGAGCCAGTCTGGAGCCGCTTTGGAGCTGTTCTTGAGCCGCTCTGGAGCCGCTTTGGAGCCAGTCTGGAGCCGCACTGGAGCCGGTCTGGAGCAAATTTAAAGCTGCTCTGGAGCCGCTCTGGAGCCGCTCTGGAGCAAATTTAAAGCTGCTCTGGAGCCGCTCTGGAGCAGCTTTAAAGCCGCACTGGAGCTGCACTGGAGCTGCACTGGAGCTGCACTGGAGCTGTTCTTGAGCCGCTCTGGAGCCGCTTTGGAACCAGTCTGGAGCCGTTTTGGAGCCGGTCTGGAGCCGCACTGGAGCCGCTCTGGAGCAAATTTAAAGCTGCTCTGGAGCCGCTCTGGAGCCACTGTGGAGACGCTCTGGAGCCGCTCTGGAGCCGCTTTGGAGCCACTCTGGAGCCGCACTGGAGCCGCTCTGGAGTCGCTCTGGAGCTGCTCTGGAGCCGTTCTTGAGCCGTTCTTGAGCCGTTCCGGATCCGTTCCAGAGCGGAGTGACGTGCGGCAGCTGCAGTCTGGATTTAGCCCGACTCATGTCCTGATTTAGAAACACTCTGCTCCTCTTCTGTTCTGTCCTGGTTCTTAGAAAACTAAATTATTAGAATCTTATGAGAAGAACCAGAGCACAGGGAAACATCAGACGCACAAAACCTGTTTATTTACTTATGTATTTATTTATATAATTCTTTCTTATGTTTATAATCTACAGGAAAGTTTTCAGTTTTGATATCACATCTCTAACAAATATCAAACTGAAATGTACTTTTTATTTTGATCTGTTTTATATTTATGACTTTCTTAGGCTCAGTTAAGCAAACAGGATGAAGAGGAGAAGGTCAGAGGAGCAAAGGAGAACATCAGAGGAGCAGAGGATGAAGAGGAGAACATCAGAGGAGCAGAGTATGAAGAGGAGAACATCAGAGGAGCAGAGTATGAAGAGGAGAACATCAGAGGAGCAGAGTATGAAGAGGAGAGGGTCAGAGAAGCAGAGGATGAAGAGGAGAGGGTCAGAGAAGCAGAGAAGAATGTCAGAGGAGCAGAGGAGAGGGTCAGAGAACCAAAGGATGAAGAGGAGAAAGTCAGAGATGCAGAGGAGAGGGTCAGAGGAGCAGAGGATGAAGAGGAGAGCATCAGAGAAGCAGAGGAGAACATCAGCGGAGAAGAGAAGAAGGTCAGAGAAGCAGAGGATGAAGAGGAGAAGGTCAGAGGAGCAGAGAAGAACGTCACAGAAGCAGAGGAGAACATCAGAGGAGCAAAGGATGAAGAGGAGAAGGTCAGAGAGCAGAGGAAGAGAGAGAAATCAGAGATGCAGAGGAGAGGGTCAGAGGAGCAGAGGATGAAGAGGAGAAACATCAGAGGAGCAGAGGAGAACATCAGAGGAGCAGAGGAGAACATCAGAGGAGCAAAGGATGAAGAGGAGAAGGTCAGAGATACAGAGGAGAGCATCAGAGGAGCAGTGGAGAGAGATGGATGAACGCACCTTAAAAAATTTGATAAACTGCCAAATTTATTTATGAATTTGTTTCTGAAATGTTTTTACTGCCCTCAAAAGACAGAAACAGTGAATGTTTTGTTTGTGATTTAGTTCATAAATATATTTTATTTTCAAATCCAACCTCTCGTCTCCTTCTTTTTGTTGTGACCTTGGCTCAGGGTCTGAACAGATTAAATAAATAAACCTTTATACTTCAGTGATCTTTAAAGTGAAAGTATTGTGTGTATTTATTCAGACTGTACACACTGTACTGCAAAGTCACTCGTCTATCAAACTGTTTCAGTGTTTCATTGTCGCCACATGATCCTGATCAGCACGAAACAGGAAACCCAAGACTCTTCTGTATCATTTCAAACAAACTCCATGATGACTCGAGCTCGGTGACGTGTTTTTCTTATAGTGGATGAAAGTCTGGAGAAAATCAAGTAAATAATAATGATCATGTCAGTTTCTGCCTTTGGCCTTTGCAGGAAAACTTATTTTTGTCTCATGATACAAAGACAGAGAACAGGAACTGACAAATAAAGTCAAAGCTCAATATTTTTCACATACAAATATGGCTTCATTATAGCATCTACTTGTCAAATTTTGGGAGCCCTGTCTGTTACACTTTTGTCTGGACAAAACAGTTTCACGCTCTGCTAAACTCAGATAATGCCTGTGGTAGTGAGGCCCGACAACACCAGTGTGGTTTTTCACATAAACCAGGAGGGGGGCACCCGGTCAAAGAGCTTGCTGAGGATGGTACAACTCCTCCTCACTTGGGCTGCGCCACGTGTCGCCAGTCTGAGGCCTGTGCTCATTCCAGGGGTTCGGAACATATTGGCGGACTTCTTGTCTCGGCAAGGGCCGTTGCCAGGAGAATGGAGGCTTCACCCAGAGGTGGTGGAGCACATTTGGAAGTTGTTCGGCAGAGCGAACGTGGATCTATTTGCCTCCCAGAAGACGACACACTGCCCCCTTTGGTTTTCATTGGTGGATTGTGCCAGCCCTCTGGGTCAGGATGCACTGGCTCACGACTGGCCTAGAACCCTTCTTTATGCGTTCCCGCCATTTCCTCTGATTTTTCAAACACTGCTCCGGGTCCTTCTGGAAGTCCACAGTCTCCTTCTGGTGGCTCCATTCTGGCCAGCGAGGACCTGGTTTCCTCTGCTGCTCAGGCTCTGCAGCGGCCCTGCAGGGCGTCTTCCCTCCAGGAGGGATCTCCTGTCGCAACTGGGGGGTCAGATTCTGCATCCCGACCCCAGTCGCCTGAAACTCTGGGTGTGGCCCCTGCAAGGCCCGGCCTAAGCCTTCTCGGAATACACCAGGGACATAGGGGGCACAATGACCAATGCACGTGCCCTGTCACACGCAGGTTATATTCTTGCAAGTGGAAGCTTTTTGACACGTGGTGTCGTGACAGAGGGCAGGACCCTGTCCACTGCCCTGTTTCCATGGTTCTTACTTTCCTGCAGGGGTTGCTGAATCAGGGACGTACGCCGTCTACGCTAAAGGTATATGTTGCTGCCATTAACTGCTGGCATGCAGGGTGGAATGGCTCTAATGTTGGTCATAACCAGGATATTTTGGTGTTTCTGAAGGGTGCTCGCAGCTTGCGTCCACCCAACCGCCCTGTTGTCCCGATGTGGGATCTTTCTCTTGTACTTGAGGCCCTGCGGGCTCCTCCATTTGAGCCACTTGCACAGACCGACCTTAAGTGGCTCTCGATGAAGACTGCGTTCCTGTTGGCCATGGCTTCCGCTAAACGGGTGAGTGAGCTACATGCTCTGTCTGTTCACGAATCCTGTTGCTGCTGGCATCCTGATGGTTCTGGGGTTTCCCTTTGGCCTGATGCAGCTTTTGTTCCAAGGGGCCTTCGTCTACACAGCACACTCTGCCACTGCAGCTTTCCCGTTTTGAGGCGGGAACTCCTGCCGAATTGCTGTGTCCCGTACGTGCGTTCGAGGCATATGTTCACTCCACAGCTTCTGTACGGAGCTCAGATAGCTTGTTTGTCTGTTTTGCTGGCTCGTGCAGAGGTCTGGCCCTTTCAAAACAGCGCCTCGCACACTGGAGGGTCTGGCCCTTTCAAAACAGCGCCTCGCACACTGGATTGTGGGGGTCATAACAAAAGCATATGCTTTACAGGGACAGTCGTTGCCGTCTCAGTTCCGGTGTCACACCATGAGGGGCCTCTCGACATCATGTGGCGCTGTCCATGGTGTGCCGTTAGATGTCATTTGTTCGGCAGCTTCCGGGAGCTCCCTCAACACTTTTGCAAGATTCTACAGGATGAACGTAGCTTCCCCACACCCACTGGAGGGGGTCCTCTGGCGACACTCCTCTACATCACAGTGAGGTACGGTTTCTCCTTGAGTTGACGATTCCTTGTGACCTTGCTGGTATTCATCATCCAGTGCTTGAAGCACCGCCTCTGGCGGTCAGTAGGGATGAAATACAATGATAGTTACAACTGTAACTGCGGTTCTATGAATCTCGGATGACCGCCAGAGTGCCCGGTCCCTCGGAATCCTCGTGCTTTTGCGAGAAGGTTTGAGGGACTGATTATATAGACTCACCTGAGCCACCGGAGGTCAAGGGTGACTCTGTTGTTACTAAACTTTCGACCTGCGCATGCGCAAGGATGATCATCCAGTGCTTGAAGCACCGCCTCTGAAGATCATCCGGGATTCATAGAACCGCAGTTACAGTCGTAACTATCGTTTTCCTCAGTAACTTAAAGGTCCTGTTGGTGAATCACTCACGGTCAGACTTTGTCTCTTATATATTTCTGTTCTATGGGCTTTATTTGTGTGGTGTTTTTGTTGTTGTGTTGTCGTCCTGTGTTTGTGTTAAAGCATGTGATCACCTGTCCCAAGACACATTTCTCCCATGGGAAAGAATAAAGGTTTATGGTCGATATGTTTAACCAAATAAACTTTTGACCAGTCCACAAATTGAAATTCTCCTTTGCCATAGATTCTACTTTCACAAAATAAAAGATTATTTTATCTTATCTCTTATCACTTTAGAGAGTTAAGGTCTTATTACTAATATTTTGTGTTTTTGGACCCCTTAGAAAACAAGAAAGCACATCTCCAGGCGCATTCCAATAAATAAAATAAATAAAAATGAAATTAATTTTAATAAAACTTTTATTGTGAAATTCGTGACCGGAAAGTGGCTTGTTGTCTCCTCGGGTCCCGTCGGTGCGGCTATGGCCGTCTTTGTCAGCTAATCTGGTCCATTTCCACTTAAAAAAAAACACGATTTATTGTGTTCCGAAGCTCCTCTCGCTGCATCTGCATCCGCGCGCTGTTTCGGAGTCAGTGAAACCGCGACGGGATCCGGGCGGAGGCGGGTTTATTGGAGTTAAGCCGAGGTTAGCCTGTTAGCCTGTTAGCTGCGGAGAAGATGTCGATGCACGGGAAGAGAAAAGAGATTTACAAGTACGAGGCGCCATGGACCGTCTACGCCATGAACTGGAGCGTGAGGCCGGACAAGCGCTTCAGGCTGGCGCTGGGCAGCTTCGTGGAGGAGTACAACAACAAGGTAAACCCGCAAACACGGAGCGAAACACGGAGGAAACACGGGGCTAACGCGGGGCTATTGTCCGCGGAGGGAGACCTGCTAAAGATGCTAACGGTGCTAATGCTTCACAGCGTTGTAAAATTGTTTATTGTTTATTTAAGAAATCCCACATTAGTCTCTTCAGTTTTACAGTCTGCTCTTCCTGGGCTCCAGTCTCATCATAAAAATCACACAAAAATACAGTCAGTCACGTAAAACATGCACATGCACATAATATTACTTTTCTTTCCATTTGATTTTGACTTGTGCATTTACATTTATATAATTATGTCTTGTTTTTTGCTCTTTTTTGCAATTTATTTAGAATGTATTATTACCATTTTCTTTTTGTTACTATATCCTCCAGGGACCCAAAGAAAAAAAGTGTTTTGAAATATATATATATTTTTTGTGATTTTCTCTCTATTTGGAAGTAAATGAACACCTTTAGCATTTGGATTTTGTTCATTTTATTTTTATTTATAATTTTGCAACATGTCCTCTGTAATGGACACTGGGGGCATTTTGGTGTTTTGTTTTGGTTCGATGACCAACATCTCTGACAAGCTTCTACAGTCACCTCAGAAAGTTTTTACTCTCCCTTTTTAATTTCTTAAGGTTTTTTTTTTTTTAGTGCAGCGTCAAACTAACTCTTATTGAGTTTATTTTTAATACTGGACATGATAGTCCCTATAATCCCCCAGCCCTGTTTAGGCAGAGGAACCTTGTCCCTTGTCCCCCCATTAAGAGTCTGTCTCAAAACACTTAAAACTGACATGTCCAAACTATGGTCCGTGGGCCAAATGTGTCCCTCAGACAAATTTTTCTTGGCCCTAAGGCTTGCAGGTGAATTGGCCCAAATTACCTTACAACAATTAAAAAATTATGTTTTACTGCAAGTTTTTTGAAAATCTATCTTGATAAAGTAAATATTTAATTTAATTGAGCATCAGTCTATGGCCCTGGATCGGCCCTCTGCTTCGTTTTTGTTTAGATATGTGGCCCTTGATGAGAAAAGTTTGGACACCCCTGACTTAAAAGATAAACTGGTCAATGTCCACTATAAAAGACACAAATGAATGGACCGGGTCTCTGGAGGATATTTTATTGTGATGCGTGAGCTGCTGTGTCCAAATAATTTCCCTTGTGGATCAATAAAGTTTGTCTAAATCTAAGTCTAACATAACAGCAACTTTTATCATGAGGGGAACAGGCAGAAAAACACAAACATCAGTTCATCAGTTTGGTTTGCATTGATTTCTTGAGATGTTTGTGTATCAGCATCATTTCTTGAGGCGAATTAGTCCAATGAGAAATGGCTCAGTTTATTTTTTATTATTTTTTTTTTTCAGCGCATTAGTTCTTGGTTTTGGTCACACGTGTTTTTCGAAATTTAATAACACATTTTTGAGATGTTCTTTACTAAATGATTGCTTCCCCAAGTCAGTTAAAAGAAATTAAAAGAAATTTTGAAAAGAAAGAAATTAAAATGATTAGAACTAAGTACCTTCCCTTTCCAATTCCCCTTAAAGTGAAGGAGATGCAATTTAAAACTTGGAGTAAAATTTATCCAACCAATGAATTCCTAAAACAAAAATAAGACCAGTAAATTTAAGTTTTGTGACACTGGAGGATTTTTTTATGTGAGTCTGTGCAACAATTTTGGTTTGATTTTCAGTCTTGGTTTCAGGAATTCATTTTACCGCTTTAACCATAAAACAGCAATTTATTGATTTTCGGTAAACATTTTATTCACAAATGTTGTTTTTTTAAAGATTAAATCAAACATAACGCACTTGAAGAATGACCTGAAACTTTTTGTTCGTTCACTGGGCCTAACTGAGGAAAGAGGCTGGTCTTCTTTTGTCGTTTTTGAATTATTTTAATTTATTTCTTTAAATTAGAGCTTGAAATTGCCCCTTTTTATGTGTGAATATGTTTTTATTCACTGTTGTGTTTTGGGAATGCTCATACACTCAAAACTTTTGGAATGACATATTTTTGTTTGTGAAGAGAAAGCATGACACAAACCTAGATTTGAATTTAAAACGTGGACTTTTTAGCTTTTTTGTCCTAATCCTATTAAAAGTTCATATCCATTGCTGTAAATTTTCTAGTCAGAAACACATATTTGTTGTATTTCAGTCCCTCTTGTTCTCTTTATAAAAAATTTCAAAATTATTCCACAAATCCCAAAGCCATGAAAACAAAAGCAAAGCACTTTGTGTGAAATTTGATGATTGAAAAATTTACTAAATAATCTTGTGCTCCAATATTTTGGATTTAAGTACGAGAAATATTGATCTTGAAGAATACTTTTGAGAAAACACTGTTATTGAAAAGTGTAATTTTGGTTTTGTGGAGCAAACATGTACCACCTGATCTTGAAACAGGCGATACCTCTCTCTGCCCCCTCGCTCTTCTCGTCTCTGGTGTCTCTTGTGTTGTCCAGGTGCAGTTGGTGGGTCTGGACGTGTTTCTTTTCCTCACTCTTCTCGTCTCTTGTGTCTCTCGTGTGTTGTTCAGGTGCAGTTGGTGGGTCTGGAGGAGGAGAGCTCGGAGTTCGTTTGCAGAAACACCTTTGACCATCCGTACCCCACCACCAAAATCATGTGGATCCCCGACACCAAGGGCGTTTACCCCGACCTCCTGGCCACCAGCGGAGACTACCTGCGCATCTGGAGGGTGAGTCTTATCATCAAGAAGTTGCCGATACGATACACGCCTCGATACAGTGAGCTTTCAATTCGATACGATTTGATACGGTTCAATAAAAAATAAAGTCTAAATCGTGGCTGTGACACTAAAAGTCTTTGTTAAATGACTTCTTCTTGTGCAAAGTTAAAATGAAACATAAACAAGTTTCCTTCCTCTGAACAAACAACAAAACTGGAGCTGGAACTAAATAATTTTGTAAAATAAACCAAAAAATACTCTTGGTGATATATCGATACAGCAGCTCATGATATCGATACTGTATCATCACATTTAACAATACAGTATATCGATATTTTGATATTTTTGCACACCCCTAGTCTGGAGGTCACTTTATTAATGAATGTAAATATAAAGTATAAGTCCTAATGTCTCTAAATGTGGCAGATCCAGGTTTGACTAGTGGGAATGACCTTGTTGTTTTTACTATATGTGCAAATTAAATCTAAATCTAAAACAAAACATTTCATACAAAAAAAAATGAATGAATGAGAAGACCTATTCTGTCTCCTATAAACATGATTTTATTACAAGAGTCATGAAGGCAAGTTGACTTTCAGTAGTTCAAATATTAAATATCAGTAGAAATGTTTGTTTTAATCGTCTTTTAAAATATTCCAGTGAGGAAATGGATTTGAGAGTCTGGGCTAAATGATTCCAGAGGGTCGGTCCTGTGAACTTGAGTGTTTTTTGATTTGTGGATCTTCTGCTCAAGGGAAAATAAAAATCACTGCAGTGTCTCGTAGTTTAGAGATCTGGAAAAAACACTGGACAAATTCACAGACTTATACATGAACAAATACAATATATGTTTACATAAAATATTATCAGAATGTTGAATTTTCTGTACAGACGAGCAGATGAGGACAATCTGTGTGAATAAAATAAATAAAATAAAAAATTGTTGAGGTATGTCTTACATGGAATGCTTTAAATCATGCTACAACACATGATGTAAGGAAAGATTAAAATATAAAAAAAAACATTTATACAGGAGCAAACTTTTCATTGGGTGTGATATTTCCAGGTAAAGTTTTGATCAACAATCACTCTTAAAAACTTTGAAAGTTTGAACTTCTTGACTAAATTGTGATCCCATCAACAGACAGTGCCACATCTTGACTATATGTATTTTATTATTATTTTTTTGCTGCAGGTCAGTGACACAGAGACGAGGCTCGAGTGTTTGCTCAACAACAACAAAAACTCAGACTTCTGCGCCCCCCTCACCTCCTTCGACTGGAACGAAGTGGACCCCAACCTGCTCGGTCAGAAAATATTCACTTTACATACACGATTTCTCACAAATATTGCAGTTACCAATAGATTTCTGATTCATTTTGCTAAACAAATTCTAGATTCACAGCATGTTTGTAGAGTTCTGCCTGTTTGGAAATAACCGTCTGCTGATCCTTGAGTGGGTTCTTGTGTCGTGTGGATCCCTGTGTGGTTTGTTTTAGGAGTTTATGGATGTTTGTGTTTGTTTGTTGTGTTCAGGGACCTCCAGCATCGACACCACCTGCACCATCTGGGGCCTGGAGACGGGACAGGTCCTGGGCCGAGTCAACCTGGTCTCTGGACACGTGAAGACGCAGCTCATCGCCCACGACAAAGAGGTCAGTGTGGACACAAGAGTGGCTCCATGTTGTAATGTCAAACGGGGTTTTTTTTGTTATAAGAAGCTGAAGCGTCTCCAGACCTCTTCTCTAAATGGGACTTCACTGCCTCTGTTTCTCCTGCAGGTGTATGACATCGCGTTCAGTCGGGCTGGAGGAGGCAGGGACATGTTCGCGTCCGTGGGGGCAGACGGCTCCGTCAGGATGTTTGACCTGAGGCACCTGGAGCACAGCACCATCATCTACGAAGACCCGCAGCACCACCCCCTGCTGAGACTCTGCTGGAACAAACAGGACCCCAACTACCTGGCGACCATGGCCATGGACGGCATGGAGGTCAGACACACACACCTGCTCACGGTTTACTGCTCGAATGTGTCTCAAATGAGCAACATGAGTTTAATGTGAGGCGGGGCTCATCTGGAGACTTTCAGCTCCATCCAGAAGCTGTTTGACATGATGGAACTGAGGTTGAAATTTTAGCATCCTGCCAAAACTGTTCGCTTGAAGTAACAGAATTTGGTTAAAAATGCCTTGAATTAAGTCAAATAATCTGGAAATCAAAGAACTCAAAGAATTCACATGGTTTTATTTGGAGGTCTGTTATTTGTGGGATACTTAAACTCTTCCACTTGAGGCAAAAGGGAGCTGAGCTGAAAGGCGAAGTTCTCGATTTACCGGTCAGTTTCCGTTCCTCCCCTCACCTCTGGCCATGAGCTCTGGGTAATGACTGAAAGGACGAGATCGCCAATATAAGCGCTCGAAAGAGATAGAGTGAGGAGCTCAGTCACACGGGAGGAACCCGGAATAGAGCCGCTGCTCCTCCATGTCGAGAGGAGCCAGTTGAGGAGGCTTGAACATCAGTTCCAGCTGCTTCCTGGGCATCTCCCTCAGGAGGTGTTCATGTTCCACCGGGAGGAGGCCCCGGGGAAGACCCAGGACACACTGGAGGGACTATGTCTGGATAAGTGGAAGAAGATGGTTGGATGGATGGATGATATTTGCGGTGAATCCTCTTAAACTGCGGCTGTTTTGTAGAAAAAGGTGCCACGTGTTCAGAGCGTCTCCTTCAGAATCACCTGTACAAATCAGAACTTGTTTCTTCATTGTAAGTGTCCTGATGAGTCCTAGAGTTTTACAGTGAGGCAGGAGACGTCTGAGGCGAGAGGCAGAGTCTGAGGCAGAGCCTGAGGCAGAGCCTGAGGCAGAGCCTGAGGCAGAGCCTGAGGCAGAGCCTGAGGCAGAGCCTGAGGCAGAGCCTGAGGCAGGAGCAGGAAGGGGTGCAGTGAAGGGTCCGTGCGAATGAACTAGCTACAACACGCAGCAGCAAGCGGACTCTTTCTTTGCCTTGAAAATTACGTTTTCAGACATAGGATATCGCTTTCGTGTCCTGAAAAACGTTTGTCTAACTCTTGGAAATAAAGTACGTTTTCATAATAAGCAGAAGTTTCCTGTCCAGGAGTAATTTGTGGACCAGTGCTTCAGTCTTTAGACCCTTCGTCTGCTTCAGTCGCACCATCGCTGGAATGAATCTCCAAGAATCACCTTAGTTTGGCTTCGCTGCTTTTCCCCTTGTCTTCTTCTTTCAGCGACCTCAAAAAACAGAGTTTCTTTTGCGGCGAACTGCTCCTGGATTCTTGTCGCCATCACAACAAACTTTGTGCGAACTGCGAGGAAGATATAGGTCAAAAAAGCCACTAAGAACTGTTGCGTTGGTGGAGTAAACAGCGTCTGTGCGTCTTGCGTCTGTGGACTGTGTGACAGTCGTACGTAAACCACGTACCGGCGGCGCAGGCAAGTCAGTTACACTAGAAACGTAGGGAGTTTGATTGACAGCCTGTCAGCTCACAGATAACGAGGCAGTGTCGTTATCTATTGGCAAATGTTTAGCCCCACCACGTCCAGAGTTGATGAATTTTTATTCTCTTTTTTTTGGTCATCATAATTACAAGGCTACTGCACCTCTATAATCTATCATTGGACAATTTGAAATAAAAAAAAAAATCCTCCATACAACCTTTAACCGCGGCAATTTTCCCCAGCAGCATTCATGGTTTGAGGAGCATGGGCATGACGGACGAGATAAAAGTTAAGTTGGTGAGCGGTGATGTTAGAATGCTTTTAATCTGTGTGTGATTTATCACGGGTACGGGAGGGTAACGGGTGGGATGTTCACGGGTTTGGGCGGGTGTGGATTTAACTTTGATATAATCACGGGTTAACAGGTGGGTGTGGTGCTGGAGTGCGCTGGTGCGGGCAGGTGCGAGTCTCCAAAAATTGGACCTGTGCAGGACTCTGGTCTGAGGCAGAAGTTTATTTACACCAGTGTGGACCTGGTGAACTTGCTTCCACACAAGAAGGTTTAAATAGGAGCTCAGAAGGACAGTCTGGAGACAAACTGAGATAAAATGAGCAGAGCAGAGCAGAGCAGAGCGGCTTCTGAGAGACGAGTGACCAAGGAAAATGATCATGTTAAAAAAAGGACAAATTCTGTAATAGCTGGACGAGTGAAGCACAGAGAAATGTCACAGTGAACTCAAACTGACTTTCATAAAAAATTCCACAACGACTAGCTACGCCCATAATACACAAAATACACAGAAAATACACAGAATACACAGGGCTGAAACAGTGCCCAGATGAGCGCCGCTGCGTCCTCTACATCGTGTTCCATGTGTGGTGCGTGTGTACAGCGGCTCAGTGCTGCCCCCTGTGTGCAGGTGGTGATCCTGGACGTGCGTGTGCCCTGTACTCCCGTCGCTCGCCTCAATAACCACCGCGCCTGTGTGAACGGCATCGCCTGGGCCCCTCACTCCTCCTGCCACATCTGCACCGCCGGTGAGACGACTACACTGCTCACACACACACTCACACACACACACACACACACACACGAACTCAACAGACACGGTGGTGCAGAGGGCTTTGACTTGAGCCCGCTGTTGTGTGTCTGTGGAAATATAAAACAAGAATAATAAAACATTTTTATTTTTAAGGCTTCAACACGATCAAATTTACGGTTAGAATACTTTCAAAACATAATTCACCATCAGTACAATCTAGAAAAACAAATTTCCGTGGAGAATAACAAATTATTGGAGCATAAAAGGAAGTGGAACATTTGCTCAGTGATATTTTGGGAAATAGTCATAATAATCTTCATTATTGTTATTGTTAACTTTCTTTATTTTATTACGGTTTGAGCCCCTTTGTTGAGTTGCTTATTTAAATTTTTTTATTAAATGTTTTAAATGTTTGCAAAAGGAGAAATTCAATATGTTAACTGGACTAAAGTAGTTTTTATTTATTTATTATTATTATTATTATTATTATTATTGCTATTTTTGTTTTTTTTTATTTTGTTAAAAAATAAACTTTCATCCAGGTGACAGATTGAATTTATCTTTTTGCCATGGATTCTAACTGAACAACTGAGGAATTTTACACTTTTTTGTTGTAATAATAATAATAATAAATAAATAAATAACATGACAAAATAACATAACAAAATAAATACTAATAAGATAAACAAGAATAAGATAAATAACATAAATAACAAAAATAAGATAAATAACTAAAAAATAATAAGATAAATAACTAAATAATAATAAGATAAATAAATAAGATAAATAACAAAAAAAAAGATAAAAAACTAAATAATAATAAGATAAATAAATAACTAAATAATTATAAGATGAATAAATAAGATAAATAACTAAATAATAATATGATTAAAAAAAAAATTATAAGATAAATAAATAACATAATTAAATAATAATAAGATAAAAAATAAATAAAATGAGTAATTAGTAATACTTTTATTCTTTTCTTGTGGATCAGTGTTAGGTTTGGATGTGGCGTGTGGGTGGTGTAATAAAAAAGGAATAAAAAAAAACAAAAATAATAATAATAATATACCATGTGTGTTCCAGCGGACGATCACCAGGCCCTGATCTGGGACATTCAGCAGATGCCCCGAGCCATCGAGGACCCCATCCTGGCCTACACCGCCGAGGGGGAGATCAACAACGTGCAGTGGGCGTCCACGCAGCCCGACTGGATCGCCATCTGCTACAACAACTGCCTGGAGATCCTGCGGGTGTGAGGGGCACTCCCGCCGCTCTGAGGGCCACACGGGAGGGGAGGGGGGGGACGGGGAGCAGGACTCAGGTGGTGCGGGGCTCTACGGACCGTCAGAAGAGGCTACAGAAGTCTGGACCAGTTTACATTAGATACAGATACTTTGACTTGGTGTAAGCGCTTTTGTTTTCAGATCTCGAGACGACGTTACCTGCGGCACATTTCCCCACAGAAACACCTCGGAAAAAGTCAAACATTTGGAGAAACTGTGGCTCGTGATCGTCGGAGGTTCCTATCACTTTCAACCTGGTTCGTTTTATCGTTTCCTTCAGCTCGGAGCTTTCATCGTCACCGCCAGAAAAGCGAAAACCGACGAAATAAAATCTGAGTTAAATTTAAACTCTAAATAACTAAAGGTCCAATGTTACACCATTTTCTGGTAAGTTCTAACGTCGTTTCCTCGTCACAAACAGACCTGGAGTTGTGTTTTGTTTCGTTCTCACATGTTTAACTCACAAACGCTGCACATTTAGGCGGAGTTCGTCTCTCCACTGTGTTTTTAAACTCCACACACCTTCACTGGAATCATATTTTCAGCCCGGAAATTTGCCAAGAGGCTCTGTTCACGCTTACGTCAACGTGGAGACCAAACCGGACCAAGTTCCAGTCAGATTGTCGGTTTTTCTAGGGATTTTTGAGCTGTAAAACCACTTACAATTGAAAAAATGTCAAGTAGAGCTGTTTAAAGTCACACTGTGGGACATTCGAGGCAGAGCAGCTTAAAGTAAGTACTGTATTTTTCGGGCTATAAGTCGCACCAGCCAAAAAATGCAGAACGAAGAAGAAAAAAATAACATAAGTCGCACTTTTTAGGAAGAAATGTATTTTATAAAATCAGAGACCGGGAGAAGACGTTTCCTGTTTTCGACTCGAACGTCTTGAATTCTGAATTTTTTTGTCATTTTCTCCCAGTTTAGAACAGTTTATTTAAGTCAAGATTACATGACTTTTTAGAGCAGTTTACCTCCAACAAAATAAAGTTTTAGGGTTGTCAAAGTATCGAAAATCAGGAGCCAATTGATCCTAAAACTAGAAAATAATTCGAGCAGGTTTTCGATACACAAAAGTCACATTCACAGGACAGAAATGAGGCTTTCCTGAATCGTTTTAGAATGAAAAAGGGGTGCAACAATAACGGAAATATGATATCATTTCGCTAAAAGTTTCTCAATAATATCGTGGACCATCAAAATATATCGAATCACAAGTCTCTGCTTAAATTAACTGAGGGAACTACAAAAAAATAAGATGAAACTGGAATCAAAAGTTTGTAAAGTCAAGTTGTAGTAAAAACAATAGAAGAGAGAAGAACAGACTGTTAATAAACTATAACATAAACAACAGAACAGAACAAGTTTAACTAAACTCTCCATCTCACTCCAAATCACGAAATCCATTCAATTCTTCATCCTCGGTGTCACTTCTGCACAACCTCTGGAGATAAACCGTAGATCCATGAGGTAAACAGAGCGCCGCTTCCTCTTCTGTGTCGCTGTCGTCAGACTCGGCGTCAGTTCCAGTTAGAATTATTCGGGTCTTTCTGAATCCCGACAGGATGGTTTCGGTGTCACTGAAGTCCAGGCTTTGTCCGTCCATCCAGTGACTTCAGGAAAGTTTCATGGTGCATCTTCCCGGCGTCACAAGTTTCTCACTCACTCCAAATTTTCTTTCTGCTGCTCGATTTCCGTTCTCGGCTGCAGATTTCACGACTTGCAGCAGGACAGAGGCTCTTTCTGCAGGAGACATGCGCAGAAAACTGACACTCGAGCCTAGAGCGCCGTCCTGTAGCTCTGAAAAGTCTGAAAATTATAATATATGAGTCGCAGGAAACGCCCAAACCATGAAAAAAAAGTGCCACTTATAGTCTGAAAAATACGGTACATCAAAACGACTGAACAAGGACTGAATCTGGACTAAACGAGGACTAAACCAGGAGCCAATCTCTGCTGAACTAAAGGTAAAAGGAGCTGCTCACTTGAAAACTCCCACTTCATGACATCGTAAAGTAGAACAGAGCGTTTGGAGCTTTGGAGATGTAGACAGACGAATAATAAAGAGTTACTCAAACATGTGAATGAAACAAAACACAACTCCAGCTCTGGGTTTTTTTTTGTTTTGTTTTTGAGGAGGGAAAAAACGTCAGAACCCGATTTAAACCTCACAAGAGTCAGTTTTTGCATCACATTTAAACAAATCCAAGTCGAACTCCTCAAATCTGTGAAACTTCAGACCTCAGTTTTCCGAGGACCTCAGCTCTTCTGCAGTTCAGACGCGTTCAGTTTCTGTTTTATTTATTCTGAAAAGCACCAACGTCTTTTTTTTTTTTTTTTTTTTTTTGCATTTCTTCTTTTGGTCAAGTTTGAAAAAAAAAAAAAATGTTCTGAAGAAAAAAAAATCCCCCGTTTCCTCGAAGCGGCGTCGGGACTCCGGACCCGGACGCCAGGAAGTGACTGAGCCTCGACGCGGCGGACCTTCACAATAAGAGCGCTCTGGTTTGAGGCTTTGGGACGCACCGAGAGAAACTGCAGAGGCTACGAGGGCGGTAGAGCGGGTGTTTAAGTGGAAGGTTTGCGGTTGGATCTCTGCTTTTAATCGTACTGTTGTCGTGTCCTCGGGCAATACACCTCACACCCACTTCGATGACGTAGAAACGTTGGAGTGACGCTCGCGATCGCCGCTCGGTCGGGGCAGGTCTAAATGTTACAACGCCGCGAAAATTTAACCATATTTAAAACGACTTGAATTCAGAATTTTTTAGCATTTTCAGAACGATTTGAGTCGAGATTACATGACTTTTTAGAGCAGTTTATCTCCAACAAAATTAAGTTTTAGGGTTGGGAAAGCATCGAAAATCATCCTAAAATTATTTATCGAAATTAGAAAATAATTCGAGCAGGTTTTCGATGCAAAAAGGTCAAATTCACAGGACAAAAATGAGTCTCTGCTGAATCGTTTTAGAATGAAAAAGGGATGTAACAATAACGGAAATATCGTGACATCGTTTCGCCAAAAGTGTCTATAACATCGTGGACCATTAGAATATATCGAATTGCGAGTCTCGTTGCTTAAATTCATTGAGGGAACTACAAAAAATTGAGATTAAAATAGAAGCAAAAGTTTGTCAGGACATTTTATGAGGAAAAAGTTAAAGTGAATTCACAGTTCTGTAAGACTCCACAAAATATTGGAATAAATATCGTACCGTGAGATGAATATCGTAAACCAGGACCAGGACCTCGATACAATATGGTTCAGTAAAACACAGGGATATAACTATAACCAAAATATCATCATATCGTATCGTCAAAGTTCTCACAATATCGCGGACAGGATCTTGATACATAGACTAAGGTACGATACGTATCTCAATACAAATCGATTTGATAAGGTTCTGTCAAAAATAAGGACGTAACAATAATCTAAATATCGTTCTCACAATAATATCATGGACCATCAGAATATATCGAATCACGAGTTTCTTTGCTTAAATTCATTGTTTTGGTGCAGCAACAGCTAAAAAAAACAGAGGGAACTACATAGACCATGATCCTTTGCTGTTTCAGTGCAGACGACAGGAAGAATTAACTACACTTTTGTTTTATAAAAGAACATGAAGTGTGTCAGGACATTTTATAAGGAAATAGGAGAAACTGTTTTGTAAGACTCCACAAAATACTGTAATATCGAACCGTGAGATGCATATCGTGAAATTATCGTATTGTGAGATTTGAATATCTGAACCAGGACTAAACCAGGACTGAACCAAGATACATAGACTAAGGTACGATAGGCATCTCAATACAGTAATTTGATACGATAAATTTCAAATCGATTTGATTTGGTTCCATAAAACCGTCAAAGTTCTGATAATAATATCGTGGACCATTACAGTATATCGAATCACAAATTTCTTCGCTTAAATTCATCGTTTTCGTGCAGCAAGAACTAAAAAATGGAGAAAACTGTTACCTTTTGTTCTAGAAAAATTAAGAAATAATAAATTCTTTGGACTGTGACATTATTATAGCGTCAAGTCGAGGTGTTTTAAAAGGAAAAAGCAGCAGTTCTGTTATCACCTGATCAACATCGTCATAATATCGTATCGCGAAATGAAAACCATAATCGTATCGAATCGTGTGATTCAAGTATCGTTACATCCCTAGTCAAAAATAAAGGTTAAATCATGACAGTTTATACTAAAAAATCTACGTTAAACCATTTCCCGAAGCAAAGTGAATATGAATCGTAAAATATGCCAAAAAAACTCAAAATATCGATAGGGCAGCTCACGATATCGATACTGTATCCTGAAATTAAAACGATATATCGATGTTTTGACGTTTATACACACCCCATATGAGAAAATAAAAGAAAATACTACGATGTTACGTTTTTAAAATCACGTCCTGTTGTTTAAAGAAATGTTTTTATTATTTTTTATCGAGATTCGGTATCGAGTATCAAGCGAATCGCGCCAGTGCTATTCTCTTGTAAGAGAATTGTTAAAAACGTCAAATAATCACGAAAAACTGCTCGATATTTGTTTTAAAAAATCTAAATAAGCAAAAGGATTCAAGTCGTTTTATTTGGAGATGTTTTTTTTTGGTTTTTTTTTTGCGGTGAATCTTCTTAAACGGCAGCGGTTTTGTAGAAAAAGGTGCCACGTGTTCTGAGCGACTCCTGTACAAATCCGATCTTGTTTCTTCATCGTTTTCATTGACTGTAAAAAAAACAAAACAAAAGATTAAAAAAAAAAACGGTGTGTGGATGTGAGCGCACTGCAGAAATAATCCAAGACTTAAAATGACGAGGATTTCCAGTTTTTTATCGTAAACTGTCTAAACTCCGGATCCGTCTGACGCTTTTCTCCCTGGAGATGTTCTTGCTTTGTCTGGAATGTTCCGCAGTATGGCTTTAAACGTTTCCATCGTCGCGCAGAACCAAACCGGAGCGAGTTCCAGGTCGGATCCGTGGAGAGGCGACCCCGCTCACGGTCACGACGTCTGTTTTTCGAGGGGTTTTTGAGCTGTAAAATTGAATAAATATTAGTATAAATGTAAAGTGGAGCTGTTTAAAGTCACACTGCGGAACATTCCAGGCAGAGAACTGACGTATCCATAGAAACGAGCAGGTGACGGAGCCCTGACCGCAAAGTTACACAGTGCAGCTTTAAGGAAGTACATCGAAATGACTAAATTTAGGGACTGAACCAGGACTAAACCAGGACTGAACCAGGACTAAACCAGGTCTAAACAAGGACTGAACCAGGACTAAACAAGGACTGAACCAGGACTAAACAAGCACTGAACCAGGACTAAACCGGGACTAAATACAAGGACTAAACAAGGACTAAACTAGGACCGAACCAGGACTAAACCAGGTCTAAACCGGGACTAAATCGGGACTAAACAGGAACTAAACCTGGACTGAACCCAGGACAAAACCAGGATTAAACGAGGACTGAAGCAGGACTAAATTAGGTCTAAACTGGGTCTAAGTGAGGACTAAACAAGGACTAAACAAGGGTCTAACCTGGAACTGAACCGGGACTAAACAAGGACTGAAGCAGGACTGAATTGGGACTAGACTGGGACTAAACTGGGACTAAACCAGAAACGAACCAGGAATAAATTAGAAATAAACCAGAACTAAATCAGGTTTAAATCAGGACTCAACGGGGACTCATCCAGGTCTAAACCAGGTCTAAATCCAAACGACTCTGAGGTTTTACGGTTGTGGTTTTGTCATTTTAAGTGGCGTGAGGATTATTTTTCGACAGTGCAGTTTGACTTTTCACTGTAAAAAATGCCATGTTTTGTACGATTGCGAGACGGGGCGAGAGCGGTTCGTGTTTTTCTCAAACCTGTGTCTTGTAGCATGTTTTTACAAGGCTCTGTACATACATATAAATACAACCAACTACACGGCAAAAAAAAAAACCAAAACAACACCACCGCAGGAGTTAAACGAACTTCACGTCAGAATTTAAGTCGTTTTGTCTTGAAAAGATCGAGTTAAACCAACGTAAAGAAAATGTGTTTGTCAGAAATATCAAAAATCATTAAGATATCGTCAGAAGAAAGTTTTTATTTTCACTGTGGGATCAGAATCAGTATCGAGTCTGTTCCTTGGTATCGAAATAGAGTTTAAACCAGATCCAGGTCTAAACCAGGACTAAACCAGGACTAAACCAGGACTAAACCAGGTTTAAACCAGGTCTAAACTAGATTTAAGCCAGGACTGAACCAGGACTAAACCAGGTATAAAATAAATCTAAACTAGGTTTAAACCAGGTCTAAACCAGGACTAAACTAGGCCTAAACCAGGTCTAAACCAGGTCTAAACCAGGACTAAACCAGGTCTAAACCAGGACTAAACCGGGTCTAAACAGAACTAAACTAGGCCTAAACCAGGTCTAAACCAGGATTAAGCCAGGTCTAAACTAGGTCTAAACTAGGTCTAAACTAGGACTAAACCAGGTCTAAACCAGGTCTAAACCAGGTCTAAACCAGGTCTAAACTCAATCTAAACCAGGTCTGAACCAGGTCTAAAACAGGTCTAAACTAAATCTAAACTAGGTCTAAAACAGGTCTAAACTAGATTTAAGCCAGGACTGAACCAGGACTAAACCGGGTCTAAACCAGAACTAAACTAGGCCTAAACCAGGACTAAACCAGGATTAAACCAGGTCTAAAACAGGACTGAACCAGGTCTAAACTAAATCTAAGACAGGTCTAAACCAGATCTAAACCAGGTCTAAATTTAAACTGTGATTAAACCAGATCCAAACCAGTATCGAGTTTGTTCCTTGATACTGAAATAGAGTTTGAGATTTTACTTTGGTGACGACACTTGTGTAAAACCAAAACCATGAAACGAGTCGTGAACTCAAGATTCCTCAGATCTTCATGTTTATTCTTCTTCGTTCATGTTTATTGTTCTCAGTTCATGTTTATTCTTCTTCGTTCAGTCTTTAACTCCTGTTGGTGCAGATGTTTTTTTGGTTTTTTTTTGCGGTGTAAGAAGACGTGGTCATGTCGTAGCTTTTTTCATAAAGTTTTATTATTAAATTGACTCAAATAAAATGTATGGTTCATGTCTTAGAATTCAACCTGTGTGACACGTGTTTGTTTCTTTAAAGACGGAGACAAAGACACGGACGGAGACAGAGACAAGGAGAGAGAGGACAGAGAAAGGGACAGGGACAAGAACAGAGACTGAGAAAAGGACAAAGACACGGACAGAGACAGAGACGAGGAGAGAGGACAGAGAAAGAGACAGGGACAAAGGACAGAGACTGAGAAAAGGACAAAGACACGGACAGAGACAGAAAAGGACAGGGACAAGGACAGAGACAGAAAAGAACAGGGACACGGACAGAGAATGAGAAAAGGACAAAGACACGGACGGAGACAGAGACGAGGAGAGAGAGGACAGAGAAAGAGACAGGGAAGGACAGAGACTGAGAAAGACAGGACACGGAAGAGAATGAGAAAGGACAGAGACAGAGACGAGAAAAAGACAAAAGGACAGGACAGACAGACAGGGACAGGACAGAGAATGAGAAAAGGACAGAGACAAGGACAGAAAACGAGAAAAGGACATTGACACGGACAGAGATATGGACAAAGACCAAGAAAGAGAAAAGGACAGGGACACGGACAGAGAAAAGGACAAAGACACGGACAGAGACAGAGAAAAGGACAGGGACACGGACAGAGACAGAGAAAAGGACAGAGACCGAGAAAAGGACAGGGACAAGAACAGGGACATGGACAGAGACTGAGAAAAGGACAGGGACACGGACAGAGACAGAGAAAAGGACAGGGACATGGACAGAGACAGAGAAAAGGACAGGGACAAGGACAGAAAACGAGAAAAGGACATGGACAGAGATATGGACAAAGACCAAGAAAGAAAAGAACAGGGACACGGACAGAGACAAGGACAAAGAGACAGAGACAGAGAAAGGGACAGGGACAAGAACAGGGACATGGACAGAGACAGAGACAGAGAAAAGGACAGGGACATGGACAGAGACAGAGAAAAGGACAGGGACAAGAACAGGGACATGGACAGAGACCGAGAGAAGGACAGGGACATGGACAGAGACAGAGAAAAGGACAGGGACACGGACAGAGACAGAGAAAAGGACAGAGACAGAAACAGAAAGGGACGTAATTCACCGCCTCATTCATTCATCACCAGGAGGCGTTGAGTCCTGAAGCCAAATGAACTTGTTGGTGAAGTGTTTATCTTCTGGTTACCGTGGAGACACCGATGGAGCTGAAGCTGATGGAGCCGATGGAGGAACAAATTCTTCTGGTACAAATGTTGCCAAATAAACGAAAGAGATGATGTAGAATGTGTACGACCTTTAAATGAGCGGGAAATTACAGAACTGGAAATGTGTGGAGCGCGGACGTAGAGTCGACCAATCACAGCTCTTATTGTCTGCATCGTTTCGACACAGAGTTAGAAAATGTCAGAGGTGCACGTCGCTCTGCGGGGACGGTTCAACACAGACGATCTGACACACGACCGTGAACTGGGCCAAAGTCTTGTTCCATAATAATTTGTTCCATTAGCTTTGTAATTTTAGTATATAGACGGATATGTCTGTATGTATGTACAGATGTATGTATGTATGTATGTGTGTATGTACAGATGTATGTACGTATGTATGTATGTACAGATGTATGTACGTATGTATGTGTGTATGTACAGATGTATGTACGTATGTATGTGTGTATGTACAGATGTATGTACGTATGTATGTGTGTATGTACAGATGTATGTACGTATGTATGTGTGTATGTACAGATGTATGTACGTATGTATGTGTGTATGTACAGATGTATGTACGTATGTATGTGTGTATGTACAGATGTATGTACGTATGTATGTGTGTATGTACAGATGTATGTACGTATGTATGTGTGTATGTATGTATGTACAGATGTATGTACGTATGTATGTATGTGTGTATGTACAGATGTATGTACATGTATGTATGTATGTATGTACGTATGTATGTGTGTATGTACAGATGTATGTACGTATGTATGTGTGTATGTACAGATGTATGTACGTATGTATGTATGTACAGATGTATGTACGTATGTATGTGTATGTACAGATGTATGTACGTATGTATGTATGTATGTACAGATGTATGTACGTATGTGTATGTATGTATGTATGTATGTACGTATGTATGTATGTATGTACAGATGTATGTACGTATGTATGTATGTATGTACAGATGTATGTACGTATGTATGTATGTATGTACAGATGTATGTACGTATGTGTGTGTGTATGTATGTATGTGTGTACGTATGTACGTATGTATGTGTATACAAATGTATGTATGTACAGATGTATGTGTGTATGCATGTGTGTATGTACAGATGTATGTATGTATGTATGTAAGTATGTGTGTGTGCGTGTGTGTATGTACGTACGTATGTGTGTACAGATGTGTGTATGTATGTGTGTGTGTGTGTGTGTGTATGTACATGTGTATGCATGTGTGTGTGTGTATGTATGTATGTACAGATGTATGTATGTGTGTATGTATGTACATGTGTATGCATGTGTGTGTATGTATGTATGTACAGATGTATGTATGTATGTATGTATGTATGTATGTATGTATGTATGTGTGTATGTATGTATAGATGTATGTATGTGTGTGTATGCATGTATGTATGTATGTATGTATGTATGTATGTACAGATGTGTGTATGGATATACACACACACACACACACACACACAATTTAGACCATATAAATGTGTATATATATTTTTTACTCTTTGTTTTTGTGATATAATGTGACATGTCCCTGTGGATAAATAAAGTCTTAAGTTTAAATCTGCACTTGTCCAGAAACTTTAAGGCTTAAACCTGTTTAAAATATCAGAGACAGAACAGGAAGTGTGTGTCTGTAAACACCACGACACACGACACACGTCACTGTTCTTCACCGTTCAGTCTCAGTTTCACTTTTATCCTTCTGTATAAAACATGTTTTTGTTGAGGGGGCACCCGGATTTGAACCGGGGACCTCTTGATCTGCAGTCAAATGCTCTACCACTGAGCTATACCCCCTCCTGACTGAACACACACACGAGGACGAGGGAAGTGTGAGTCAAACTGATGATAAAAAGTGTTTGGACAAAGCTCGGGTCAGTGTGTCCACCAGGGGGCGCCACAAACACACACAGGACACAAACAGGACACTCCGAGACGTCAGGAGTCTAACCCACAACCTCCTGCTCCTGCCTGAGAGGAGACGGGCTAACCACTCTGCCACACACACACAAACAGAAGAAGAAGAAGAAGAAGAAGAAGAAGAGTGCTCATGTTTATTTATAAAACATAAATATCAGTAGTTTCACTTTGTGCTTCAGTTTTACAGCTTAGTTTAGTGAATGTCAACATAAGTCCTGGTTCAGACCTGGTTCGGACCTGGGATCATCTCTTATTGCAACAAACAAAGGAGGTTAAAGGTTAAAAATGAAAAAAAAAAAAAAAAAAAAAAAAATTATTTACTAATAGGACAGAACCAGGATGAAACCCAGAACTGAACCTGGTCTAAACCAGGTCTAAACAGGGTCTAAACCAGGACTAAACCAGGTCTAAACAAGGTCAAAACCAGGTCAAAACTGGGTCTAAACCAGGTCTAAACCAGGTCTAATCCAGGTCTGAATCAGGTCTGAATCAGGTCTGAATCAGGTCTAAAACCAGGTCTAAAACCGGGTTTAAACGGGGTCTAAACAGGATCTAAACCGGGTCTAAACGGGGTCTAAAACCAGGTCTAAAACCAGGTTTAAACCGGGTCTAAACCAGGTCTAAACTCTCTTTGTGTCGTTCTCGTCACATCCAGTCGTGTCCAGATGAACTTTACAAAAATACTGCATAAAATACAAACTTCAAACCTGTGAAAGAGCTACAGCTACTCACAGAAATACTGCAATCCAACACACGGTGGCGCTAACACTCGCTCCAGCGGCCTGGAGTCTGGGATTGTCTCAGAGGAAAAACTCACGTCAGATCTGACTGGTGCACGGTAAAAAACACCTGGAGGAATTTAAATATAAATATAAAATGTAAAGGTACAGTGTGTGTAGAGTCCCTCAGTCGTCCACACAGAATCTACAGCAAAAGGAGAAATTGGACAAAAGTGGACTGGACAAAAGTTTAATTTGGTCAATCATGTTTCTCAATTCATCCAAGCTGCTTCTTCAATTCTGGTCAAAAAGCTTGTGGAAACTTCCTTATAAACCCTCACACTCTCCTCTGGGTCACATCGACCCGAAGACATTTGTTTTCCTTCCCGCTCTCTTGTCAATCAGACCCAAAAATGTATTTCCTCGCCAGGTGAGAAAATAAATTAAAATCATTTTTTGGGTCTGATTGACCTGCCCCAAGAGAGCGGGAAGGAAAAAAAATGTCTTCGGGTCAATATGATCCTGAGGAGAGTGTGAGGGTCACATCTGTCTGAAGGAAGGAACTAACTACACTGAAACTACTCTGAAACTAAGACACACTGTTTACAGTTTCTGTTTGTAGCTCGGCCTGTTAAACTTGCAGTGTGGAGTCATATTAGCAGAATCATTCAGGGTCATAACAGGTGCTTATGGGTACATGGCTGGTGTTTCTGAAAAACTCCAGAGGATTTTCAGACATGAAACACAAACAAAGTAATGTGGTCTAATCCATTCAGTGAAGACAGCAGTGACACTGGAGAAACTAAACAGACACAGACAAGAGGATGAACCAACACAGACGAGAGAGCAACACAGGACCTCAGTCTGCTGTACATCCCCACCTAAAAGCCTCGGGTCACTCGGGTCACTCTGAGGACAGCGAGGTACAAATCTGAGCCAGAGAAAAGAATGGGTTTGAGAGGAGAGTTAAAGTTTTGTTAAGAAGGACAATCCATCTCTGAACAGAAATGGAGGACTCAAACTCCATCTATCTCCTACTTACACGTCCATCCTCAAACCTAAATCAAAACAAACAAGAACAACAGGAGGAGTCAGGTCAGGTCCAGAGGTGTGGAAGCTCCATCATGACCCTGAATGATTCTGATAAAGAGACCCACAGTCAGTGCAAGTTCAACTAACAAACAGAAACTGTAAACACGTGTGTGTTCGTTTTAGAGTAGTTTCAGTGTAGTTAGCTCCTCCCTGCAGACAGATAGAAGGAAGTGTCCAGCAGCGTCTGACCAGAACTGAAGAAGCAGCTTGGATGAGCTGAGAAACATATTTGACCAAATAAAGTTTGTCCAGTTGATAAATTTAATTTCTCATTTTGCCGTATCCAGGTCCAATATCAAACAAAACAGACTCTTGTGAACTGAAGGTCCTGTTCTAATGTTCTAAACCAGGACTAAACCCTCAAAAACACAACAGGACTAAACCAGGACTAAACCAGGACTAAACCAGGACTAGACCAGGACTAAACCAGGACTAAACCACTAAACCAGGTCTAAACCAGGACTAAACCAGGACTAAACCAGGACTACTAAACCAGGACTAAACCAGGACTAAACCAGGACTAAACCAGGACTAAACCAGGACTAAACCCTAAACCAGGACTAAACCAGGACTCTAAACCAGGACTAAACCAGGACTAAACCAGGACTAAACCAGGACTAAACCAGGAACCAGGTCTAAACCAGGACTAAACCAGGACTAAACCAGGACTAAACCAGGTCTAAACCAGGACTAAACCAGGGACTAAACCAGGACCTCTAAACCAGGACTAACCTCTAAACCAGGACTAAACCAGGATCTAAACCAGGTCTAAACCAGGACTAAACCAGGACTAAACCAGGTCTAAACCAGGACTAAACCAGGACTAAACCAGGACTAAACCAGGACCTCTAAACCAGGACTAAACCAGGACTAAACCAGACTAAACCAGGACTCTAAACCAGGACTAAACCAGGAGGTCTCTAAACCAGGACTAAACCAGGACTACCAGGTCTAAACCAGGACTAAACCAGGACTAAACCAGGTCTAAACCAGGACTACTAAACCAGGACTAAACCAGGTCTAAACCAGGACTAAACCAGGACTAAACCAGATCTAAACCAGGTCTAAACCAGGAGGTCTAAACCAGGTCTAAACCAGGTCTAAACCAGGACTAAACCAGGTCTAAACCAGGTCTAAACCAGGTCTAAACCAGGACTATAAACCAGGACTAAACCAGGACTAAACCAGGACTAAACCAGGACTAAACCAGGACTAAACCAGGTCTGTGTTTGTGAGGAGGAACATTAGATCAGATTTGTGTAAATTGGACTCGTCGTGTTTCTGGTTCAAATCTTTTTTTTTTGTGTGACTTTGCTGTAAGAAAAAGTTTGGTCCAGGGCCTTTAAAGCTGCACTGCGGGGCTTTTGTAGCAGGTGGGGGGTCAGTCACCTGCCTGTCTCCATGGAGATGCTACTACTTTGCTTGGAAAGTTCCACAGTGCGGCTTTATAAACTCATCCGCCTCGCATGTGTTGAACTGCTGGTGTTTTATTGCTCAAAAATACATTAAGTCTGACTGTGAGTGGGCTCGCCTCTCCACAGATCTGACCTGACACTTGGCCCGGTAGTGCACCTGCTTGTTTCCACGACGACGGATGTGTTTTATGTCACACTGTGGAACATCTGAAGCAAAGTTTTAAACAAGACTTGTTCTGCAAAACACACACTTACACACACATATTTTTACACACACATTTTTACACACACATTTACACACACACATTTACACACACTTACACACATTTATACACACACATTTACACACTTACACACACACATTTACACACACACATTTACACACACTTACACACACACATTTACACACTCTTACACACACATTTATACACACACATTTACACACTTACACACACACATTTTTACACACACATTTTCACACACACACATTTTTACACACACACATTTACACACACATTTATACACTCTTACACACACACATTTTACACACACATTTACACACTCTTACACACACACATTTTTACACACACATTTACACACACTCTTACACACACATTTACACACTTACACACACACTTACACACACATTTATACACACATTTACACACACACACTTACATACACACATTTACACACACTTACAAACACACTTACACACACACACTTACACACACACACTTACACACATTTACACACACACTTACACACTTACACACACATTTACACACACACACACATTACACACACACACATTACACACACACATTTACACACACATTTATACACACATTTACACACACACTTACACACATATTTACACACACTTACACACACACATTTACACACATTTACACAGAAAACCATGAACCTGACGTGACGTTTACCGACATGGCAGCACTTCTGGCCGCTGTGAAAAAGCTCTATTTGGTTCCTTTAACTTCTCCATGGAGACTAGTAAAGTTACACAGTGCAGCTTTAATAGTTTGGATCATTTGGGCCTAAACTAAACCTCCAGACGTACAGACGGAGGGAGGGACGGGGGTCTGAAGTTTAAGGCGCTCGGTTTCCTGGGAGAGTTTCATATGTGAGTCCTTCATTGCACTTTTAGAAATGTTCTGATTGCACAAAAACCTCCGTGACCTCAGAGGGGTCAGAGGTCAGGGGGGGTCGGGAGGGGTCAGGTCCTAGCTCCCCGGCAGGACAGGGTCGGACAGGTGCTTCTGGAGCTCCTGGTGCTCCGCGCGGGTGGGGGCGGGGAGGGAGGGGCGGCGCGGCGGCTGCAGTGACGCGCCCTCGACACCGGGGGGCGACGCCGAGTCCGAGGCCGAGTCCCGGGGTTTGTGCTGCAGGTCCGAGTCCGGGACCTGAGGAAACACAAATATAACGAGATTAATTAACCCTTCAAGACCTGCAAGGGCAAATTTTAGTCCATTAGTCCACGCCTGGATTTTTTTCTTAATTTTGTGTTTAAAACTCCTCTTTTACCCCCTAAATTACTGTTATAAATCCCTTTTTTTTTAAACTAAAACCTGTTATTTCACAATCTGCTGCTGTAGTTGTGCCATGTGGCTGTAATAAAAACTACAGGACCAGAAATACACGTGACAAAAAATAAATATATAAAAATAAGAAAATAAAATTCACACTCTTTCATACAAAACACAAAGCAAACATGCATTGTAAACAACTTTTTGGACATAAAATAAAAAAGTGCAATGGTCCCATGACTTGACTGGTGCAGGTTGTGGAAACAGCTGGAGTCAGGTCCAGGACACTGAGACACATGACTTCCTGCATTTCCATGGAGTTTATTACGTTTGGATTTGGACACTTGGAGTGAAATAAACCTGAAAATAAAAATCGTGCAATAGGGATGCGCCATTACGCAGACTAAGATGTGTAATTTTCCATTTATTTGAGAAATATCTGCACTTAGAGCAGCTTTTTCAATTGTTACAAACACAGACGCTCAGAGCATCGACCACTTTGACTCACTACACTCTTTGGAAAAGTTTGAGTCAATCAAAATGGACGGAGCGACTGAGTTTGGCCCAAAACAAAATCTCATTTTCCCGGCGTCATCACACAGCGTTGTAGCCCAGGTAACATGAACTGATTAAATGTAATTTTCTTTATTTCTAAAGTGTCTTGTGACCAATATTTTTTGTTTTTGTTTATCTGATCAGCTGATCTCCCCGTCAGCTGACGCGCGCCTGCCTGATAGTATATATGTGTGCACGTGTGAGCGCGCGCACGCCGCCCCAACTCACCGCTGTGCCGCTGCTGCTCGTTCAGGACCTAGAGGGACGTGACGTGGATTATTAATCGAGCTGAACCAATTTGGTCCACGTAAAAGGTGCCGAGGATCAGACAGTCAGGACCCAGCTCGACGCGGTGAGACCCTCCATGTACTCAGCGCCTCAGCGCGGTGATCGAGGCGTGTCGGCAGGTGGTGTGTTGGAATTTATAAGATATTTTAAAGGGGTCTGCGGTCGGATTCAGATCGTGGTGCAGAGGCTCTGGATTAAATAAATCCCATGGATGAAAGACTATGACTGGGGAGTGCGAGTGGACAATAAAACTTTAAAGGGGGTGTGATGACGAACGTTGTATTCTAACTTGCCAATGTGTAATTTAAGTGGCATAATATAATTTCAAGTCATAGCAACCTTTAATTTGCCTTTGTTTTATTTTATTTTATTTATTTATTTTATTTATTACAAGCAAACTAATTAAAGGCAACAGTATTAAATTATTAGTATTAATCTCCTGTGCTCAGTGTGGGTGTTACAGCGAGTGACGGAGGAAAATGCTGGAAATCTGCTCGGAAAGCCACAACGCTCAGCTTTACAAGTAAAAAAAGTAAGTTTCTGTTTTTTATGGTTGTAAAGTAATGTGAGGTTATATAAATGTGCCAACACTTCCATCCAGGTGAGAGAAAAGGACAAACATACAAAACACTTCACTCAATATTTCTTTAAACTGAACAGTCTGTATTTATGGTCAAACAGGCTGAAGTACGTCTGCATCGTGGTGTTTGTTTTGGTTCGTTTTGGGCGTCATCTTCACCTTCAGCTCCGCCCAAACCACATCGCTGAGCCGTGATTGGTCCCCTCGCCGGCGGTCGGGACCAATCAGAGCAGCAGGACAGATCCACACACAGACTTTGCTCTCACCTGCAGTGGGCCCGTTGAGAGCACGGGGGGCGCCGCCGAGCCGTACAGGGGGGCGGGGCGAGGCGGGGGCCCGGCGTGGAGGGGCGGAGTCGCGTTGTGGAGGGGCGGAGTCACGGCGCTGTAGGCCGGAGGAACCATCTGTCTCTGCAGCAGCTGAAGGATCACAGTGATGTCTGCGGTCATACGACTCTCCAACCTGGCAACCGCAGACAGACAGGTGAACCAGGATACAGGACAGGTGAACAAGGACACAGGACAGGTGAACAAGGACACAGGACAGGTGAACAAGGACACAGGACAGGTGAACCAGGATACAGGACAGGTGAACAAGGACACAGGACAGGTGAATCAGGATGCAGGACAGGTGAACAAGGACACAGGACAGGTGAACCAGGACACAGGACAGGTGAACCAGGATACAGGACAGGTGAACAAGGACACAGGACAGGTGAACCAGGATGCAGGACAGGTGAACCAGGACACAGGACAGGTGAACAAGGACACAGGACAGGTGAACCAGGACACAGGACAGGTGAACCAGGACACAGGACAGGTGAACCAGGACACAGGACAGGTGAACAAGGACACAGGACAGGTGAACCAGGACACAGGACAGGTGAACAAGGACACAGGACAGGTGAACACAGGACACAGGACAGGTGAACAAGGACACAGGACAGGTGAACAAGGACACAGGACAGGTGAACCAGGACACAGGACAGGTGAACAAGGACGCAGGACAGGTGAACCAGGACACAGGACAGGTGAACCAGGACACAGGACAGGTGAACAAGGACACAGGACAGGTGAACAAGGACACAGGACAGGTGAACCAGGACACAGGACAGGTGAACCAGGACACAGGACAGGTGAACCAGGACACAGGACAGGTGAACCAGGACACAGGAACAGGACAGGTGAACAAGGACACAGGACAGGTGAACAAGGACACAGGACAGGTGAACAAGGACACAGGACAGGTGAACAAGGACACAGGACAGGTGAACAAGGACACAGGACAGGTGAACCAGGACACAGGACAGGTGAACCAGGAACGCAGGACAGGTGAACCAAGGACACAGGACAGGTGAACAAGGACACAGGACAGGTGAACAAGGACACAGGACAGGTGAACCAGGACACAGGACAGGTGAACAAGGACACAGGACAGGTGAACAAGGACACAGGACAGGTGAACAAGGACACAGGACAGGTGAACAAGGACACAGGACAGGACAGGTGAACAAGGACACAGGACAGGTGAACCAGGATACAGGACAGGTGAACAAGGACACAGGACAGGTGAACAAGGACACAGGACAGGTGAACAAGGACACAGGACAGGTGAACCAGGACACAGGACAGGTGAACAAGGACACAGGACAGGTGAACAAGGACACAGGACAGGTGAACCAGGAACACAGGACAGGTGAACAGGACACAGGACAGGTGAACCAGGACAGGACAGGACAGGTGAACAAGGACACAGGACAGGTGAACAAGGACACAGGACAGGTGAACAAGGACACAGGACAGGTGAACAAGGACACAGGACACAGGACAGGTGAACAAGGACGCAGGACAGGTGAACAGGACGCAGGACAGGTGAACCAGGACGCAGGACAGGTGAACAAGGACACAGGACAGGTGAACCAGGACACAGGACAGGTGAACAAGGACACAGGACAGGTGAACAAGGACGCACAGGACAGGTGAACAAGGACGCAGGACAGGTGAACAAGGACACAGGACAGGTGAACAAGGACACAGGACAGGTGAACAAGGACACAGGACAGGTGAACAAGGACACAGGACAGGTGAACAAGGACACAGGACAGGTGAACAAGGACACAGGACAGGTGAACAGGACACAGGACAGGTGAACAAGGACACAGGACAGGTGAACCAGGGCTGGACCCATAGACTGTTTTTATAAATGGACAGAGTTAAGCCCAAAAACATGAACTTTAATCGTTTTAAGAGTTTTTGTGGAAAAAGGGAAAATGGAGGTGGGGACTAAACTCAGACTAAACCAAAAGAAAGAGTCAGAGAGAGTCGCCGGGATTCTAGACGAGGTTTGAGACGGATGTAACAGACGTGAGGTTTGTGGAGAAATGTTGATCTTAAAACCACCCGGACCACGACCTTTGAACCTTTTGTTATTCTGGAAACGTCCTGGATGAATGACGGATTATAAACCAGGACAGGACTCAGACACACACAGACCAAACCAGGACTAAAGCAGGACTAAACCAGGACTAAACCAGGACTAAACCAGGACTAAACCAGGACTAAACCAGGACTAAACCAGGACTAAACCAGAAACCAGGACTAAACAGGACTAAACTCAGACACACACAGACCAAACCAGACAAACCAGACTAAACCAGGACTAAACCAGGACTAAACCAGGACTAAACCAGGACTAAACCAGGACTAAACTCAAGACACACACAGACCAAACCAGGACTAAACCAGGACTAAACCAGGACTAAAGCAGGACTAAAGCAGGACTAAAGCAGGACTAAAGCAGGACTAAACCAGGACTAAAGCAGGACTAAACCAGGACTAAACCAGGACTAAACTCAGACACACACAGACCAAACCAGGACTAAAGCAGGACTAAAGCAGGACTAAACCAGGACTAAACCAGGACTAAACCAGGACTAAACCAGGACTAAACCAGGACTAAACCAGGACTAAACTCAGACACACACAGACCAAACCAGGACTAAACCAGGACTAAACCAGGACTAAAGCAGGACTAAACCAGGACTAAACCAGGACTAAACCAGGACTAAACAGGACTAAACCAGGACTAAAGCAGGACTAAACCAGGACCAAACTCAAACACACAGACCAAACCAGGACTAAAGCAGGACTAAAGCAGGACTAAAGCAGGACTAAAGCAGGACTAAAGCAGGACTAAACCAGGACTAAACCAGGACTAAACCAGGACCAAACCAGAACTAAACCAGGACTAAACTCAGATACACATAGACCAAACCAGGACTAAACTCAGATTAACCCGCTCTGTGACGGCAGCTCAAAGAACAGGACAAAAATTTAAAAAGACAATTTGTACTCTGATTACATAACTCCGGTACATGTAATCTGTTACTCCCCGACACTGCCCGTTTACCTCCGGAGGTCGAGGCCGAGTTGCTCAGAAGTGATACCAAGAGGAACGTGAAATGTCAGTTCTTTGTCTCAGATTTTATAAAATACAATTCCTCCGAAAAGTGCGACTTATGTTTTTTCTTCTTCATTACGCATTTTTTTGGCTGGTGCGACTTGTTCTCTGGAGCAATTTATAGTCCAGAAAATACGGTATGTTGTTAAAACCTAACTTGTAAGGTAAAAGTATCAAATTAACTCAATCAAAACCCTCCTCCTCCTGTTCAATGTTCTGATCCTACGATGTAATGAAACTGAAGTCATTGTGTTGTTAAAAAAACTCTCTGGCGTGGAAGACTTGTAGCCATGTTCTTACACTGTTTCCTCCTCAAAAACCCCCAAAACCAAACAAAACAAAAAAATCAGAGCTGGAGTTGTGTTTTGTTTCATTCACACATGTCTGAGTAACTCTTTTATTATTATTCTGTCTGCATCTCTTAAGCTCAAAATGCTCTGTTCCACCTTGCGATGTCATGAAGCGGTAGTTTTCATTTTAACAGCTCTAACAATTTCACCTTTAGTTCAGTAGAGATTCACAATTCCAGAGCTGAAATCATCCAAATCAGACAGGTCAAACTCAGGCCCGGGGGCCAAATTTGGTCCATGATATAATTATATTTGTCCCACGAGATCATATCAAACATGTATTAGAGCTGCAGATGCACACAGACTATAGAGACATGATTTATTTAAAATGTTGTTATTATTGTATATTCTGCTTGTTCTGGATAAATTCAAACATTTATTTGAATAAGAAAAGGTTGAACATTACAGATCCGGAAAGAAGAGAAAACATGCAGATGTTGTTCAAATTTTTCAATAAATATTTAGTTTGCTCCACGACTTAGTCCCAGTTTTTTATTTTGGCCTCTGTGAATTAGAGTTTGACACTTCTGATCCAAATGATTCTAATGCAGGTGTGTGGAGTTTAAAAACACAGTGGAGCACTTCCTGTATCACCACAAGGGGTTTCTGTTTGAGAGAAAACCTCCTGCTAAAACTCCTGCCATAACTGTGAACCGGACTTTGCACTGATGCAACAACAATCCCATCTGCACTTTATACTGTTTATATCTTTGTTTATTTTGTCTTGTTGTTATGTTTCTGTAATAATAATTTTTTTTTTTTTTAAAGTGGCAACAAAATGTTTTATTTTTACAGCAAATAAATGTTGATTAAATAAATCAATAAAAAAAAGAAAAAGAACTCCTGCTAAATCTGCAGGTTTGTGTGTTAATCTTGAGTGAATGAAACAAAACACGACTCCAGGTTTGTTTGTGACGAGGAAATAGTGAGAACAGTGAAACGTGCCCTTTCCTCGTTTGTAAAATGGACAGATTTGTGTTTTTCTTTCGCTCCAAACCTCGGCGGGTTTTGTCCGTGAGGCCTGTTTGTTTTCACACCTGAATTTGGCAGAAGAAAACCCACAGGGGGAGGGACGGCACCGTGGAGATAACAGCCTCTGGATAAACAACACACGCACGCACGCACACACACAGACACACAGTCAGGTCATAGAGGAACAGTCAGGTCACACAGAGGGGGTATAGCTCAGTGGTAGAGCATTTGACTGCAGATCAAGAGGTCCCCGGTTCAAATCCGGGTGCCCCCTGAACACATCACATTTTAAATCGTTTGTGTTTGAGCCTCCAGATCTGAAACACCATCGACTACAAATCTCCAACCTGCAGCTCGTTTCGTTTTACTCAGTCCTCGTTCCGGTCACTCACCTGTTGAGCTGAGACTGCAGCAGCTCCAGACGGGACTCGAGTTCCCCGGAGCGGTCCTGACCCGGGTACAGTCCGGTCCGAGCCGGTCCCAGGCGCCGGTGACAGTCTGAGAACTGAGAGGGTCTGCGCTCGGGCCAGAAACCGTAGAGACCGGGGACGACGAGGGGAGGAGCCGCTGAGGACAGAGAAGAGACGCTCAGTTATTCTCAAAAGATTAAACCTAGAAACCTTCAAATATCTCAGTGACCAGTTGGACTGAACTCCAAACACAGACGCCCTTTATAAAAGAGGTCAGAGCCTTTTCTTCTCAGAGCTGCTCTTGATGTTTTACAACACAGTCGTGGCCAGTGTTCTTTTTTACGGGGCAGTGTGCTGGGGCAGTGTGCGGGGGCAGTGTGCTGGGGCAGTGTGCCAGCGTGCCAGGGTGGTGCACTGGGGCGGTGTGCTAGGGTGGGTGCTGGAGCGCAGTCTGGGCAGTGCATTGGGGCAGTGTATTGGGGCGTGCGTGCTGGAGCGGTGTATTGGGGCGGTGTATTGGGGTGTATTGGGGCGGTGTGCTGGAGCGGCGTATTGGGGCGGTGTATTGGGGCGGTGTATTGGGGCGCGTGCTGGGCGGTGATTGGGCGGCGTGCTGGACGGCGTGGGCGGTGTATTGGGGCGGTGTATTGGGGCGGCGTGCTGGAGCGGCGTGCTGGGCAGTGTATTGGAGCGGCGTGCTGCGTGCTGGCGGTGATGGGGCGGCGTGCTGGAGCGGCGTGCTGGAGCGGCGTATTGGGGCGTGCTGCGGCGGCGTGCTGGAGCGGTGTATTGGGGCGGCGTGGTGCTGGAGCGCGTGCTGGAGCGGCGTGCTGGATGGTGTATTGGGGCGGTGTATTGGAGCGGCGTGCTGGAGCGGGTATTGGGGCGGTGTATTGGGCGGCGTGCTGGAGCGCGTGCTGGAGCGGTGTATTGGGGCGTATTGGGCGGCGGTGTATTGGGGCGGGTATTGGGGCGGCGTATTGGAGCGGTGTATTGGAGCGGCGTATTGGAGCGGTGTATTGGAGCGGTGTATTGGGGCGGCGTGCTTGGAGCGTGTATTGGGGGGCGGCGTGCTGGGAGCGGCGTGCTGGAGCGGTGGCGGTGTATTGGAGCGGTGTATTGGGGCGGTGGGAGCGGCGTGCGTGTATTGGAGCGGTGTATTGGCGGCAGCGGTGTATTGGCGGCGTGCTGGAGCGGGCGTGTATTGGCGCGTGCGTGGAGCGGCGTGCTGGAGCGGGCGTGCTGGAGCGGCGTGCTGGAGCGGCGTGCTGGAGCGGCGTGCTGGGGCGGTGTATTGGAGCGGCGTATTGGGCGGCGTATTGGGGCGGCGTGCTGGAGCGGCGGTGTGCTGGAGCGGTGTATTGGGGCGGCGTGTGGAGCGGCGTGCTGGAGCGGTGTGCTTGGAGCGGTGTATTGGAGCGGTGTACTGGAGCGGTGTATTGGGGCGGTGTATTGGGGCGGTGTGGGGCGGCGTGCTGGAGCGGTGTATTGGGCGGTGTATTGGGGCGGTGTAGCGGTGTATTGGAAGCGGTGTATTGGTGTATTGGGCGGCGTGCTGGAGCGGGAGCGGTGTATTGGGGCGGTGTAGGCGGTGTATTGGGGCGGTGTATTGGGGCGGCGTGCTGGAGGGCGGTGTATTGGGGCGGTGTATTGGGGCGGCGTGCTGGAGCGGTGTATTGGGGCGGTGTATTGGGGCGGTGTATTGGGCGGCGTGCTGGGCGTGTATTGGCGGTGTATTGGAGCGGTGTATTGGAGCAGCGTGCTGGAGCGGTGTATTGGAGCGGTGTATTGGAGCGGTGTATTGGGGTGTATTGGGGGCGTGCTGGAGCGGCGTATGGGCGGCGTGCTGGGCGGCGTATTGGAGCGCGTGGGCGGCGTATTGGGGCGGCGTGCTGGAGCGGCGTGCTGGAGCGGCGTATTGGAGCGGTGTATTGGGGCGGCGGCGGGTGCGTGTGGAGCGGTGTGCTGGGCGGCGTGCTGGAGCGGTGTATTGGAGCGGTGTATTGGCGGTGTATTGGGGCGGCGTGTGGAGCTGGAGCGGGGTGTGGAGCGGTGTTGGGGGGTGCGGTGTATTGGGCGGTGTATTGGGCGCGTGCTGGAGCGGTGTATTGGGGCGGTGTATTGGGGCGGTGTAATTGGGCGGTGTATTGGGGCGGTGTATTGGCGGCGGGCGGTGTATTGGAGCGGTGTATGGGGCGGTGTATTGGGGCGGTGTATTGGGGCGGCGTGCTGGGCGGTGTATTGGGGCGGTATTGGCGGCGGTGTGGGCGGCGTGTGGAGCGGTGTATTGGAGGTGCTATTGGAGCGGTGTATTGGGCGGTGTATTGGCGGGTATTGGGCGGCGTGCTGGAGCGGTGTATTGGAGCGGCGTGCTGGAGCGGTGGTGCTGGGGCGGTGTATTGGGGCGGGGGTAGCGGCGTGTGGAGGGTGCTGGAGCGGGCGCGTGTATTGGGCGGTATTGGGGGCGGCGTATTGGGGCGGCGTGTGGGAGCGTGCTGGGCGGCGTGCTGGAGCGGTGTATTGGGGCGGCGTGCTGGAGCGGTGTATTGGGCGGCTGTGGCGGCGTGCGGCGTTGGGGCAGGTGTATTGGGGCGGCGTGCTGGAGCGGCGTATTGGAGCGGTGTAGCTGTATTGGGCGGTGTATTGGGCGGGTGTGGAGCGGCGTGTTGGAGCGGCGTGCTGGAGCGGTGTATTGGGGCGTGTATTGGGGCGGCGTTGCTGGAGCGGTGTATTGGGCGGTGTATTGGGCGGTGTATTGGGCGGCGTGCTGGAGCGGTGTATTGGGGCGGTGTATGAGCGGTGTATTGGGCGGCGTGCTGGAGCGGTATGTATTGGGGCGGTGTATTGGGGCGCTGGTGCGAGCGGTGTGCGTGTGGAGCGGTGTGTGGGGGCGGTGTATTGGGGCGGCGTGCTGGAGCGGTGTATTAGGGGCGGTGTATTGGGGCGGTGTATTGTGGGCGCGTTGCTGGGCGGTGTATTGGGGGCGGCGTGCTGGAGCGGTGTATTGGGGCTGGAGCGGTATTGGGGCGGTGTATTGGGGCGGCGTGCTGGAGCGGTGTAATTGGGGTGGTGTATTGGGGGCGGTGTATTGGGCGGCGTGCTGAGCGGTGTATTGGGGCGGTGTATTGGGGCGGTGTATTGGGGCGGCTGTGCTGGGCGGTGTATTGGGGCGGTGTATTGGGGCGGTGTATTGGGGCGGCGTGCTGAGCGGTGTATTGGGGTGGTGTATTGGGCGGTGTTGGGGCGGGTGCGGTGTATTGGGGCGGCGTGCTGGGCGGTGTATTGGGCGGTGTATTGGGGCGTGTGATGCTGGGCGGCGTGCTGGGCGTGTATTGGGGCGGTGTATTGGGGTGGGTGTATTGGGCGGGGTATTGGGCTGGTGTATTGGGGCGGTGTATTGGGGCACTGTAGGCCATAACAGACACCTGCTCCCACCCCCTCCCCAGTGTCCTACTGCACCCGGTGGCAAAGAGGAGCAGCAGTGGCGCCTCTCAGTCCGGTGAACCACTGAAAGGTTTAAGAATCATTTGTCCCTACAGCGATCAGGCTCTAAACCTGTCATAACCCCACCTGTCACCCTCACCTGTCACCCTCACCTGTCACCCTCACCTGTCACCCTGCAGAACACTAACCCCACCTGTCACCCTCACCTGTCACCCTGCAGAACACTAACCCCACCTGTCACCTGCAGAACACTAACCCCACCTGTCACCCTGAACACTAACCCCACCTGTCACCCCACCTGTCACCCTCACCTGTCACCCTCACCTGTCACCCTCATCACCTTCACACTAACCCACCTGTCACCCTCACCTGTCACTGCACACACTAACCTCACCTGTCACCCTGCACTAACCCACCTGTCACCCCACCTGTCACCTCACCTGTCACCCTCACCTTCACCCTCAACCCTGTCAACAACACCTGCAGAACACTAACCCACCTGTCACCCTGTCACCTGTCACCCTGCAGAACACTAACCCACCTGCCACCCTCACCTGTCACCCTCACCTGTCACCCTGCGAACACTAACCCCACCTGTCACCCTCACCTGTCACCCTGCAGAACACTAACACCTGTCACCCTCACCTGTCACCCTCACCTGTCACCCTCACCTGTCACCCTGCAGACACTAACCTCACCTGCACCTCACCCTCACCTGTCACCTGCAGAACACTAACCCCACCTGTCACCTCACCTGTCACCCTCACCTGTCACCTCACCTGACCCTGCAGAACAACCTCACCTGTCACCCTGTCACCTGTCACCTGTCACCCTCACCTGTCACCCTGCAGAACACTAACCCCACCTGTCACCCTCACCTGTCACCCTCACCTGTCACCCCACCTGTCACCCTGCAGAACACTAACCCCACCTGTCACCCTCACCTGTCACCCTCACCTGTCACCCTGCAGAACACTAACCCCACCTGTCACCCTCACCTGTCACCCTCACCTGTCACCCTCACCTGTCACCCTGCAGAACACTAACCTCACCTGTCACCCTCAACCCTCACCTCACTCACCTGTCACCTGCACAACACTAACCTCACCTGTCACCCTCACCTGTCACCCTCACCTGTCACCCTCACCTGCCACCCTGCAGAACACTAACCCCACCTGTCACTGTTCACAACTTTCAGGGACCAGAGCAGAGTTTGCCATCACTGTAATGCTAACAGTGCATTTCCTGATCAGAGAAACACCCTTCCAGATCTTCGACAGTTTGTACAATACATCTGTACTGGGGCGAGACATTTTACTGTGTTATATTTAATATAATTAGGTACATCCCCATTAATACTCCACGTTCTTTCAGCGTGTTGTTCCTGCACCTGTGTACGGCGCCCCCTGGAGGTCGACGGGACGAGCCGCAGAGGGCCCGCCGTGCTGCCTCGGGGCCAAGTCTCTGGTCCGGAACAGGTCAGTTTTACCCTGGTCCTCGTCGCTGGACTGAGAGCAGGGGCTGTCGCTGCTGCACGGCTCGTCCCAGCGAGAGGAGGAGGAGACGGGGTGAGAGGAGGAGGAGAGGAGGTGGGAGGAGGGGTGAGAGAGCGGGAGGGAGGACGGGAGGGAGGACGGGAGGGGGCCGGCGGGGCAGTGGTCGGGGCTGGGCTCGTCTCTGTCCATTCCATCTGAGGAGAAAACGAGAAGGTGTCCACGTCAAACTGATTTTTCAGACTATAATTCACTTTTTCTCATGGTTTGGGTGTTTCCTGTGACTTATATCCTCCTGACTACCCATAGTTCATTTTTGTCCTCTCTAGTGGACATTTCTTTACAAAAATATTTCCAACTCCCTGCACATTACCTAACCAACTCCCTCTGTGATTTAAAGAGGACATTCAGAGCTTTCAAATGATACCAAATTTATAAGGGTGGAGCTTTGAAAAGACCCTCCTCCTTTACAAGGAAAATGGCTGCCATCAACACAACCACATTTTATGGAAAAAAGAACAGTAAGTGGTATAACTTTTTTATTAAGCAAATTTTGGATCAAAGTTGCACTGTTATATTTTTCTGAATGTCTAATGAACACATTAAAACCATTTTTAAAGTAAAGTAGCAATATTTTACAATGAAATTTGAGTGTTTAACAAATGTCCTCCGAAGTGGACATTTGGAGTCATTTATTTATTTTTTTCCAATTTGAAGGAATTGGTTCTAGGTCAGAGGCAGAGAAAATATTACTACAAATTGTGGGAGAAAACTCATAAACATTTTCACACTGACAGACTCTAGGGGGCGCTCTGGTCTTGTGTGTGAGTATCACACGACACACAAACAGACCAGACTCACCATCAACAGAACACCCCTGTCACAGAAAGAACACTCATATTCCACTGACTCGTGTCTGCACACAAGAGTGTTTTTATCTTTTCTCTGCTTAGTTTATGTAAATGAATCATGTGGGTTTAAGTTTTGTTTCTGTGAGATTTGTACAAATCTGCATTAAACACATTATAATGTCAAACGGGCTGATGTGGCTCTAGAGTCGTTATGTTTATATGGTAAATGGTCATCAACTTTATGCATACAGATTAGTAACAGTAATAATAATGATGATACTTATTATATAAAACCTTAATGATTAATCAAAAATCAATTGTTAATTCTCCCGATGATCGATTAATAAAATTTAATCGAATGACCGTCACTAATGTGGACGTTCACTTTCTTGAGCTTCATCAAACATGGAGAAATGGAAAATATGTGCAAGGTTCGACCGCATCTACAAAAAAAAATCTCCAGCACAAATGATGTTTGAGGCAAACATGAATCATTTGTGTATTTTACTTTAAACTCAGATTTAGTTTTGTCGACGTCGTAGCTCCCTCGTCGTACGTCGTATCTCGTCGTACGGTCTCTCGCCGCTCCCTCTCGTATCGCTCTCGTCGTACGCCGTCGTCGTCGTTCCGCCCGCTCCCTCGTCCGTCGTACGTCTCGTTCCCGTCGTCGACGGTCTCGTTCGTCCCGTCGTACGTCTCTCGTCCGCCCGCTCTCGTTCCTCTCGTCGTACGGTCTCTCTTTCCGCCCGCTCTCCCTCGTCGTACGGTCTCGTTCGCCCGCTCCCTCGTCGTACGGTCTCGTTCCCCCCGCTTCCTCGTCGTACAGTCTCGTTCCGCCCGCTCCCTCGTCGTCGTACGTCTCGTCTTTTCCGCCCGCTCTCGTCGTACGGTCTCGTTCCGCGCCGTCCTCGTCGTACGTCGTTACGTCTCGTTCCGCCCGCCCGTCTCGTCCGCCCGCTCCCTCGTCGTACGGTCGTCGGTCGTCCCGCCCGCTCCCTCGTCGTACGGTCTCGTTCCGCCCGCTCCCTCGTCGTCCCTCGTCGTACGGTCTCGTCTCCCGCCCGCTCCCTCGTCGTACTCGTCGTTCTCGTACGTCCCGCCCGCTCCCTCGTCGTACGTCGTCGTCGTCCGCCCGCTCCCTCGTCGTACGGTCTCGTCCGCCCGCTCCGGTCGTCTCTCGCCCGCTCCCTCGTCGTACGGTCTCGTCCCGTCCCCGCTCCCTCGTCGTACGGTCTCGTTCCCGCCCGCTCCGTCGTCGTCGTACGTCGTCTCGTCCTCCGCCCGCTCCCCGTCGTCGTAGCTCCCTCGTCGTCGGTCTCGTCCCGCCCGCCCGCTCCCTCGTCGTCGTACGGTCTCGTCCCGCCTCGTCCCGCCCGCTCCCTCGTCGTACGGTCTCGTTCCGCCCGCTCCTCGTCCGCCCGTCGTCGTACGGTCTCGTCTCCGCGCCCGCTCCCTCGTCGTACGCTCGTCCCTCGTCGTCGTCTCGTCCGCCCGCTCCCTCGTCGTACGGTCTCGTTCCGCCCGCTCCCTCGTCGTACGGTCTCTTTCCGCCCGCTCCCTCGTCGTACGGTCTCGTCCCGCCCGCTCCCTCGTCGTACGGTCTCGTTCCGCCCGCTCCCTCGTCGTACGGTCTCGTTCCGCTCGCGCTGCAATGAGCTTTCAAAATGTGTCTTGCGTCGCTCTGTTTTGCGTCGGGTCCTGCGGGTGCAGGGCTCTAACCTGATGTTTCATTTTATTTGTATTTTCTAATTATTTAGAGTTTGACAAATGGACACAGCGAAATGTAAACAACTGCATCTGTTCAAGTTTGTTCAACAATAAATGAAAGTGAAAGTCACTTTTTGTTCTGTACAATAATATAATCATGAATTCAAATGAAAATATCTCAAGTTGAAGCTTTTCTCAGCAGTTTTTAGGTGAGATTAAAAAAGAGATGAATTAGATTAATTAATTACAGATCATAATGAATTAATCTCTCCATTTTTTTATCTCTTGACAGCACTACACAAAATATTAAAAGTGTTTTATTTGAATGTTTCAAGATTACCATTATAGACAAATTTAGAATTACATTTAAAAACAAACAAACTAAAATAAAAATACATTGTAATTAAATACTCATTTGACCTTTCAGTCTGACACAGGGGTACAGGAGCGTGGGAGGGCATCTGAGTTACCTGGGCGGTTCCTGCGGCGCAGAGATCTCCGTCGGTGTTTGTGTTTGTTGAAGTCGCACTCTGAGGCGGGAGCTGAGGGCAGGTCCACGCCGTCCGCCTGAAAACAAACCAAACGCACAAACACACGAGAATCGATTATTTTCTTTTCGATAAATCAAAACGTTCAACAGCCTCAGAGGGTTTGTGTTTCGTTTGCGGTGTGACAGTTCTCGGCTGGTGCGTGTGCGGCGCTCACGTCTCGCAGGTCGAAGGTGATCTCCAGGTTGGTCCAGAAGAGTTGGGCGAAGTCCGGGTACATGTCCAGGCACGTCCAGCAGCTCGTCGCGCTGGATCTTGTGCAGGTCGCAGTAGGTCAGAGCCCGGACGTCGGCGCTGGACTTGCCCGGGCGCCCGTACACGCTCACCGCCTCGCCGAAGATGTCGTTCTTACCTACCACCAGGGGGCAGAGTTTAGAACACGTCTGGGGAATGATGTAGAGTTTGGGTTTCACACGTGATCAAATGTCTCAAAGCAACAGTTCTGACCCAGATTAAGATATTTTCTGATCTACTCTTTGTTCTAATGTCGTTTTTTCATCACAAACAAGACCTGGAGTTGTGTTTTGTTTCATTCTCACATGTTTAACTCACAAACCTGCAGATTTAGACTGAACTCTTCTCTCAAATAAAAAAAAAAATAATTAAAAAATCCACATTGTTTACTCCTTCATTAGAATCATTTTGTTGATTCTGATATAGTTCAAATAACACTTAGAAACATTAAGCAAAAAATTATAACTCAAAATACAAATATGCAATCTAATTATTTGTGCAATCAAAAGTTTAAAAATATCTGTAAAATTAAAAATCAAAAATATCTGTCCTTGCCTCTTTTATTTTTGTTCCGCGTCTTTCTCAGTTTTGTTTGATTATGTTTTTTTTTGTTTTTTTTGTTTGGTTATGATTCCACACTCCTCATTTGTGCTCCCAGACTTTTTGGTTTCAGTTTTGGCACAGGTGTGACAGGTGGGCGGGGTTTCCTTCGGTTCATTCCCATTGGTTCATTTATGTCTGACGGACAGCTGAGCCTTGTGGACGTTTCCTGTTGTAGTTCTGGTGCTTAGAGTTTTTCTAATATTCACTGTTCTCTGGTGGAACAACGTTTTTCTACAGTGGAAGTTCTGGACAAACTCGTCTGTGTTTCAGTCGTCAAAAATTCACCAGGAAACATCCACAACAGCTTCAGGAGCTCCAGGCTCAGCTGTCCGTCAAACATAAATGAACCAATGGGAATGAACCGAAGGAAACCCCGCCCACCTGTCACACCTGTGCCAAAACTGAAACCAAAAAATCCAACGAGAAGAATCAGAACCAAAGAAAACGGCGTCAAACAAAACTGAGAAAGACGCGGAACAAAAATAAAATGTTTCCAAACAGGCAAAGACAGAAATTTTACATGATTACAAAAATAATTTGGCCACAGCGGCTCGTCAGATCCTGATCCTGTCAGATCTCAGACGCTCAGCAGGGCCGGGCCTGGGCAGGGCTTGGATGGAGACACTGCGAATTCCAGGAGCCACAGGAGGCGCCAGTGGTACAACAGATGGGCAGATTGGCAGCCTCGCTTCTGTCAGTCTGCCCCAGGGCAACTGTGGCCAGTGTTGGAAGTAACGTGTTATAAAAGTAATGAATTACTGTAATTGTTGTTTTTTGCTGTAACGCAGTAATGTGGCATTACAGGGGGAAAAAATGTTTCTATTTTACTGTGTACAAATGTGAGTAAAGCGTGTCACACTGCTTTTTTAACCTGGATGGAAGTGGTGGGTTTTTCTTCATACAAATTGTTAGCAGGGTCCCTCTACAGCGTTGTTGTGACCATTAAAACACAGTTCACGTTGTATTCACTTCCTGTGTGGTGACTCCATTCTCCACGGGCGCACACTTCACTTTATTCACAGGTGCAGGCCATTCATAATTTTGTGCCTCACGTGATCAAGTTTTCTTACTCGCAATTGGGCAAATCATAAGTCTACGAAAATACATACAAATAATAAGACGAGAGCACAACACAAATTCACTAAAATCACCGCGACATCAGCAGCGGTGAAACGCCGGAGACACGCCCATGTAGACCGTCAGGTGACCACGGGCGAAAGGACCGACGCAGAACTCCACGCTCCACAAGGCTAAACGTAGTTGACGTCCGATCGCGCCTTACAGACACCTGCTCCACAGACTCGAGGTTCACTCAGGGGTGGAACTAGATTCCAAGTTCTAGTCCAAGATTAGTCCTAGTTTAGTCCTGGTTTATTCCTGGTTTAGTCCTGGTTCAGTCCACATACGGCGCAGAAGTTCAACATCTTTGCAGATATTTTGGTGAGGGTAACTTAAAGTGCTGCAATAGTCATGTAATGTTTTATATTTTAAATACAGTAATATTGTGATGTAACAAATCACTCTGAAATGACAGAAACACGGCATAAATAAATAAAACATTACTGTTTTAAAGTCACTTGCCCAATGAAGAATGATCTGTAAAGAGCTTTGGGCGTCTTCGAACGGCGTGACATAAATGCAACGATTCATTAATCCATTAATTAGATTGCAACTTTATTGATTTTATTTTATTTTACTTTTTTTGTTCGATTTTTAAAAATGTGGTGTTTCGTTTTATACTTTTTTGCTTGATGTTTTAAAACCGTTATTCGAACTATTTGACTCAAAACTGATCCCACGTGGAGTCGCCAATCTCCACTGAACAAAAAGTAAAAAGGAGCTGTTCACTTGAAAACTTCCACTTCATGACATCACAAGGTGGAAGAGAGCGTTTAGAGCTTTGGAGATGTAGACAGACGAATAATAAAGAAACAAAACACAACTCCAGCTCTGTTTTTGAGGAGGAAACAACATCAGAACACGACTTAAAGGTTGTATGGAGGATTTTTTTTTTGTTTCAAATTGTCAGTGATAGATTATAGAGACACAGTCGCCTTGTAATTATGATGACCAAAAAAAAGAGAATAAAAATTCATCAACTCTGGACGTGGTGGGGATAAGGACACTGCCTCGTTATCTGTGAGCTGACAGGCTGTCAATCAAACTCCCTACGTTTCTAGTGTAACTGACTTGCCTGCGCCGCCGGTACGTGGTTTACGTACGACTGTCACACAGTCCACAGACGCAAGACGCACAGACGCTGTTTACTCCACCAACGCAACAGTTCTTAGCGGCTTTTTTGACCTATATCTTCCTCGCAGTTCGCACAAAGTTTGTTGCGATGGCGACAAGAATCCAGGAGCAGTTCGCCGCAAAAGAAAGTCCGTTTTTGAGGTCGCTGAAAGAAGAAGACAAGGGGAAAAGCAGCGAAGCCAAACTAAGGTGATTCTTGGAGATTCATTCCAGCGATGGCGCGACTGAAGCAGACGAAGAGTCTAAAGACTGAACCACTGGTCCACAAATTACTCCTGGACAGGAAACTTCTGCTTATTATGAAAACGTACTTTATTTCCAAGAGTTACACAAACGTTTTTCAGGACACAAAAGCGATATCCTATGTCTGAAAACTGTAATTTTCAAGGCAAAGAAAGAGTCCGCTTGCTGCTGCGTGTTGTAGCTAGTTCATTCGCACGGAATCTCTGCTCTCCCCTTTCCTGCTCCTCTCCCTGCTTCCTCACTTCTCCGTCTTGCCTAACCAACACTGTAGTTAGTTGTTTACAAGTCATGTGCAGCGATGAGGACTTTCTGGCGTAAAGAGGAGGGAGGAGGTGTTTCTACGTAGGAGCTGTGGGGGAGGGGGGGTGGTTTCACGCATGCGCAACATTTGAAAAACGACAAACAGTCGCTGGATTTCTCGTTCCTTGGAAAATCCTCTATACAACCTTTAAAGCTCAGGAGAGTTCATTTTGCGTTATTATAAAATCTTTAAAGTGGACTGACCGAGGATGGCGACCACGGTGTCGTCTCGGAGGATCTCGATGGAGCCTCTGGAGATGAAGTAGAGCGCGGTGAGGATGTCGCCGCAGTGCACCAGCGTGTCACCGGGGGGCGCGTGCGTGGTCTTGAAGCGCACGGCCAGAGCGCGCAGGCAGCCTTTGTTCGCCCCTCGGAACGCGCGGCAGTTCTGCAGCAGAGTCCGGTTCAGGTGCAGGCAGATGTCGGCCTGGAGACACTCGGGGAAACCTTTCAGAACCTACAGGGACAGAAGTGGGTAGAAGTGGGACAGAAGGGGACAGAAGAAGGGACAGAAGGGGACAGAAGTGGACAGAAGGGGAAAGAAGGGGAAAAGAAGGGGCAGAAGGACAGAAGTGGGACAGGGAGAAGTGGACAGAAGGGGAAAGAAGGGGACAGAAGGGGGCAGAAGTGAGTTACTTTTACCCCACTATCTCCTTGGTGTTGAAATAGGTTCTGTTCACGCTTAAGTCACAAACCCGGAAAATGTTTGAAAACATACGGATGACGACTCTGTTGGTGATAACTGACAAAATCTGGGAAATCTGAGAAAATGTCCCGGAGAAAATGAGCTCTGGGTAATGACTGAAAGGACGAGATCACAGATACAAGCGCTCGAAATGAGTTTCCTCCGCAGGGCGTCTGGGTGCTCCCTTAGAGATGGAGTGAGGAGCTCAGTCACACAGGAGGAGCTCGGAGCAGAGACGCTGCTCCTCCACGTGGAGAGAAGAGTTTGAGGGGAGGACGTCTGTTCTGATGTCTCCTGGACGTCTCCCTCAGGAGGTGTTCCGGGCACATCCCACTGTGAGGAGGCCCCCGGGGAAGACCCAGGACACACTGGAGGGACAATGTCTCTGGACTGACCTGGGAACACCTCGGGGTCCTCCCGGAGGAGCTGGAGGAAGTGTCCAGGGTGAAGGAAGTCTGGGAGTCCCTGCTTAGACTGATGCCCCTGAGACCCGACTCCGGATAAGAGGAAGAAAAAGGATGGATGGAACTGATGCGTGGTCTTGCAGGCTGCCGCTTATGTGTTTGAAATTTGACAAACTGGACTTGATTTTGTTTACTACCTTTATTTTCTGCTGTTTGAAGTTGAGTTTGGAATCAGCCATGACTCCTGGATATTTAAATTCACAAACTGTCAGTAGATGTTCTTTTTATCAGTCTGGGGGTTTATCTTCTGCAGCAGAGTTTAGAGAAAAACCTACAAATGGTTTCAGAAACATTCAGGAGCAGCTGGACCTGCAGACTCTGAAGCTGAGTTCATGTCAGACGTGAGATCTTGAGCTGCTCGATATTTGTTTAGATGATTGTGTCATGTTCATGTAACAGGCACTGAGCTGGACGTGCAGCTGCAGGGAGATCGTTTCTGTCCAGACAGAATAAAAACGTTGATGAAGTCGAGCCTGTGGTGAGTCCGAGCGAAGATGAAAGACGAGAAAATGAACCTGAAATAGACTTTGTAAATCTCGTGAGTCGTTTTATCTGTGTGATCCTCAGACCGTCGTCATGTCAAGAGCTTTTTATAGAGAAATCTTCTGTTCGGTTTAATGTTCCCACATTTTTACACAACCAAAAGGAAAACAATGAGAGAAAATCAAGAATATTTAAATCTCCCAACACAGAAAAACAAACACGACTTAGAGAGTCGGTGTGACTCCTCCACTGTGTCACACTCACACACTCAGGTCCTCACAACTCAAGTCCTCTGTGTCACACTCACACACTCAGGTCCTCACAACTCAAGTCCTCTGTGTCACACTCACACACTCAGGTCCTCACAACTCAAGTCCTCTGTGTCACACTCACACACTCAGGTCCTCACAACTCAAGTCCTCTGTGTCACACTCACACACTCAGGTCCTCACAACACAAGTCCTCTGTGTCACACTCACACACTCAGGTCCTCACAACTCAAATCCTCTGTGTCATATGCACACACTCAGGTCCATACAGCCTCAGGTCCTCTGTCTGGTCCTCTGCCCTCACAGACTCGGGTCCTCACAGACTCGGGTCCTTTGCCCTCACAGACTCGGGTCCTCTGCCCTCACAGACTCGGGTCCTCTGCCCTCACAGACTCGGGTCCTCTGCCCTCACAGACTCGGGTCCTCTGCCCTCACAGACTCGGGTCCTCACAACTCTAGTCCTCTGCCCTAAAAGACTCAGGTCCTCGAGTTTAAGTAAATGTTCATATTGAATATATTTTTGCTGTGTTAATATTTTATGTTTGCTCGTTTGTTTTGTCTAATTTGTTTTGGCTGTTTTGGTTTAGTTCATGAGCACCGTGTGCACCGAGTGCACCTGGACGGGCCTGTGGTTTCACCGGTCGGCAGGAGTGACAGGGGCAGGAGTGACAGGGGCAGGAGAGGAGTGACAGGGGCAGGAGAGGCAGCAGGTGTAGGCCTTGATCATGTATCCTTGTTATTTTCCTGCAAAACTTGGAATAAATCTTGGAAAATGCAGCACAGGACCTGGAGTTTTTTATTCTGTACGACATAAACCACATCCCCACGGTGCCCAAAGCTGATTTTTAAATTTTAGTTTAGTTCCAAGTTTGTTCACCGCTTTTTTTTTGTGAATTTCCGTTGACAAATATTCACTACAAGAGCGACGGGACGTTCGGGTGTTACTCAGTGATCAGGTTGTCCACGTTAAATTCAGAGCGGTGGGACGTTCGGGTGATACTCACGGCGTTCATGTCGATGCCGTTGGTGTAGGACCAGGCGTGTTGGAAATATTCCTCCAGCCGCTGCCTCAGGGCTCCCGGGATCTGATGGAAGCGGATGAACTCTTTGACCCGGAGCATCTGCGTGTGGTACCGCGCCGTCCCCGAGTACAGACGCTGGATGATCGCGGAGACGTTCCCGAAGATACTGGCGTACATCAGAGCTGTGAGGAGACAGGGGACATTGGACAGAGGAGGAAACATGTGAGGACACAGGTGAGGAGACAGGAGAGGAGACAAGACAGATGATAGAAGAAGAGACAAGGGAGTAGACAGGAGAGGAAAGAGGAGAGGACACAGGAGAGGAGACATGTGAGGAGACAGGAGAGGAGAGAGGGGAGGAGACAGGAGAGGAGACAGGAGAGGAGACAGGAGAGGAGACAGGAGAGGAGACAGGGGAGGAGACAGGGAGAGGGAGACAGGGGAGGAGACAGGAGAGGAGAAGAGGGAGGAGACAGGGAGGAGACAGGAGAGGAGGAGAGGAGAGGAGACAGGGGAGGAGACAGAGAGAGGAGGAGAGAGAGAGGAGACAGAGGGAGGAGACAGGAGAGGAGACAGGAGAGGAGAAGAGGAGAGGAGACAGAGGAGAGGAGACAGGAGAGGACAGAGAGAGGAGAGACAGAGGAGAGGAGACATGTGAGGAGACAGGGAGGAGACAGGAGAGAGGGGAGGAAGACAGGGAGGAGACAGGAGAGGGAAGAGAAGAGGAGACACGAGGGGAGGAGACATGTGAGGAGACAGGAGAGGAGAGAGGGGAGGAGACAGGAGAGAGAGAGAGGAGACAGAGAGAGAGGAGACAGGAGAGGAGACATGTGAGGAGACAGGAGAGGAGAGAGGAGAGGAGAACAGGAGACAGGAGAGGAGACAGGAGAGGAGACAGGAGAGAGGAGACAGGAGGAGAGGAGACAGGAGAGGAGACAGGTGAGGAGACAGGTGAGGAGACAGGAGAGGAGACAGGTGAGGAGACAGGAGAGGAGACAGGAGAGGAGACAGGAGAGGAGACAGGTGAGGAGACAGGTGAGGAGACAGGAGAGGAGACAGGTGAGGAGACAGGAGAGGAGACAGGAGAGGAGAGGAGACAGGTGAGGAGACAGGTGAGGAGAGACAGGGAGAGGAGAGAGGAGACAGGTGAGGGAGGAGACAGGTGAGGAGGAGACAGGAGAGGAGACAGGTGAGGAGACAGGTGAGGAGACAGGGAGAGGAGACAGACAGGAGAGGAGACAGGTGAGGAGACAGGTGAGAGGAGACAGGAGAGGAGACAGGAGAGGAGAGGAGACAGGAGAGGAGGAGACAGGGAGAGGAGACAGACAGGGAGGAGACAGGGGAGGAGACAGGAGAGGGAGAGACAGAGGAGACAGAGGAGACAGACAGGAGAGGAGACAGGTGAGGAGACAGGTGAGGAGACAGGAGAGAGAGAGACAGGTGAGGAGACAGGTGAGGAGAGGGAGACAGGGAGGAGAGGAGACACAGGAGAGGAGACAGGAGAGGAGACAGAGGAGAGGAGACGTGAGGACAGAGGAGACAGGAGAGGAGACAGGTGAGGAGACAGGTGAGGAGACAGGAGAGGAGACAGGTGAGGAGACAGGTGAGGAGACAGGTGAGGAGACAGGAGAGGAGACAGGAGAGGAGACAGGAGAGGAGACAGGAGAGGAGACAGGTGAGGAGACAGGTGAGGGAGGTGAGGACAGGTGAGGAGACAGGTGAGGAGACAGGTGAGGAGACGAGACAGAGGAGACAGGTGAGGAGACAGGTGAGAGAGGGGAGGAGACAGGGGAGGAGACAGGAGAGGAGACAGGTGAGGAGACAGGAGAGGAGACAGGAGAGGAGACAGGTGAGGAGACAGGAGAGGAGACAGGAGACAGGGAGGAGACAGGTGAGGAGACAGGAGAGGAGACAGGAGAGGAGACAGGTGAGGAGACAGGAGAGGAGACAGGAGAGGAGACAGGACAGTTGAAGTATTAACATTAAACAAGTGAAGTTTAACAGACAGAATCAAATGAACTTTTCATTATTATTAGTTTGTACAACAATAAATGAAAAACAAAAAAAAACTTACATTTTTTCATTCTCATTGTAATTTACTTTGTTCGATCATAAACGATAAACTTCTGTGCCTTTGTTAATATAATTCTCAGTTTGTACGACCACAAACGAAAAATTATGATTTTAAAAAAGTCAAACACTGTAGAAGCCTTAAAGTAAGAGAATAAAATGTTATGTTTTAAAGATCTCGAGCTCTGGAATGAATGAATTATGCATTAAATTCAGTTTGTTTTCATTTATATTTTGTCTCTTATATTTACAGTAAGTCAAAAGTAAAATTATAAATGTAAACTAGCTCTTCATAGGCTGCTTTTCTTTTTTGGAGTTCTGTCGTTGTTTAATAGAGTTTGGCTTTATAAATACTTTTTACTTCAGCCTAAACCCTTTAGGTCATGATCCATGTCATCTATGTTTTTTTTGGTTTTTTTTTTGTAGTGCTGCAAAATGACTGTAATGGTTTTGGTAAAGTTTTTTGTTTTTTTTAGTAGTAGTTTATTCAAAGTTCGGTTCTACGTCCTCAATATTTGCAGGGTTTCCACAGTCATGGAAATCCTGCAAAGGTCATGGAAATTGAAAATGTCATTTTCCAGGCCTGGAAAAGTCATGGAATTTTGTAAACTCAATACAAGTTTTGGAAAAGTTATGAAATTGTAGTAACTCCAGTGTTCTGTTCAGTTCTCATGAGGCTGTTCTGATTATTTCTGATCATCTGCACCTTTTGTTTAAAAGAGACGACAATAAATGACAGGATTTTAAATGTTCAAAAACTATAATTCCAAACCATAAGGTGAGAGGAAAGATTTAACATTTCAGATTTACCCTAAAAGTCTGATTAATTCTCAAAATCTCATGGAAAACTTTTGAAATTTTGCCCGTGAAAATGAGTGGGAATTAGGGACGGGCATTCGATGAAATTTTCTTAATCGATCGTCGGAAGAATTAACGATCGATTATCGATTAATCATTAACGTTTTTATATTAAAATGATCATCATTATTATTACTATCTGCACTAATCTGCATAAATAAATTCAACTTTACGACATATAAACATAACGACTCTAGATCCACATCAGCTGTTTGACATTATAATGTGTTTAATTCAGTTTTGTTCAAATCTCACAGAAACAAAACTTAAAACCACATCACTAATTTACATAAACTAAGTGAAGATAAAACTCCAGCTCTTGTGTCGCTGATGTGGTTCAACTTGTGTTGGATTAAAAGACATGACTCAGGTGAATACAGGTCAGTGTGACCAGATTTGTGTTTGTCAAAACCAGGACACCGTACGGGGGGAGGGGGCGGGGCCTCGTCATCCACATTGAGCGACTCTCACCTGGAAAAACTTTTTCCCACTGGACACAGAAACATATGTGCTGCTTTATCCACTGTGCACATGGACTCACACTTGTCCCAACGCAACGGAAAGTGTGGAATTTCTTCTACAAATCCTGGTTAAATCCACATTTGTGCTTCGGTTCGTTACAGACTGACCCACTGTTTGTGTCTCGCTCCTTCTGATGCAGAGACACATGTACACACCTGTTTGGTCACGACACACAGCAACCTACATTCGGTTTGTTGATTAAAATGAACGTAATCGATGAAATTCTTAATGATCAATTATCGATTAATCGATTAATCACGCCCATCCCTAGTGGGAAGCCTGTTTTATTTGCCCGCATCTTTCCCTGGACTCACATCCGATGAGCATGACGCAGATGGAGAAGATCTTCTCCGGGTTGGTGTTGGGGGAGACGTTTCCGAAGCCGACGCTGGTGAGGCTGCTGAAGGTGAAGTACAGCGCCGTCACGTACTTGTCTTTGATGGACGGACCCGAGCTCACGTCCGTGTCGTTGTACTGTTTCCCGATCTGCTCCGCCAGGTTGTCCAGCCAGCCGATCCTCAGCACCCCGACCCGAGCCGTACTCGTGCGCTCCACGTTACCGATGGCGTACCTGAGCCACAAGAGAGAGGGGAGGAGCCACAAGAGAGGGGAGGAGTCAAAATAAATACACCTGCGGGGGGAGGAGCCAAGAGAGAGGGGGAGGAGTCAGCACACATACACCTGCGAAGGGGAGGAGCCACAAGACAGGAGAGGAGTCAGAACAGATACACCTGTGGAGGGGAGGAGCCACAAGACAGAGGAGGAGTCAGAACAGATACAGCTGCGGAGGGGAGGAGCCACAACAGAGGGGAGGAGCCACAAGAAAGGGGGAGGAGCCACAAGAAAGGGTGAGGAGTCAAAACAGATACAGCTGCGGAGGGGTGGAGCCACAAGAGGGGGAGGAGTCAGTACAAATACACCTGCAGATAGGAGGAGCCACAAGAGCGAGGGGGAGTCAATACACCTGTAGAGGGGAGGAGTCAATGCACCTGTAGAAGGGAGGAGTCAATGCACCTGTAGAGGGGAGGAGTCAGAGCAAAGGGGAGGGGCCTAAGGAGAAAGGAGGAGTCAATGCACCTGCAGAGGAAGAGTCCATGCACCTGCAAAGGGAGAGAGAGCAAGGGAGGAGTCAATGCACCTGCAGGAGGAAGTCAAGTGCAGAAGGGAGGAGTCAATGCACCTGCAGAAGGGAGAGTCAATGTAGAGGAGAGCACTGGAGGAGTCAATGCACCTGTAGAAGGGAGGAGTCAATGCACCTGTAGAGGGGAGGAGTCAGAGCAAAGGGGAGGAGCCTAAGGAGAAAGGAGGAGTCAATGCACCTGCAGAAGGGAGGAGTCAATGCACCTGCAGAAGGGAGGAGTCAATGCACCTGCAGAAGGAGGAGTCAATGCACCTGCAGAAGGGAGGAGTCAATGCACCTGCAGAAGGGAGGAGTCAGAAGGGAAGACAAGAGAGGGGAAGAATCAGAGGGGAGGGGAGGAGCCAGAACACATACACCTGCAGAGGAGGAGGAGCAAAAGAAAAGGGGATGCTATAGTCAATACTTAAAGGTTGTATAGAGGATTTTTTTAAGGGAAGATAAATACACCGACGGTCCTTTTTCAAATGTTGTGCATGTGTGACACCACCTTCCTCCTCCACAGCCTCAGTAGGAACACCTCCTCCCGCCTCTTTACTCTAGAAATCACGTTTGTTTACATCCAGTGCGCGTTCAGAATTACTGTTGAAGTGACCTGTCTAGAGGTAATTTAGCGACCGACGAGTCAGTTTTAGACCCTTTGTCTGTTTCAGTCGCGCCATCGCTGGAAGGAATCTCCAAGAATCACCTCTTCGCTCCTTTTCCCCTTCTTCTCTTCTTCTTTCAGCGTCCTCAAAAACGGACTTTATTTTGCCGCGCACCGGTCGTGGATTCTCGTCCGCCGTCGCAAGAAACTTTGTGCAAACTGCGAGGAAGCGACAGTTTGAAAAAGCCTCTAAGAGCCGCTGCATAAACCACATAATCCCCGCGCGCTGGAGAGTCAGATACACTAGAAACGTAGGGAGTTTGATTGACAACCGAACAGCCAATAGAAAATGAGGTAGGCTTGTTTTCTATTGGCTGATGTTTATCTGGCCTCACTACGTGCACAGTTGATAGATTTTCATTCTTTTTTTTTTGGTCATCATAATTACACGGCTGCTGCGTCTCTGTAATGGTATTTTAAACTTTTAATGACAATTTGAAACTAAGAAAAAAATCCTCCATACAACCTTTAAGATGCATTGATCCAGTTTTTTTTTTCAGTTCTGATACTGATTTCGCTTGTAAATCTTTAAGTATCGATCGATCCACGATATCAACCGATACCAGAGACTGAAAACTTCTAAATATAACAAGACAAAAATGATCCAGATGTGTGATGGGGCCGATCACACACTGAGCGCTCTGAGTTCGTACCAGATGCAGGCGAGCCAGTGCGCGATGAGGGCGAAGGTGCACATGAGGAGGAAGAGCACCGCGGCGCCGTACTCCGAGTATCGGTCCAGTTTCCTCGCCACACGAACCAGACGCAGCAGCCGGGCCGTCTTCAGCAGACCAATCAGAGTGGTCGTCTGGGGCTGGGGGGCGGGGTTTAAACACAGGGTTACAAAACCAGGACTAAACCAGGACAAAACCAGGACTAAACCAGGACTAAACCAGGACTAAACCAGGACTAAACCAGGACAAAACCAGGACAAAACCAGGACTAAACCAGAACTAAACCAGAACTAAACCAGGTCTAAACCAGGACTAAACCAGAACTAAACCAGGGCTAAACCAGGACTAAACCAGGTCTAAACCAGAACTAACCAGGTCTAAACCAGGTCTAAGTCAGGTCTAAGATTAAACCAGGACTAAACCAGGTCTAAGATTAAACCAGGACTAAACCAGGTCTAAACCAGGGCTAAACCAGGTCTAAACCAGGTCTAAGATTAAACCAGGACTAAACCAGGACTAAACCAGAACTAAACCAGAACTAAACCAGAACTAAACCAGAACTAAACCAGAACTAAACCAGGTCTAAACCAGGACTAAACCAGGACTAAACCAGGTCTAAACCAGGTCTAAACCAGGTCTAAGATTAAACCAGGACTAAACCAGGACTAAACCAGAACTAAACCAGGACTAAACCAGGTCTAAACCAGGTCTAAACCAGAACTAAACCAGGACTAAACCAGGACTAAACCAGAACTAAACCAGGTCTAAACCAGGACTGAACCAGGAATAAAACAAGGCCTAAAACAGGACTAAACCAGGACTAAACCAGGACTAAACCAGGTCTAAACCAGGTCTAAGATTAAACCAGGACTAAACCAGGACTAAACCAGGTCTAAGATTAAACCAGGTCTAAACGAGGTCTAAACCAGGTCTAAGATTAAACCAGGACTAAACCAGGACTAAACCAGGTCTAAGATTAAACCAGGTCTAAACCAGGTCTAAACCAGGTCTAAACCAGGTCTAAACCAGGTCTGGTCTGGCCTCACCTCCTCGGAGCCGGACTGGAAGATGAGCAGGTCGAAGGGGATGGCGGCCACGATGTCGATGAGGAACCAGCCTTTGAAGTAGTGCGTGGCGATCCTCCAGGGGGCGCTCACCACCTCGTCGTTCTGGTTCACGTACGTCGTCCTGAAGTTGATGACGATGTCCACGATGAACATCACGTCCACCACCAGGTCCACCACGTTCAGCGGGTTGCAGGTGTAGCCGCAGTCCCGCCGCCGCTGCTCCTCCACCTCGTTGAGCAGGAACGCCGCCGAGTACGGGGTGAAGACGGCCGTGTAGATGACGAGCAGCAGGATGAGCCAGTCCCACACGGCCTTGAACGGGCTGTAGTGCAGCACGGTCCAGCGGTGGATACGAGGAGCCTGCAGTTTGTACTCGGGGAGAACGTCTGCGCCCAGAGACAGGACCTGAGGGACACGAGGAGATGGAGGACGGTCAGCACGAGCACACGCCTACGACGCCTGCCACGCCTGCGACGCCACGATACGACTAACACCACCTGACCACAGTTTACATGGACTTTTATTTATACAAAGTTATCCAAGATTAAACCAGGACTGAACCAGGACTATAGCAGAACTATACCAGAACTAAATCAGGACTAAATCAGGACACAGTGTAGTTATATTGTTCTCTCTTTACGTAACAACTGGCAAGAAGTGAGGGCATAGCAACAGGAAGGAAAGAGGGGGCATACAATAAGGACAGATATGTGACTTAATGTGTAATAAAAGGGAAGTTTATGTGTATTACTGCACTATTGTACTATTTGGAATATTGGATGCCATATTTATTTGCAGAGCCATGAAGTGTAGGAGAAAAGAAATTGTGTTGATTCCTATGATTGCTGCAAGACTAATCACGATCAAATCAAAATTTCAATTTGAATGGATTGCACTTTGCAAATCACAAAGGCTGGAGCTTTTAAAGCGCCATAATGTCCTCCACAAACAACAAAATATCCTTCTTTTACTGATCTTATTCTGCATAAAACTGCTAACTCAAATGTGATTCTTGTATTTGTTTGTCATTTAGCATTTCAGTGTTTTGCCTTCTGGATTCATTTGAAATGTGAATTTGATGAAGAAAAGAAACATAAATTGCAAATATAATCAAAATACTTGTCACCACCTGACCACAGTTTACATGGACTTTTATTTATACAAAGTTATCCAAGATTAAACCAGGACTGAACCAGGACTACAGCAAAACTATACCAGAACTAAATCAGGACTAAATCAGGACTAAATCAGGACTAAATCAGGACTAAATCAGGACTAAATCAGGACCAGTGTTGGGTGCAATGTTCCCTCTAAGCTGCGCAACTGCACAACTGCGCACTGCTCACACACTCTCAGCGCACAAGAAAACGATGCAGCGCACTGCAAATGAATTAGATCTATAACATTTTTTTCTGTATCATTTTGCTGTGTGACTCAGTGAGTGACGTGTGTCCAGTCAATCATACGATACGATGCAATTACGCTACGCAGCCAATCACGGCAATGACAGTACTTGCGCACGTGCTCTGCCCACACGTGCTGTATAACAATAATAACAGTGCGGCGGAGTTAAGTGACGCTAATGCTAACCCCTTATCATGGCGAAAAGAACGCGCAGTGAATGTGATACGTCCACTCACCAAACCAAAGTAAAAAAGAAATACGGTTCTTTTAAGATGGAATGGCTGTCAGAATATGTGCAAATAGAAGAACAAGCGGTGAAACTGCTGATGCGCATAAAGTCAAAGCAAGAAGCAGACGGAGCATCGACCTGGACAAAGTGTAAAACCACTGGAGAAGTGAGAAGGAGGGACGTGAAAAATAAGGTAAAATTTAAGTCAAATTTGTGCATATTCTAGTGAGATTTATTAAGATGTTTTATTTATGGATATTAATCATTAAATTCTATTATGAGTAGATCATTTATTGGTAGTAGAAATGCTAATAAAAGACACAAGCTGCAGCACACGTCATTGTGGAAAATGTGAAAGTTTTAATGTGAATAAAATGTTATGTCTGAAAGGTGGATACGTCTTATTTCTTCCAGAGCAAGACCCTCACCTCGGCCAAAACTGGACCTCACCGACCCAGGCCAAAGCAGGACTCTCACATAACATAGTACAAAATCTCACGACAACAATTTTCAATCAACAGTTTTTGTCTTTTTCATTTTAAGTGCACCAAATGAGTTATTTTAAAAGTAAACTAATGGAAATTGCTGTTGTAATTTGATTGTTTTAATAAGCCATGAAACTTGCGATGATCCCAGGTGTTGATACTGGTGTGTGGTCACAGCTCACAGAGGTTGTCTGTACGTCCAGACATATGAAAACTTAGAGGGAACATTGGCTGGGTGTAAAGCAACTACTTTTTTTCAGGTAAAAATAGTG